TAGATGGTGACGCAAAGCCCAAATATCAAGTCGACGCACTGCCAACCGATACAACCAATATACTGAGTCGACGCACTGCCAACTAGTAAACCAAAATGTCAAGTCGACGCACTGCCAACTGACACAACCAAAAGTACTGAGTCGACGCACTGCCAACTAGTAAACCAAAATGCCGCGTCGACGCACTGCCAACTAACAGCCAATATCCAATGTCCAAAACCCGAGCACAACTTGTCGACGCACTGCCAAGCAAGAAGTGTGGAACCAAAGTTCTCAAGTCGACCCACTGCCAACTGACCAAAACAACCCGAGCACAACTAGTCGACGCACTGCCAAGCTAGAGGTGTGGAACGATCTCAACAAAGCCCGAAGGCGACGACACTAAATGCCGCGACTAAACCAGATGCGGCGAATCCGACTTTTTGATGTCTCAAAGCTCAAACTCAAATCACAGTAGCTACAAGTGCTCAGGGAGCAACTCGTCGCGACCGGGCAGGGGTAGCAGAACTTCTTAGGGTGGAATCACGCGGCACGAAAATTGTACAAAACAATCTGAAATGAGAGTGATTCACAGTCCGGGGGAAAAGCTTTCTAATACAAAGAAACGACGTGCTACTTATACTGTCTACGACGATGCTTAGTAAAGTCCTGTACAACTGCATAGTAGCTACGCTATCTAAGATCGGTTGTCTTCTAGGGTAATTGAAAAGTTGAACGATCGGACGGGACCTGAGTGATCAGGACCCCGCCCCATAGTCCATATGATACTTTTGATGTGGGTCAACCCACCGCGTCATACTTTTGGAATACGACGTGCTGGATTGGCCAACGGGTATGTCTTGGCAAGTGAGACCAACGTGGGTGCCCCAAGAAGCCGTATGGCCCTAGGCACGCCAGTCGTCCCTCACATGGCTCGGTTCACGGATCTAGCCGCGTCGATTTCTAGTGTGTTTGGGTATGGACGCGACTCGCCGTGACACTTGGGAGTGTCACCGCGACGCGTCCACAATGTCCCGTGATCGAATGGATCCTGACATGTGACAAGTCGTCGCCGTAGCACGATCTGAGAAAACGTCCAACTCAAAACCGGGAGTTGCCGCGACAAGATGGTTTAAGTCTCGTAACGCCAAGTCCTGTCCAGTAGTAGCCGTATTATTGAGAACGTCGCACATTGCTCAGCCCTTCAGCCCAAGTTCCCATCTGCAGGGAATGACCCTTTTTGAGAAGTCGACGCAACGACAGATCCCTTTCTGGGGAATGGTCGCGGTCCAAGCGTTCGTCACTAATGGCCCTGAGCCTGGTATAGACTCATAAGACCAGTTCCACAGTAGTGGTCTGACTGCCTTGCTATCGTCGACACTATCCACAGTCGTCGACTGGGCAGTAGACCCTTAAGTCCTACTGAGCGCAACACTGTCACCCGCGACACGATACACCGAGTGGTTCAAGAGTAAACTCTCTAAAAGCGCAAAAAATACGCCCTTACAGAGCTGGTGCAGAGCGCGTCTGGTAGCCAGCCTATCAACGCCGGCGCAGAAATTCGCAGAAGAAGCGGAAAAAGAGAAGGAGAGGATGACCGCGGGGAAGATTCCGGATCAGTACCGAGAATTCATCAAAGTATTTGCCAAGGAATCATTTGATTCACTGCCGGACCGACGAACATGGGACCATGCGATCGAGCTCAAACCTGGTTCCAAAGCAGTGGACTGCAAGGTGTACCCATTATCACAAAACGAACAGGTCAAACTCGAAGAGTTCTTACAAGAGAACCTAGCCAGCGGACGGATCAGGCCATCAAAATCACCCATGGCATCAGCATTCTTCTTTGTCAAGAAGAAAGATGGCTCGCTACGACCTGTCCAAGATTACCGGAAGCTGAATGAGATGATGATCCAAAATCGGTACCCGCTACCGCTGATCTCCGAACTGGTCCACAACTTGTGCGGCGCAAAGTTCTTCACCAAGCTAGACATCCGGTGGGGATACAACAATGTACGGATCAAAGAAGGCGATGAGTGGAAGGCTGCATTTCGCACAAACCGCGGACTTTACGAGCCCTTGGTTATGTTCTTTGGTCTCACAAATTCCCCGGCAACCTTTCAAAACATGATGAATGACATACTCCAAGAACTGATCAACGAGGGTCATGTGGTAGTTTATCTTGACGATATACTAATCTTCACAGAAACCTTGGACGAACATCGGCGTATCACAAAACGAGTACTCAAACTGCTCCAAAAACACAAGCGATACCTAAAACCCGAAAAGTGCAAGTTTGAACGCATGGAAATCGAATATTTGGGTGTAATTATTGGACACAATTCGATGCGGATGGACCCTGTCAAGATCAAGGGCGTGATGGAATGGCCAGAACCAAAAAGCGTCAAACAGGTCCAAGCTTTCCTTGGATTCACAAACTTCTATTGGTGCTTTGTCCGGGGATATGCGGAGGTTGCCAAGCCGTTGACACGGTTGACAGGAAAGGCAGGATGGGCATGGGGTGCAGATGAACGTGCAGCATTTGATGGGTTGAAGAAGAGAATTGCGGAGGATGCGGTCTTAGCACTGCCAAATGACACTGGCCAATATCGTCTGGAAGCCGATGCTTCGGAAGGGGCAACAGGATCCGTTTTGAGCCAAAACCAGGACGGCATTTGGCGCCCAATTGCATTTATTTCACATGCATTAACCAAAACTGAGCGAAATTACGAGATCTACGACAAGGAAATGCTTGCGATCATGCTATCATTGGATGAATGGAGGCAGTTACTACTGAGAGCCACAGAAACGTTCGAGATTTTCACCGATCATCAAAATCTCAAGTACTTCCAAAAACCGCAGAAGCTCAATCGACGGCAAGCACAATGGATCACGGAGTTGGCGGAGTTCGATTTCACTTTACGACACCGGCCCGGTGCACTCAACCGCAAGGCGGATCTCTTATCTCGACGAGCGGATCACGATCAGGGCAAGAACAACAACAAGGATGTCACGCTACTAAAACCAGAATTCTTCCGATCACAAGAAGTCAGATTCGAGGGGCAGGATCAGCAGCTAATCGATGAGATCAAGGCCACTCAATCGATTGATGGAAGCGTCAAGGCGGCCTTGGAGAAGTCACTCGCTGGATGGAAAAAGGAAGACGGACTCATCACGTATCATGGGAAGCTCTATGTACCAAGAGATGAGGAGTTGCGGGACAAGATCATTGGACTACACCACGACACACCTTTGGTCGGACACGCTGGAATCAACCGAACACAGGAGATGGTGGAAAGGAACTACTGGTGGCCAAGGATGGGAAACCAAATTCGGAAATACATCCAAACGTGCGAGGCATGCCAACGGACCAAGACCAGGAGAGCAAGGACGGGGACTCTACACCCGCATGCAGTTCCAAATTCGCCGTGGGAAATCATCTCGATGGATCAAATCGGACCCCTGCCGGTCAGTAATGGGTATGACGCAATCCATGTGTGGTGTGATAGCTTCACCAAAATGATCCATGTCGAACCAATTAGTACTGACATCAGCAGTGAAGGAGTGGCACGGTTAACCAGGGACCGAGTCTTCTGCTACCATGGGATCCCTTGCAAGATCATCACCGACAGGGATTCGCGTTACATCAAGGGCTTCATGAAGGAGACGAATCGGATGTTGGGCATGGAAATGAACCTGGGGACCGCATATCACCCGATCACAGATGGGCAAACCAAACGCATGAATCAGGAGATTGAACACTATCTCCACATTTATGTCAATTACCATCAGACAGATTGGTCGGAGTGGCTGGGAATGGCGGAGTTCGCATACAATGACAAAATGAACACGTCTACCAAAATATCGCCATTCTATGCGAATCATGGATATCACCCGTGGAAGGGAGTGGAACAACGGATGGAGTCAAGGAACGAGTCGGCGGAGGAATTTGTCAAAAGAATCAAAGGAATACAAGACGAAGCAAAAGCAGCATTGGAAAAAGCAAATGAAAAAATGAAAAAATACTATGATAAACAAAGAAAAGAAGTTCCGGAGTTGAAGGTCAGGATGAAGGTGACATAGAAGGGGACAATATCGAGACGGACAGGCCTTCGAAGAAGATGAGCAACAAGAGATTGGGGCCATACAAGATACTGGAGAAGGTTGGAGCGGCCGCATGGAAGCTGTATTTGCCGGACACGGACCGAAGACACCCGGTGTTCAACGAGTCACTATTGACACCTTATCATGAACCACCCCCCCATCGCTGAGAGAAGAGACCCATAGCCAAGATGATCGGAGGGGCAGAGGAGTGGGAAGTCGAAGAAATCGTGAAGGAGCGAAACGTCAGCCGAGGAAAACAGTACTTGGTCAAATGGAAGGGATGGCCGCATAGCGAAAATACTTGGGAACCATCATGTCACCTTACCCACGCAAAGAAAATCCTGAGAGATTGGCAGAGGAAACAATCCAACCCAGACACACACATTTGCCTCCTGCCAACGCTCAAAGCCGGACACTGGGATTATCTCATCCATCGCTTCAAACCCAAAGACGAGCGCCTTCCATATCCCCAGCAACAACTCTTTGATCCCTACGAGAACGTCTTCACGCCCATTGGCCTGGTCGATGAGGACATCGACCCTAGAGAGGGGGTAATGTCATAATTCAACCCTTTTTCATCTTATCATCGACCATCTTATCTTATCTTGGCACGGATCATCTTATCACGGATCACGGCATCAGACGGTCCGGGCTAGGGGTTCAGGGACTATCTTTATCGATCCAAGGCTGCGCGACATATGCTCCAGAAGGTTCTACTACAACCCATGACCAGTGCTCCATGCGGTACATAGCCTTATGACTCAGACTGGATTTGGGTATAAATACTCTAGCTACTTGGTTGTATTCTCCAGTCTTCGAATTCACTTATCTTTTCGACTATTGTTTTTGGTTGATTGTCACATTTATGCTCAGGAAAATCACAAAAAATCATATAAAATGCTCAAAATATTCTACGCCTACTTGCAAGTGAAATAATTTGTCAGGGCTGTCCCCTTCAATGACATGGTGCATTCTAACTGAGTTTTGCATCCAAGCTTTGCCAAACTATGCTTGAGGTCGCGTGAAAAGGAGGAGTTCATCACTTCAAGATACTGTTGAAGAACTTGGACGGCTTGCAGGGCTTTGTTGCGTGAAGGCCTGGGCAGGATGACATTACAGTCATTGTCATCACCCCCATTGGCCTCCTGGTCTTGACTTGCCTTTGCCACATCCATGACAGCATTGTAGATTTCTTCTTCAGTGCATCCATCGTGAATCGACATCTCGTTTGCCACATTGATGAGTTCAGCAGCTGGCACTCAGCTTGTTTCGTGTAAAACACCTGAGAGCTGCAGACCATCAAGCACTTCCAAAAGCTTTTCACATGCCTTCTCCTCCTCTGCCTCCAGTGCAAGCTCTGCGGCCATTCGCACTTCGGTGCTCTTATCAGGAAGAATCCCCGATTTGATCCAGCAATTGGCGATTGTGGTTTGTGAGATCTTGCGCCAAGCTTGGTCTGCAAGGCGCATTGCCTCGAGTTGGTTGATATTGTAGATATGGGCCAGGGAGATGTTGGAGTCGTAGTGATCAAGTGATCGTTGCATGAATCCACAGCGGTAGTGAGCCTTAAATGCCTGGATGATGCCAGCGTCCATGGGTTGGACATGTGCAGTAAGATTGGCTGTGAAGTTCTCCACGTGAATGTTTGAAATGTCTTCAGGTGGTGTGTGTCCACTAAAGTTGTCCTGCAGAAGGAGGACCCAGTGGTTCTGTTGCACCAAATCTGCATCCCAGTTCCAAAGCCACTCTTGATACAGCACTGTTGTTATCCATGCCTTCACGTTGTTTTGGTACAGGAACCCAAGTTGATGGGCTGTCTGCTTCCTTTGCCAATGATAAGCAGAAGAAGAGTCTCGGAACCATCAGCATTGGTCATCAATGTCTATGTGATGCGCTTTTTGTTTCCTTTCACACCCAAGATTTGATGGTCCATCAGTCCACGGTCAGGAGGCATCCTGAGATGAATATGTGAGGTCCAGGTCCGCGCAGTGTGAATCAAATCCAGCACTCAAGCCCAAAACAAACCCATCTTGTCCATGTTGAAGACATCTTCAAGCGCATAACCTTTGTGAACAATCAAGTCCTGAATACGTTCATGGTCAGTCCAGATTGCGTTTGGATTGGCTAAGGCCGCCTCACCATGGCAGCGGAACTCCTTCAATCCCATTTGCTTCTTCAAAGAATCCAACCATTGTTCACTGAGCTTGAGTCGCTTGTCATCCAGAATGCCCATCTGATCAGCAAATCTAGTCCACTTCTTGCAGATGATGGCTCCATTGAGCTGAACGCTGTCCTGCATCGCCTGCATGATCCAAAGCTTGAGCATTGCGTCAACTTCCGGATTCTCTGTCTGCTTGACATGCTTCACATCTGCCAATCGACCCTTCGCCTGAACCTCATCCCATTGCCAACGAAGTTCTGTCTCTCCCTTGATCCAGGCCAAGATTAGAGGCTGCTTGATCTTCAAGTTAGGGTATTGTTTGTCAAAGTGTGCTGCGGTGGTGCCCTGATTCGGTTTCTTCTGCTTTCCTGTTAAAGGTTGCTTCCAATGCCAGTCCAAGATTTCGATTTTCTGCCAGAGTGTTGCGTTTTCCTTGTGGGTGAATACGGGAGCTGGTTTGCACACTTTCGCCGTTGACTGGGTTGGCTTGTCCAGAACCTTGCGCTCAGTAGGACCTGTGCCCGTGTCAGTGCTGACCACAATGCTTGAAAGTGTACATACACTTTCTCTTATTTGTGACCGTCTTCTCCACATGCCCAAGGACCTTCTCAGCACCTGCTTTTGCATTCACAGCCAAATCTGCCAATTTGGTCAAGAGTTCCTTCTGATTCTCATCTAAACGTCCGACTCCCTGCTTGTAGTCCAAGGCCTCATCCAGCATCCATACAAGCTGTTCTTCTTTGACAACATTTCCAGCCGTATCGAGCCATTCAAGATCAACCAAAGATGCGCGCTCCTTCTCTGCCAATTGCCCTGGGATTGCCTTTCTTTGTACTTCCACTGAGTTTTTCAGCTTGTCGAGGCCTTGCTTGAGCACGAAGGGTGCTGGAATCGACAGCATATTGTTGGTAATGAGAACAAGTCAGGGTGAATTCTATTGCTTCCATTACTGAGCTTAATTGAGCGCACGTCAACCTTAATCGGACGCTGAGGGCTAGTCCCGGATGGCACCGGTCCAAGCAAAATTATGGGATATGAGTGCCGGATCCAGCCAAAAAAGACATGGTCTATGGGATACCACAGGTTTTACGGGTTATGCATGTGATTTATCAGGAACCAAGTCTGTGGATCGAAAATTTTATGGCTTGAAACAGAGTATGGACTTTGGACTTTGGCAGGTATGGATTAAGACAGAGTCGACTGTACTGTCAGGGGACGCCGTGCTCCTTGGGCACATGACCATGCACGTGACCCACTGCGCCCTCTCTGCCGACCCGTGCCTGCTCACCTGTTGATCACCCAGCCTCCTCCTCCTCCTCCGATCCTCATCTCCATCCATGCCGACATCTGCCCTCTCCCTCCTTCCCCCGGCCATCTCCCTCGAATCCCCGCAAGCGGTCTAGCCAAACCCGATTCCTTGCACCAGGGAGTGCTACTGCCGTACGCACTCCTCCCCCTTCACTTCGGCCTTCTCCCCGCGGATGTGGTCTACTGCCGTACAGGCTCGTACCAGATGCCCTTGCGCTCATCCGCACCACCCCTCTTCCCAGTCGGGCATTGGTCCTCGCCTCCGATGTCTCCACTGGCTGGCCCGGCACTGGCCTGGCCACTGGGCTCCTCCAGTGTGGCCTTCCACTGTTGGCGTCTCAGGAGCTGGCCACCACTGGCCCCTCTGAGCCACTCACTATCTTATCTGGGTTTGTCATCATCTACTTGTCATCTGCCATTGTTCCATGGCAGTGATATCCCATCATCATCAGTCACTTGTCACAGCTGACTATATAGTGTGACACCTGGGCACATGGATCCTTGAACCGTTCTCTAAGGATCCCCCTCTGTGCTCAGGTGAGTAGTATACCTCCCTTGTATTTGATAGTCTCTAAGGATCCCCCTCTGTGCTCAGGCTCATGTGAGGTTGTTGTGTGCTGTGTGCTCTCTTCCTTCGGGCTGGCAGGAGTTGCCCTTACATGTACTTGGATGGGCATGAGCACGCAGATGTTGTTTATTTCCGGCAGAACATCTTCTTGCCTTGTTGGAAAGAGTTGGAAGCTTGAACGCGGTGATAGGCTGGCTACCAGACGCGCTCTGCACCAGCTCTGTAAGGGCGTATTTTTTGCGCTTTTACAGAGTTTACTCTTGAACCACTCGGTGTATCGTGTCGCGGGTGACAGTGTTGCGCTCAGTAGGACTTAAGGGTCTACTGCCCAGTCGACGACTGTGGATAGTGTCGACGATAGCAAGGCAGTCAGACCACTACTGTGGAACTGGTCTTATGAGTCTATACCAGGCTCAGGGCCATTAGTGACGAACGCTTGGACCGCGACCATTCCCCAGAAAGGGATCTGTCGTTGCGTCGACTTCTCAAAAAGGGTCATTCCCTGCAGATGGGAACTTGGGCTGAAGGGCTGAGCAATGTGCGACGTTCTCAATAATACGGCTACTACTGGACAGGACTTGGCGTTACGAGACTTAAACCATCTTGTCGCGGCAACTCCCGGTTTTGAGTTGGACGTTTTCTCAGATCGTGCTACGGCGACGACTTGTCACATGTCAGGATCCATTCGATCACGGGACATTGTGGACGCGTCGCGGTGACACTTCCAAGTGTCACGGCGAGTTGCGCCCATACCCAAACACACTAAAATCGACGCGGCTAGATCCATGAACCAAACCATGTGAGGGACGACTGGCGTGCCTAGGGCCATACGGCTTCTTGGGGCGCCCACGTTGGTCCCACTTGCCAAGACATTCCCGTTGGCCAATCCAACACGTTGTATTCCAAAAGTAGGACGCGGTGGGTCGACCCACATCAAAAGTATCATATGGACTATGGGGCGGGGTCCTGATCACTCAGGACCTGTCCGATCGTTCAACTTTTCAATTACCCTAGAAGACAACCGATCTTAGATAGCGTAGCTACTATGCAGTTGTACAGGACTTTACTAAGCATCGTCGTAGACAGTATAAGTAGCACGTCGTTTCTTTGTATTAGAAAGCTCTCCCCCGGACTGTGAATCACTCTCATTTCAGATTGTTTTGTACAATTTGCGTGCCGCGTGATTCCACCCTAAGAAGTTCTGCTACCCCTGCCCGGTCACGACGAGTTGCTCCCTGAGCACTTGTAGCTACTGTGATTTGAGTTTGAGCTTTGAGACATCAGAAAGTCAGATTCGCCGCATCTGGTTTAGTCGCGGCACTTAGTGTCGTCGCCTTCGGGCTTTGTTGAGATCGTTCCACACCTCTAGCTTGGCAGTGCGTCGACTAGTTGTGCTCGGGTTGTTTTGGTCAGTTGGCAGTGGGTCGACTTGAGAACTTTGGTTCCACACTTCTTGCTTGGCAGTGCGTCGACAAGTTGTGCTCGGGTTTTGGACATTGGATATTGGCTGTTAGTTGGCAGTGCGTCGACGCGGCATTTTGGTTTACTAGTTGGCAGTGCGTCAATTCAGTATATTGGTTGTATCGGTTGGCAGTGCGTCGACTTGATATTTGGGTTTTGCGTCACCATCTAGACGCTGTCGCTACAAGGGATCTTAATACTTCGTATTAAGTTCTGACTTGTTATATTGTTGTTTTGTGGATTGGATTCGTGTTGGTTGTGTTCGTATAGAAGATATTGGTTGAGACACCATTGTTTGCTATATATAAATTCTTGTCGTCGACTTCGTCTCCGCGACTATTGGATCTGCGTCTATTGAGAGTTGTGATACTGGTGCTCTGTCCACCCCGAAGCCCTCGCATCTTTCACACACTGAGAAGCTGATTACGAGGAGTGTGAACGTGTTTTATATTTGGGTTTACTTTCATAGTAGATTCACCTGTGAGCACGCCCTCAGCATTTCAGTGGTGGTGGAAGAGCGGTGATTCAGATGAGCAGATCAGACATGATGCGGCATTGTGTGCATATTTGAGCCCATCTGTTGATGCTCGTGTTGTTGTCCTTTGGAGACACGATGAATCAGCATTCTATGCCAATGATCACTGCACCCTTTGTTGGGTCCATGAGAACAAGTCAGCAGCAATCAAAGCAAAGGGAGAGGGATTGAGCTTGATGATTGGGCGCTTTGTGTCTCCAGACTACGGGTGGATGAAAGCCAAAACTCCAGGACCAGATGGGTGAGTCCCCGAGATCAGGAATTCAATCAGTCTGACAATCTGACAGATCTTTGGATGACGCAGAAGTTGTTCTCTGGCCTTTCCAGGCCAGAGACGGATATCAAACTAACGAGGACATTCTCAAGTAAGCAACACAAGTGATGAACACCTTGGATTGTGATTATCAGGGAGAGAAACATGTGCTGGTGTATGACAATGCAAAGATTCACACAGCTCGAGCTGCTGATGCACTCAGTGCCCTCAAGATAACTCTGAATCTATCAGCAAACTTCAACAAAGAGAAGATTGACAGTGTCTCAATGTGTGTTCGAATGTGGGATGGAAAGTTCCAAGATGGCAGCCTGCAGTGTCTGTATCAGGCAGATGGGAAGTTCAAGGGAGCAAAGGCATTGATCATTGAGCGCCGCACCAAAGATCACAATCTTCCTGATCTGGATGCACGGAATCCCATCACCAACAAGAAGCCTCATCTCAAATGTGCGAGCTTCAGCTGCCGTTACAATGACACTTGGGACTGCTGCCTCAAGAAGATGCTCTATCTTGAGCCTGATTTCCAAGCACAGAAGTCTCAGCTCAAGGAACACTGCGAGGCTCATGGATACAAGGTCATTTTTTTCCCGAAATATCACCCCGAGCTCAACTTCATTGAGCAATGTTGGGGTTTTGCCAAACATGTTTACTGGATGCTTCCCAAGTCCACCAAGGAAGCCGATGTCATTCAGAACGTTGCCCATGCCCTTGAATCAGTGCCTCTGGAGTCAATGCGTCAATTTGCGACACGTTCCTCTTGCTTCACTGATGTGTACTTCCATGGATTGAACGGCGCTGAGGCTGCTTGGGCCAACAAGAAGTACTGCAGACATCGGACTTTACCAGCGGAGTATTGGAGGGATGTAGAGAATGAGTTTAGAGCAACACAGTAGATCACATTGAACAATAACTACCCTAATATGACTCGAATGCCAATTTCTGGCTCTCATTGGAAGTGCATCCAAGATTTTGCGCCGTTATGTGTGACAGGTCACGTTTCACGTGACTCAATGGATGCGTTTGTTGGATATCTTACAAAAACGACAAGATAGAGCTACTGCCTGGGCTCCAAGATTTACATGCCATAGACAGATATCTGGGAGGGGTTAACAATGGGCGAGGCATGGGTGCATACCTCGCTTGGCTTCTCCCATTTCCCGTGCACTCATTCATCCCAATAGACCCCCACCACCATCAAGCCCTTTGAGCACTCCTGAACAACATTGAGCCCCAGGTTGATCCCGCAGAACAAGAAGATGGCCCAGAAGAGTGCTTTGCCTGGTTTTTGGATGAGGAGGAGGTTGCATGAGGAGATGAGTGGTAGTGCACAACAAGCCGAGTGAACAATCACTGTAAAGTCAGCCCCCGGGGTCTCACCGAATATGTCGGATCATCAATCAATCATAAGGACATGACGTCTGACACTCGGTAAAAAAGCACGATGCTCCGAGCCTCCATAGATAAGTGAACATTGACAAAAGCCAAAAAAAAAGGAAATGGTGAATTTTGGAGCAATTGAGAATCCCTCTGACAGAATTAGACAAGCATCTAATCAAAGCTCCCTGGTCAGAGGATCGGAGATGGGGAGTTTCTCATCAAGTAATGGTTGTGCCCAGCCAATGCGCACCACAGCACGATCAGCATAGGAGACACGATCACATGATCCCCGACCTGAGTCACGTGATGATGCTTTCGATGCAACGAGCAGGCCCTAATGACTCGCTCTGTGACCCTACACCGAGAAAAAAAACGTCTGTAGCTCCCGGAACCAATGAAGAATCGAACTTTGTGAACGTCTATCTCAGGACGCTCAATGTACTGTTTTGTATTTCTGTAGAAGTTTGTGTCCGCGCCACATCAAGCGCGATACAATTTTGAGCCTCAGTAATAGGTGTCTACCTTACGTAGAGCTTACGCTAAGCGCTCCGACAACGTAAATTCTGTTGAAACACCACGTCTTGATCCACAAAGGAGGGGCTGTCCTATGAAAAGTTTGAAAACAGGTCTTGGGTTTGCAAATTGCTTGTATGGATCTTTGGGCCCGCTTGACGAATTCACTGAGAGAGAATTTCTGCACATTCTTTCTTGGATTCAGTGAACGTGCAAAATCAGGGAGGGACGAGAGAATTCGAGGCATATCTATTTGTCCGACATTGGAGAGTCATCGCCTGACAGCTTCTGTCACTGTGTCACAGATGACCCATTGATATCGACTAATCCGGCAGGATCCGACGATCGGCGAGCACCACTCTATCCCCGATCGGGATTCTGTGATATCACATGGCTTCCCAAAGGCTATTTCGGCCACTTTCTTCCTAACCGTCACGAGCAGATACTACACACCGTCTCGATACCCCGATGTCTATAGCTCAAGGACTATCATCGGCGCAGATGCTCGTGTCTGAGCCTTCTCCGCACGTCTTGCACGTCCAGCTTTCCCGGTGCGTGTGACGAATGATTTTTGGTCGTGAGCGTCATTCATACCTTGCACAGTAAACCAGTGAACGCATTTACGACGGAGTAGGGATTTTTCCAGCTAACTAGCTTTAAGCGCTAAACTCACGACGACAGGTTCTGGAAAGAGTATGGCGATCTGTTCGACAGGATCACCCGTGAAGCGAGAGATGTACGCGCCGTAGTCCTCTCGTCCGCATTCCCCAAGCTTTTTACCGCTGGAATCGACGGTAACTTCCCGTTCTCTCGTTCTGTCCAGTTCTAACGCAAATCCCCAGTCGTTGAGCTGTCTGCCAGCCTGGAGAATACCGACTTCCCAGACCCCGCACGAAGAGCGCTCTCCTCCTTGCACCATGTGCACGAATTCCAGCACGCCATCGGCGCGCCAGACCGGTGCCCTGTCCCGGTGATTGCCGCCGTGCACGGACTCGTCGTCGGCCTGGGGATCGATATCATCTCCGCTTGTGATATCCGGTACGGCGCGGAGAACTCCAGGTTTACCATCAAGGTCGGCACTAGAATCCCGTCCATCGAAGCCATGCTTAGCTCACCGCACTCAGGAAGTCGATGTCGGACTGGCAGCTGATATCGGGACCCTCTCGTATCTCCCCAAGATAACCGCAAACCACTCGCTGGCGAAGGAATTGGCGTACACTTCCCGATTCTTCACCGCGTCTGATGCTCTGAGACTGGGCCTCTTGTCTACAGTAGTCCCGGGAGGAAAGGATGAGGTTGTCAAAGCCGCCCTGGAGCTGGCGGCTGAGATCGCGAGCAAGAGCCCACTCGCAGTTTCTGGGACGAAGCGAATTTTGAATCATGCAAGAGATCACAGGTGTGTTCTACGCGGACTTTTCTGTCATTTCTTGGGACCACGACTGATATTTGCTAGTATCGAGGAGAATCTGGAGTACACAGCGATTTGGAACTCGGCGGCGTTGCAAACCAAGGTCGGCGAGAAACTTCATATCCTGCCTTTGTTTAATTTCTGTCTTCTCTCAGGATATTCCCGAAAGCTTACTTGCTGTGAAGGAGAAAAGGCAGGCTGAATACGCGTCGCTGATGAAACCTAAGCTGTGAGGGGTACACGAATCGAGAGAAAGAAGAAGTCTCAGGTCAAACTGATGTCTACTGGTCCCCGTCCAATGTGTTTACAGCTTATTGCATATATTTCTTGAATGAATGCACCGGGCAGTGTTGCTTCAGATATGGGGAATGCACATCGTCAGACCAATTGAATCGTGCAATATGCATGATACGTAACATTCCGCATTGGAAAAAGGAAGGCGATGGGTATTCATATAGTCCGGCTCTAACAATTTTTAACATCTATTACGACGCCGGTCTATCTTTTTTTGCGATCATGAAATGTAGTCGCGATGAGAGCTCCGCCCAGAATGAAGATGACCGAGCCCATCAAGATAGCGGTCAGGTGACTCTCTTCGAGGGCGATGAAGAGCAAGATCTGTAGAAATAGAAATATCGTGCCTAGAGCAAGATAGGCCATCCCTATGAAAGATAAGGGGAGAAGACCGCGTTAGAAAAGCGCACATACATTGTCCGAAAATCACCCCGTATGAGGCCCTTCCAAACGAACTAAGCGTCCCCAAACGCCCCTGATTAGGTAGCTTTCCTTGAGTCGGTTTGTCGTCCTCTTCTGCGTGGATGGGCAAGTCGCCCAATCGGTCTATGAAGCAAAGAGACGCAACTGTCGCGAGAGTGTTGCACTGGATAGCCAAGTAGGATACTATCCGGAATGCCGTGACAACCCGGCCTGTTTTTAGGTTGACGGCCGTATCGGAGCGATATATGCCGAGGATCGAGGTCGCGATGCCGGCAAGGAGAACGGTCTAGGAAGGAGGATAAGTAGTTTGCTAGTCAGACCACTGAACGTGAGAGTGCAGATCCACTTACTACGACTCCAGCAGCGGTAGCACTGGTGTTCCAAGCAGTGATTTCTGATTTCAAGCGTGAGTGGAGCTTGTCTGTTGAGGAAATCAAGCCGTCCGTTATCACTAGCCCATTAGATTTTGACCGACATTCGAGGGAATCCCTATTATCCGGCGCACGTGAGTCCGTCATCCAGATGGGTTCCGAGCGTGAAGAAGATGCGGTCCTGGTCGTGCGCAGTTGTTGAGTTATCGCAGAAGACGAATCGCACAGTGAGAGGGCTCCTCCATCTACTGCTTAAGAAGAAAACGCACCACGCCATGCATCGATAACAGGCCACATGAGCTCCGCCGGTAGAAGCAACCGTCACTAAAACATATCTCATGTCCAAGATTGACATTATTGCTGCGGAGTGGGCGCTTAAGTCCCTCTTCTGTCCCTGAGCCGACTCTTGGGCTACACGGTCGAGGAGTTAAAGAGCGCGTATCTCGTTCCATAGACCCTTTCAAATGTGAAGCGGCCTGCATTATCCATTCGTCGAACTGAAAACTTGTTCTCTGGAACTCGCAATCGGAGACTTCTCTCACCGAACGCCGAATCCTCGGACAGTCCCACGGAGGACACGTTTTGTGTGCGGGTCGAACAATGGCCCTCCGGACGTCAATGTGTGAGGCGTGACTGGTCACATCCACTTCGCACACAGCCTCAATCGATTACCGACCGAGCCCTCACCACAACTCGCATCCTCAGCTATGACCGACCGAATCCGCGAACGCCTGACGAACCTGCGCAACGATCTTGACGCGCAGATTGCGCGCACTGAAGCTGCGGAAGCAGAGTCAAAGGCGCTGAAGCAGACTCTACTAGAGAAGGAAAACGAGATCAAGAGTCTCTCGCACAACCTCGCGATTGCGGAAGAGAAGATGGAGAAGATGGAGGGTGACTTGAAGGAGGCGTCAGAGAAGTGAGTCCCACTTCGTCATCTTCGTTCTGCCTCGTCCGGCAGTTGTGCTTGCGTATGTATGCTGACTGCGTGACGACAGGGTGCGACACCTGGATGTGCAGGCGGAACAAGCAGAGCGGGCTGTTCAGGCTGCGGAGACGAAGCGGGATGAGTGGGAGGCCAAGTACGAGGTGCGTCGGCTCCAGTTTCCACCCTGTATGCGTGTGTGCTGACGACGCGTTCCACTAGTCATCTGAAGAGAAGCACCGCAAGGTCAAGGCTGACCTCGAAGAACTGGAGCGCACGATGGAGGGTCTCTAGAGGGACTGCAATTCTGTGCTGGCCCCTTCTATGAAACGGCTGAATGGACAGCTGCCTGTATACATACTTCTCATCCACCCCGCGTCTCTGCGTGCTCTCCCTACGATACTTACGATCGAATGCACCGTTCAGTTCTCCCAATACCGATCCTTCGGTGCATTCACCTGGTGCTCTAGACCCCACACCACGATTCCGGAACCCGAGAGATGATAGCGGGTTTCGTTTTCACGTCTGTCATTTACTCTTACTTTCCGTTGCTCCCTATACTCCCATCTCCCGCTTCTCTCCCAATAATGGGAACCTGAGTCTGATCACTGTAACAGGGGCTGGTGAGGATTGTGGCCCAGTGGCTGGTACGCGATGTCAATCGGTCGGTAGCTCGCTGTGTCTCTCCTTCATTCCTCTCGTCTTCCACTGGAGACCTTATCATCGAGATGGACACATGCGTGAGCGTTCTGCCGACAACGTGCGGCAGCTGGGATCGGGACAACAATCTGGTACCCTGTCGCAGGAGAGACATTGCACAGCAGCACCCTTGCCTGACCGTGACTGGATCAAGCTTTGAGACTGGCACTCATGCGTCTGGCTGTACGGTGTGAGCCCTACAAGGAAAGTGGGCTCTGCAGTCATGGTCGACTCCTCCATCCTTGTGCGACTGACATGTAAGCTTCAATGTGTCGTGCTGGATAGTCGAGCCTTCAGCCAAGGCACCTGGGACGGACGCATATACTCGGTGGACAAGGGCGGATATCAATCTCAAAATGCTCTAGGTAGACAGTGTGAGACTGACCTCCTCGTCCCGACACAGTCATCTAGCGACGCGAGTGGGCTCAGCTGCGGCGGGGTCGGTAGCTCGGAGCGCAGAGCACTGCATAGCTGTTGCTCTGCATCTTTCAGGCTGGGGATTTGGCACTTGGTGTTCGTGACTCTAATGCCTGTTAACTTCCGTAACAGGCTCCGATACATATGTCTGTGGCCGTCATTTGAAGAGGAGATCGAATGACAATAACGTAGCCACCGACACGAACGAACCGGCTGCACCGCCTGCAGCTAATGGGCGAGGCACGCTCGTCAGAAGGCGAGCGTTCAAGAGTCTTCAGTTATTTCAAGGCATTTCATGCCTGTAGTGTATGATTGCGGATGGCCTTGCTTGAGCTGGGACATAATTACCCAGTGATCACTTACACGGAGAGTTTCGTTTTCCCGTGTTCTCTCTGCTCTGGGGTGCGATGCAGGGCCGTTTGGCACCATCTACATGACCAGGGTGTTGCAAGGGCCTCGCTTGGGCTGCAAGTCGATGACAGAAAAAGAAACAACACAGCATGCTTCGGAATGAGATCAGGAACATTCGTCCTGTCAACCTCCTCGCGGAAGCTGCGCAGTGGCTTATATTAGAATTCTTTTGAACTATAACAGAGAGAACGAGCTTGGAATATTTTTCAGTACCCAGATGGTTCCTCTCATTTCTGGTAATCATATCATAGAGTCAGCTCTATCTTTAAATTGTGAGGGTGTTTTGATCCTCTTGCGTGTTGGTCACTCACGAAGATCTGGGAGAAAGATGAGTCTCCCAGCCTCCTTAAATCCCACATCCGCGCCTGGAGGTCGACTATTGAAAGCTCCGTCAACCTTGTAAGCTGCCGAATCCCACGAGAGGTGACAGGCCCATGATTGGTTGTAGTTCCAGGGTGGATTTATGATTTTAGCGTCCCTCATCTTGCTGGCCATGATTGAGTTCGATGCTGGCCTGCAGAACGGCCGCGATCCCAAGCACACGCTGCTCACTACGAGTTCTTATCTCGCAGCTCTCTTCACAAGTCTCTCTGCCCTATCTGCCTTCGCCCTTTTGGACCGGATCGGAGATATAGAGTTTGCCGCTGCGTCACGAGGACTCTCACGCGAGGGCTTGTTTCCGAACTGTGAATCCAGTCATCGCCTTCTTCGCCTATCTGGTGCAACACGATCCTTCACAATACTCCTAGCTCAGTCACTGCATTCCCAGGTAGGCTCGACCCCGCTGGGGTCGAGTCAAGTAGCCCCCGCTCGCCCCCAGGTGGGGTACGAGTGCTGTAGCCCCTCCGGGGGCGATTGGAGTCTAGCGTGGTCGAGTGGAGGTCTACATCAGTCGGCACTGATCGGATATCACTCGGACACGTCTAGCCCCCCATCTCTTCCCACCTCGATAGTTGCGCACGCGGAGAATGTGATCAAAAATTGCTTGAACCATCATGATCGGGATCACTAGCCACCGCTAGGCTCTTGTGGGCTAGATGCAGGTGATCGGAGGCAATGCCGCTAGACACACGTTGCTCACACGGGGTCTAATCGATCAGCACACGGCTCGCCTTTTATCAACCCTGCACGTGGTCTACTGGAACAGCCCCCAGGCGTCTAGACGTTTCGACCCTTCTAGACCCGGCTCGCCCGACCCTCGGCCATCACTCGGCTTTTATCGTCCCCGCGGGGTCGAGCCTACCTGGGAATGCAGTGAGTGTGCGACTTATCTTTTATTTGTTACTTCTCCATCTGATTGTCTCAGTCGTTGTGTACTCCTTCCTTGCTGCAATGTTCTTTCTCACCGAAATGGTGACGTATTTGTGGCTGAAGGAACAAACTTTGAGCATAATCATCACTGCAGTTAGTATGCCGGCGGCTCTGCTGTTATTGGTCACTTCATTGGTGGTTGAGTGAAGGACTTGAATTTGGTAGCATATCGATGGCGGACCAGCAACAAGTAGAATGTTATTAGCTAGTTACCGATATTCATATTGCATCTATATAATAGTAATATTACTGTAGTCGAGTTGTAATAAGTGTTGCAAATAGTGCTATCACTATCGTTCAAGGATTACCATAGATATCACCCTCTCATCAGTTGAATACCTTACAAGTGGTTCATCCAGGCGCGAATGGATCGTCAATCTTCTCTGCACATGTGGATGGAGTGATGTGCTTTTACTACGTAAAAAGAAAATTAAGACATACACCATACAATAGATTTCCTGATATCTGCTGAGTTATGGGTAAGTACTTCATTTCTCCAGAACAGACTGATAAATGTGCACGGATGATTATAACACTGATTGTTGAATGACAAAAAATTGAATGAATAGAGCATCGTCAATCCAGGCCATCATGCGCTGCCCCATAAGCTTGCTGATGGCCAGAACATTTGAGCATATGACCGAGTCAGTCTCATGGCAAGTACATTATATGCTCATGTAATGGCGATCGATCCTGCACGATGTTCACTGTCAGACCGATCTCCAGGTCTGACGCCAGTGGCATGGGATGCCATCCTCGGAACATATATTTTGGCCTCAGCCTCTCTGTACCCATCTATCCTTGAGGCTTTGAGTTCACCGCAGGATGTATGGCCGGTGATGATCGATACGCCATCGTTTGCTTGGGCGCTTGCATCAAATAGAGTTGAGTCGAAAATTCACGTGTTCATCATCAGAAACGAGGCACTGACGCGAGGCGACGATCTGAGGGAGCCGGATCTTTGACCTGCTTGTCGTTGCTCGACGCGTTCACCGTCTTTATTGCCAGTCTAAAGGAAGAACTCATCCATGCCCTCCGTTACTACGCGTGCCGCTCAGCTTGAGGTCAGTTGTGTTGATTTGGAAAGCAGGTTTGAAGAAACCAGATGATCAACTATTCCCTCGCACAAATGCAAGGGCACTACTCCACTCTAAAAGATCTTGACCGCTCAAAGAAACATTTCTCTCCGTGCGTGGATGCAGAAACTGCGGTGCGACCGCTTTCCCGGGTGACAGACGGATGATTGTCGAGGAAATAGGTGGGCGCTTGATAGGCCGGCGGAGAGAAGTACGATCTCTGCACGGACCTTGCAGCCGGATAAATGCCTGTCACACGCCAGACACACGATGTATCAAGGCAACGCCCGCTCTTGTTCCGAACGGACACCTGCAGTGGAGTGCCTATCGCCTGCAACTCGTCCGTTGTGTCTCTCGTTCGCCAAACACACGGCCAACCTTTGGGCGTTTATCAGATGGATTTTTCACCCGGGCTGGCCAGCCTACCGTGCCCGTGTGCAAATCGAAGATTGCTGATATCAGGCGTATAAGATCGCTTGCTGGTGGGACTACTCAACAATCCAACCGAGGTTTCCCATGAGCTCCCAGTCTAGTGCAGCAGATTTGAACCACTCAGGGACTCCTACGGTGCTCGAGGAGCTCACTAGCTCGACACATACGGAAACGTATGGTGTCACGAAGGCACTGGAAAAACTCCTTCGTGTCGTCGCCCAGGATGCGCTCACGTTCCCTCGCAACATCCACTCCGCATACACAGCTATCTCGATTGCCCGTTATGCGCTCGACGATATCAAAGCCTTGATCAAGAGTGTGGACAAAGACGAGTTTAGTCCCGTGACTTGGGACAATTTCGTCAAGTACACCACGCTCATCCCTATACTCGAGAAGTAAGCGTGTTTCGCAGTCTTTCACTCCCCAAACTGATCGAGCACCCAAGTTTCTGCCTCTCGTTTGAAAGGATCTCGCACGCCGAATCACAGGCGACTTTGACTTCTGGGACTATCTCGGTCACAGCGCTTTCTTTGCATCTGGCCGAATGGGAAACAAGGCGGAAGCTGCTGAGCGATTTGCTTCGAGGATTCCCGAAGGACTTCGTCTCCGCCAAGGTGAGCTTTCAATAATCAACCGCTTCTCGTGCTTCGTAAACATTCCGGGTCAGATACGTGAACAAATCGATGAAATTGGGTCGATTCAAAGACACGACGACTGCGTGTTGTTCGCAGCTATCTGCGCAGAAACGAACAACGAGCTGTTCCCTGTCAAATCCGGAGCTACCAAACCTTTCATTGACAAGACCGTGGAGAACCTCACGAGCCTATCAAAATCTCTACCTCGTGTTCCGTATGGCGTCCCTGATGTGCGTCGTGCGCAGAACGCGCATCTCATTCGGCTCACCCAAGCCTCAGGAGATTTTCGAATATTCAATCAAGACGATACTGATCGTACAAATGATTTTCAAAGCAGGAAAAAATAATTTCGATGGCTTGAAGACGGCCAACATCCGCTTCTCTAAGCAGCTCTGGACCTTACTTTCTGAGTGCGTGGGAATAACATAATTTCTTCCGCGATCCAATTGACGTGTCGCAGACTCACCGGGCTAATCCTCACTTCATGCAATATCACCACGCCAACGTACATTGGCCAGATACAGGGAAAGTATGATCATTTCTGGACTTATCTGGTTGGATTTTATCCCTGTGTAGGGTTCATGATGTCTTCTAATCCTCGCTGCAGACCGGCGTAGAGATCCTGGCTCTGCCCGACAGTTACAGGCAGTTGTTCAAGCTATTCGCGGGGGTTCAGCGGCCGTACTACCAGGAGACCTGGGCCATTGTTACTGCGTGCCACGGTCTCGCTCAACAGTGGGAAAGCCTGCGTTTGGCGATCGGTGGCCCAGACGCGTTCGATCAGTTCGTAGTCTCGATCCTGCGATAGCACGCGCCCTAATTCCTGCCCCTTTCCTAGGGTAATCCAGAGATCGACGACTGCGCTGAAAGCGGCCGCGAAGACGACCTTTTCACCCGAGACCGTGTTCGATTACTCCGCTGATGCCGTCAAAGAAGCGCAAGACGCAATCACTGCGGCTGCGGCGGAGATTCAACTTGCCCACAGGCTAGAAAAGGTCATTTCTTTCCTGTTGGATGATTTGGAATCCTAGCTCATCTGACGCATCAATTTCCAGATTGAAGACACGACGAAGTTCGTGTCTGCTTTCGGAGAAGCTAGAGCCAAAGACCAAATGCGTCTGGATGACTTTAAAGCGCGCTTGGCGGGTGAACGTCCGGTATGCACAATCAGTGTCATTTCTGCTCATCTGCAGTATCTTCATTGATGCATTAGGTGAATGAGAAGCGGGACATGATCACGATCGAAGTCAACATCCAAGCCATTGGCCAGATCAAAGCGCAGATGATGAATTGTACGGGCCCGCCCTAAATTGTGTCTCCTCTCCAACTGAAGCATTTCTGTCCAGGCACTCTCAGTTCCACCGATTCGTTGAGCCGGTTGCTGTATCAAGTCGGCGATCAACTCTCCACGGCCGAGGCAGCCGTTCTGAGAAAGGACGGGGCCTTCAAGAAGGCAGTGACAGATATTGATGAGATCAACAGCCCTACACCGGTTAGCGCGCTGCAAGGCAAGGTATTTTTGGTCAACAGGGTACATGAGACTGCAAAGCCGGCTGCATTCTCTTGACCGGCGCGTGATCCTGACCAGGACTGACATGGTTTTCAATACATCGATGTCTTGCCTCCGCAAATATTGTATTCGTGTCAATGATCGTACTGCGTTTTTGCCTAGGTGCTCGCGTCGGTTTGGCCGACGTGCGATCTGGTTGGTACAGTTTTTGTATAGGAGAAGTTATCCATTTCCTCCCCGATAGCCTGACTTGCTATGCTTTTGATTCAAGGACACGTGAAGTCTCCTCCTCCTCTCGGCTGGTCGCCCTGCGGTTGATTCTTGTGTTGAGAGACCCGATCGTGGATCTTCATGATCTTTAAATATGGATTGTGGCGTGTTTCATGGCGATCCCGGCTCGTTACAGGTTCGGGGGTACTTGACTGCAAATAGGAACAGCATTTCTTTGTGACCATCATGATCATGGACCCGGATCAGACCGGATCACACTTCAATATTGACAAATCCGTTTTCCTATGTTAAGTATCCTGGGTTTTATTCATACGAGATTTCTGGACCCTGAATGATCTCTCATCATGACTTCGACTTTACCTGCCACGAAGATTTTCTTACTCGTTGCAATGAGCATCTCGCACTGATGGATCTATGGTTGACTGACCGCATGTGATTTGTCTGCAGTCTGCTGAGGAGTGCGGACCTTACTTACAGATGATGATATCGAAAAGAAAGTTCCTCACAGAGACCAATGGACCGGCTGGTCTGATTCAAAGATGCCGGACTTGTCATGATGCCCTTGTTCTCAAAAAGTCCAATTCCATCCGAAACGAACGAGCGTCCAAAAAAAGCACAAGGGACGGTGGCAGATATAACAAAGCCCGCGCGAAATTGTCTGTCCCAATCTTTCAATCCGAAAACACACCCTCCGCATAGTGATGCCCCGCACATTGCGCGCGCACGACCTCGAACAGGATCCACTCCCCGCAGTCCCCACAATACTTGACATCAGCAGACAAAACGATCCGTTCAATGTCTCCCGGACGCGGGGTCTCGTATCCCGGACGCTTGCGACTCAGGACGGTGAAGCGCTGGGCCACGGGGACTTGTCTGTGACCGAGAAGTTTTATGCCCTTGACCTTCGGCGGCGGAACTGAAACGGTGAGGTGGTAGATGCACCCCCGGATGATAGAGAGGACTAAGGCGTCGCGGATGAGGGCGGAAGTCAGATGGATGTCGCGGAACGACGCGTCGGCGAGGATGGGGGTCGGAATCTCGAAGGACCCAACAAGATATTGCTCGAAGGGACGCGTTCTAGCGACTGAGAAATGACACAGGTGAGTTACCTTCAGTGTGGAAGATGTTGAAAATAAATCTCACTCCATTGAAAGGAAACGTCGACGCAGTAGGCTGCCTGGTCGAGTCGCATCCCACCTGTGATGATGAACTGGAGCAGCTGGCCGCCATCGTCCACTAGCACCGCTTGAGAGGATGCGGCGATGCCCCCTTTGACTCGGGCATAGAACTCTTCCAGATCGCTCGGCAGTGGCACACGCTGCAGATATGAAACACAAGACGCCTTAGGGCTCGCCATATCTGCGGCGGCTCCCTCTGCGGACGACGTTGAAGATATGAATGGGACCAGGCAGGGGGAGGGGTCGAAGATATCAGAAAGCATGGGGGATGAGGACGAGAAGGGAGCAGGTGAGCTTGAACGTGTCCATTTGATCCATTTAAATACTGTTCAGTCGGATTGCGCTTTGAACTCGAAGTCAGACGTCAGACGTCCGGTGCAGAACGATCGAGCGGACCATAATGGAAGATACAAGCGTAGTGCCATCAACTGGATTTCGTGACGATCGAGTCAGTCGAATTTGATGGAGAAGCACATTGTTTCCTCAAAGCGCTCGATAAAGGCCTGTCGTTCACCTTCGAAGGCACCGCGGAGTTGCGCAGACATGATGGATGACGAGATAGAGATGAGAATGAATTACGTGCCCCCGGCGGCGATGTGGGAATTTCAAATCCCCGTAGACAAGAAGCTGTGCTGTGAGATGCGGGTGCAGAATTGAGTTCACTCTTCGTTCAAACCGACCGTAACCCGAGGCAGGAGCACCAGCTGCTCGGCTGTGAGGGAGGAATGACTTGTCTCGCAGAAAGAGCCAGTGCACGGGTGGTACAGGGGCACAACGAGCACTGACCTCGTCAAAGCGTTGGAACAATGAAATACACACTTGACAGGGAAAATGTGTTCCCAGGCCGAAACCCGGACACGAGTCGATACGGGAGCCGGGCTGCCCGATATAGTCATGACGAGTGGTCGAGCTGCGCAAGATGCAGACCTTGTGGAAATTTCAGTTTGAGCAAATTTATGAGTGTTAACGAAAGAGTTGAAGGCGTCCAGCGGCCAAGGCACCAAACGAGGGCGTAAGGACGCTGGTGTGACCGGACATTTGGCGCATGTCCGAATTTGGTCAATGTTGATCCGAAGTGAGTTGATCCCATCAGTTCCGTTCTCTTTCCACCGCCATACTGGCGCTCTGACACCAAACACGATCCGACACTTCTGTCGAGTGATGTCGAAAGCCCGCAAACTCGCTCATGCGCGCGTTGGAAACGATTGGACTCGAGGCTCTGTAACCGAACATCCCACAGACCCCCGTTGAACTCATGGATCCCTGTAGGTCCTAGTTTACTTCCGAAATTTCCGGGTCGTCAAGTCGACGCCATAGAACTGGTGCAAGTGCTCTTGTTCTCGATACGGATACACGACGCAGTCCGCTGGCTACATACAGTTACAATTGCTCTTTCGCTGCCCGCCATCCACTCCTTCCCGCTACAAATGCCTGCCACAAAACGCTCGACTCGGGTGCACGCTATACGGTACAAACGACTGACACCCAGCTCGCTCACAAGGGCGCATCATCCGCGACGTGACGACCCTCACCGACATCCCCGGCGCTGCGTTCCCCTGCGCTGGCTGGTGGCGGTAAAGGACGACCGACTGCTCGCAGCACGACTCCCAGTCACCCGGAGTAATGTACACAGTTGGGTTTTGCACTGGGCCGAGGGTGTAATCCAGAAAAAAGAGAGCAGAGCTGCGCAGGGAGCGGATCAGGGCCTCGAGGACGAGGTCGGTGCTGATGGTCACCGCGCGGTGCACGTCCTTGAAAACCGTATGGAACACGCGGAAGGAGGCGACCGGGACGGCGGTGGCACCACGCTCTTCTATAGAGCAGCAGCACTCAGTCAGCATGATACATGGGTGGTATGTGGCTAGGCCTTGACTTACCCCATTGGACGCTTAGCGTCCAGCCAGTACAGCGATCTTGCGTGTACTCGCCCCGCGCGATCTCGATCACGAAGGACATCCCTTGGGTGAAGATTCGGTCTCGGAAGATGGCTGTGGTTTCCGGAAAGGCGTGTGGTAGGCGGCTGGAGACGCCTCCGAAGGCGGGGTCTGTGAATACATTGCAATCGAACTCAGTGCGCCTGAGCTCGGTCATGTAGGTCACGAGGGTCTCATTCGCAACACTCGCGTCGGCGAACGACATGATGCGAGGTTCTGGAAAGCGTTGGACGAGGACAGACATCTGGTGGAGGAGAAGAGGCTGGTGTTCCTTCATGGCCGCGAGGTGGAGGTATATAACTGGGAATTCCTGCGCTATGGCCCTCGAGATGAGGTGCCCGATTGGGAAAGACTAGACATCCAGAATACCTGTCCAACTCAGCCAAAGCGCAATGCAAAGACAAAGGAGAAGGGGGAGTTGGTTCAATGACAGGAAAATGCCCTTGAAACCACTGACGAGAAAAGCGTCACCACAGACTTGGGTTTTCTCCATCCATCTCGTGAGCTGAAGTACGTGTTCATCCCCTGCGCCTTGGCGCGGGACCCGACGGGAGATCAGCCCTACCTGCCCAAATAAGATGTGCATGACGTGACTGTCTCCGAGCAGTGAGAGCTGACACATTATGACAGCTGCTCATAGCCTCATACCTCGATGCGCAACAGTCGTCGGAGCGTCGGAGCAGCCACTTGACGCGTGATTGCATCAGTCTCCCAAGTCGTTCAGTATAACAAGGACGACGACGGTATGCCGGAAATGTGTGACGCACATCCGAATGAATGTAGCTGGACCGGAGGATAGGCGCTTCATATCTCGGACCAGGGAGATGCAAATGTTACTTGCTCGGCAGTGCCGTCAGCGTCGAATACCGACCAAGCGAACGAAGAGTAGTGGAAATCTGGAATAATTTTAATTAGGTGGTCGATCAATCGAGCACGTGATATCACTCCATCACAGTTCTGGATCAGTCTACTTCCTGATCCGCATCGTGTCAGCGAAGAATTCGGTTTTTCCTATCACAAACTCTGGCGCATCCATCCTTCATGCCTGGAATTGCTGAGGCACATGTATGCCGGCTATATAATTCCAAAAATCTCCACGGTACCATTGCCTACCATATTCCAGGAGCTTCTCACGTTCCAAGAATCTAAACCCGCTCGACCCGGTGGACTTGGAGGAATGACTTGCCTGGAACAGCTGATCTTGTCTCTCCACGCTCAGACCATTTTACACTGGAAGTCTGGACTGAAGGAGTCATCTCCGACAGTGTTCATGCAGGCTTCACACTCTCTTTGTGTCAAGTGACACGACGTTGGAATTGTATGAAACTGGACTAATCCTGTTTTCCGTACGCTGATCCACCGCCACTCGACAACAATGGACCCTCCACTGCAAATACCCGGTTTTCCCAGCTTCTCACACCTACTCAATAGTCATCGCTTTGCTTTGTTCAGTATGATAATTGCAACGGCACATTGTTTCTATCTTCGCGCTTGGGCTGATTTTGACAGGTTAGTACGAGAGCGGATAGTGCATTTCCCAATCTGGCGGGCAGTCTCGAGGGCCATAGCGCACCATTATCTGTTTTATATCCTGCGCTCGCAGCGATGCAGACCAGTTCTCAACGAACCTCACATCCTCCAGCTATCCATTCGTTCCATCCCAGATGATCCTCCTCGTCAACCGTTTCCCACTCCCGAACGGCACGTTCGTAGACTCCATCAGCACCGTCGAGCAGCTGTTAGTCCGGTACATGAGTGCATTACGCCGCAGAGAACAGGATGCCCGGTCGGGCATGACTTCAAGCCAACTTCCATCCGACTTTCCGGTCACGCAGAGCAAATTTCTTGCACGTATCGACAATTCGCCCGGCTTTTCGTTCTTCGCCAGCATCAAATACCGCGTGTACAACCGCGAGCAGTGTTCTGGGTGGACACTCTACGTCCAATGGAGTCAGTGAAATATTCATCAGCGAACTGAATGCACTCAATGACTGACACGTCCTCCAGAAGAGCGAAACGCCGAGCGGCCGACCGCAGTCGCGTCATTCCGCGTTCCCAACACCATCGTCGGGGATATCTACCGCTCCGTGCAGATCACCACCGACCTCGTGCTTGAGGCGCTCATCGCCTCGCTGTACAATGTGGCCCCCGTCGCGCTTGTCGTGACCATCGGTCCAGTATACCACGAACCAGGGAACTCGGGCTGGCTGGCGCGCTATGTTGAGTCGGTAGTGCTCCAGGTCGACGCCAACAGCGATCCCAATGGCGCGCAGGCCGTCCGGACTGTGGAACAGCGAGTGATGTGCCCGTGTCTCGGAGCCATGCAAGGATGTCGGGCATGGGTCCCCACGAGCGCGCGGCCTGCTCTGTGCAAAGACCACCTGGGAATGCGATTCGTGTAAATGTGGGGATGAAACAACTCGCACCCTTGTACTTGTATCCACTGGATGTACAACATATTCAATTTGAGAACAAGAGCACTTTAATCATGCGTGCACCAGCGGCGGATGATCCCCGAGAAAACAAGGACTTTGATTGATCTACATCACCGCTCTGTGGTGCAAACACGTACCTCATAAGTACGGATCGGATTCTGAATCAAACGATGTTCCATCCATCATTATGTAATTTGAAAGTATGATTTCGGTCGTTGCCCTAAAATGAGAGGGACACTCACAACTTGGATGGCAGATGCATCATTTCCTGACATATGCACGTGACATTCTTACTACCGGTTGATGCTGTGGCCGAGGGCCGAAGGCACATGACACTGCTGACGAACGTGTTTTTAGTTTGGGCCGCTCTCCAGAGCCCACATGGATTTCTTCCAGCATCATGACACTATTCGTATATCTTTCAGCATTTTTTTTTTTGGCTGAGTTTGCCTAAAATTTCTAAACTGTTTCTTATGATTTTTATTTATTTATTTCACTTAATGGGCTTGTGGCCCCACTCTAGAGCGAAGGACCCATGCGGCTATCCTAAACTTGGAAGCGGCTGGGGGAGTTTTTTCTTTTTGGATCAAGAAGAGACCAGGATCCACCAAGAAGACAAGGAACGAAGAAGGAAGTCACGACCGCTCCGGAGATCATGAAAAAAACGGATCTGTTTCGCACAGTGCAGATCAGACTTCAACATTGAGATGGAGGAAGAAGAGGTTACTGCAGGGATCCAGCGCAATTTATCGCTATCACGATGACCATTCTGTATTCCAGAAGCTTTGCAATCAAAAACATCTTCAAGTCACATACGCTATAAATGTGAAACGCATAGTACGAATGCGAGTTTCTCAGTGTTAATCGACATTCCATAGGCAAATGAGAGACCAGCTATGGATTGTTCGCTCGTCAGGAATGCATGGAAAATGAAGACCTGACCGACATGAACGTGGCATACAAAGCCACAACGAGCGCGAAGGCGCATTGCGCAACCTGGGACGAGGATGCTCAGTTCCGGAATCGTAAGACAAGTCGTTCAGCCAACAACATCTAATGAAAGAGGGCATGTACAGAGATATGTGCTCAGAGTTCCCAGAGTGCACCGACGGAAAACAGATATGTGACACTACCCCATAACTTGAGAGGATTCATTGGACTCATCTAAATCTTCTAGTATCGATCATAGTCAATGGTCGCAGACTAGGTTCAAGGCAAGGCGGCCGCCAGTGTGCAACGAAGATGAGAGGCTCGTTATGACTGGATTCTTGAATTAGATCAATGTTTCGACTCGGACCCGCCGGAAGATAGGCGAGCACTTATCAATTGCTCAAGAATCGTGTGAAACTCCCGCCCGAAAGCCCCACCCAATCTGATAGTACGCATATACGACCTGCTGCTGGCCACCGTCCCCAACAGCGCACACCACGCGTTCTTTCCTCCGCACCACCAGCTGCTCTCCATCCCCAGTCCGGCTAGTCCTCATGCCGAAAGTGCGCTCGACGTCCTCACATTCGACCGCATGCGTCGGCCGCAGCGGCATGACCAGGTGGAACAGCGCGTCTGGGGACCGCCGCAGCATGGCGCGGACGGCGGCGTAGATCCAGGCGGCATGGGGTGGTTCGTAAGCGATGTCAGCGCCAAGGATCACATCGAAGCCGGGGGAGAGGTGCGTGGTGAGAGGACATAAGGAAGGGGCGGATTGAGGTGAGGATGGCGTTGTAGGGGATGTAAAGGCCGCCCAGTCCAACGGATGAACACATATCGACGTCGAGGTAGCGCATCCCAATTCAAAGGTGGAAGGAGAAAAGTTCTGGGTGACGTTCCACGCGAGGTTTTCTAGCACGGCAGGGTACAAGTCTGTGCACACCACGCGTGTTTTCGGCCTTCCTGCACTCTCGGCCTCAGCAAGCTTGGTATAAGCGATCCCAACGAGCCCTGTTCCCGATCCGAGTTCCAGGACACGTAGCGGCTCCGCATCATTGCCTGATTCACTCCTCCCTCCCAGCCTGAAGATCGCCGGATCGCGCGACATGAGATCTGCGAGAACACACGCCCCGCCCCACGTCTGTACCCCAGCGCTTTCGAGTCCATCCGACAGGGGCATGTCCCTGACCGTCACTGTCAGTGCCATCCTTTTCCAGCCGCCGGCGCTCGCATGACGGTACAACGGCAGGACACGCGTCATGGGCCCGCTGCCACCTGGCCCAGCGAGATTCGCGAGGAGGGAGGCCGCGGCGGGCGTGTCGGGGAAACGGGTGGTGAGGTAGGAAAGCCAGCGCAGGGCATGCGTACGCTCGAATGCGTCGGTGCGTAGCGCAGTGTACGGGTCACCCTCATCCTCAACCTCATCACGGTCGTCGTTTCCGCTGACATTTTTTCTCCCGTTGCCCTCAGCCCTCTGGATTTCCACCCCGGTACGTCCATCGGAAACCTCGAGGGTCCGCCGCAGGATCTTAGAGCCTCGGACAGACGGCATATAGAGGGTGCGCAGGTACTCGACATATTCATGCAGAACCTCTGGCGGAAGCGAGCCGAGCGAGCGCGGCGGGGGTAGTTTCTGGCTCGGTGGGTCGATGGTTGCTGAGGATATGAGCATGACAGTCGATAAGTGAAGAGCATCTGATCTGATCTGTCTGTCTTCATACTTTTCGCCCGTCGTTGCAGGTACAAATGGGCATGACACCAATGCCCATGAGTGACTAAGATAAGTAATGGACAACAGATTAGTCCATGGCAAGTACGGCGCATGAGATTAGAGAATCGCGTCTAGGGCAATGATGATAGGTAAGATGTGTATGCTACATAACACAACGTCAGAAAAACGCAATGGGAGCCTTACTTCAACAGGTCAGCTTTCGGTATACGCGGGCGGGGCGGCCGCATATACCTCCTCCTCCATCGTACGACTCTTCTCACTCATCGGCAGCGCACACACTTCGAGACCGAGACCACCCACCCCCCAGTCGAACGGGAAGAAGACGCCGTGGCTATGGATGTCGCTCTCGTCACCCTGCTTCCGCTGGCGCAATGGACGTCTAAAGTATCCGAAGGTCCCAGCGATCCCCTGGGCCCGGCCCGAGACTCGGATGTCTGCGGTGTCGATAGATCATAGCTGTTGTCGCGCGCCAGGTCATTGACGACGAACGGCGTGGGCGTGGGGTAAAGCATAGAGTTGCGGTCGTCAAACCGGCCCCAATGGTCCAATACATTGTTTGTGCGGGCGTAGTCACCGCGAGGATTGCGCCGTCGCAAAACGAAAAAGTAGAAGGCAAAGGCGCCTGCGATGATTGCTGCTGCGCCCAATCCGACACCGAGCGCGATCGACAGGGAGTCTTTCGGCGGTGGTTTCGGGGCGACGCCTGTTGAGTTGGTAGGGGATGACAACGAAGGGGAGGACGATGACGAAGACGCAGAGCCCGTTCCGTTTTCTATCGTGTAGCTGTAACCTACCCGTTAGTCGGGTGTATGAGAGGTATTAGAGACGGGGGAACGCACTAAAAGCCATCGCAAATGATAAAACGGTTATCCCCTATCGTCAGCTGTACGATGCTATTCTTGGCCCGGTCGCAGACCACCGCACATCCCACAGCGAAGACTCGGATCCACCGACACTCGTGGTCGACGCGAATGGATCAGTGAGATTGACAACCACACTACGCTCCCCGTCGAACGTAATCACAGTGTCCACGGCGTACGGCCAGAGCGGTGCCAGGTAGTACACTGCAACGCCTGCAGTGAGGTCTTCAGGGACTTAGCTCGACAGGCAGATGGCCTCAACGCACCTGTGAACTTGAATGTGGCGCTAGCTCTCACATCGCTAGTGCCTGTATGCGTCCCGCCAAAATCCAGACTGGACCTATGGGACGAGGAGGGCTCCCATATCCCGGCATACGTGATGAGGGGCGACGTGTCGTCCACTGATACGTTCCACAGGGCATTCACTGCGGGCAGCAATAAAAGGACCGGCAGTAGCAGTGACAGCATGAATGAGGGTGTAAGAAAAGGAGGTGAGACGAGACGAGGCGAGCGCGACAGTGGGCGCCGCCATGACGCTTCACTATCAATTGGTGCGTCAAACAAACGAGCGCGCTGTTTGTTGATGCGTCACAATCTAAACATGGATGAATGTCTTCGGGTACCCCGGGTTGCTCATCGATCGGGCGCTGCAGTCATAAGGTAGGTCTCTCGTGTTATACAGATTCTTAGAACTCACTGAAGGGCTCCATCATAAAGCGTAGTGAAGAACATTAGACTGAACTCGCACGATCGGAGACTCGATGTCTTCCCCATCACTTCTGGATATGTCTGCAGGCCGTTCCATGAGGAGACACACATGTTGAACAGCTGATTGGAAAGGGCCCGCGACAAGCTCGCCCGTGGGATCTTCACAGCTCCCCAGGCGGCCGAATCGATCCCACTCCTGGGAGTCTATGGGAGCGCAACAGATGTGACTGAATGTCTCCTCGTCTGGTGAGCAAATCCTATCTTAGCTCGGAGGTTGCGGATATTTTCATGCGCTCCACAGATCATGGTGCGGCGGGAGAAGCGGACGGAAATAATCAATTCCAATTCACTGGATTCAACGATACATTCATCCAGAAATATCCCTAGCGCTACTGAATGCCTTGCAGGGATCATGGCGAACAAATCTCGAGAGGAGCAGCTCAGTAGAACCAGTACTTGGCAACGTACTTGACGGAGATGGACGATCCGGCCTTGCACTGGGACACGAGATGAGTCTTTACCATGCCAAGAAATTTCAGCAACTTACCGAGGTGGGCGGCTGACCCCCGACGGTGTCGATGCGGAACACGTTGGTGGCCAGGGTACCCTTCAACTGAGCGAGCTCGAGCCAATCCACGTTCACCGAGGGGTTCTTAGGTGCGACCAGGTCAGCGATTTTGCTTGCGATGACGAACGAGGAGGTGCCCGGCCCAAGGCTGGAGGAAAAGTCCCATTCCGCAGAAATCCCGGTGCCCGACGGCGAGGTCACAAAGAAGTGGTTCTGCGGGTGATAGATGAGCGGAGACGCGGAGGTTCAGTGCAAAAAATGGCGTACACCGAGCTTGCGCGAAGCACCAAAGAGTGGGCCAATGCCGTCAACCAGTCCGAGCCCTTTTTCCTCGCTCCAGACGTCGAATGCATACTCCTGGAGGGTGTCGAAACCGACCGTACCCTCGAGACAAGAGATGTCGAAGATCGACGCGATGGCTCCGATGGAGCTAAGTGAGCGATCAAGGTCAGCGGACGGCTATGATTAGAGCGGCCGTCCTCACGTGTAGGTCAGCGTGGTGCTCGAGCAAGTATAGTTTTGGATGCCGACACCGAGCGTGACGAACTTGACGGGCAGGTTCGGTGCGACGAGCGTCGTCTGTCCCGCAGGAAGGTCCGGCGACGCCCTGGTCGGGTTGCACTGGGACGGCGCACCCGCGACGAGAGCCGCGAAAAAGACCAAGGGAAGGATCAGTTTGGCGAACATGTCAGTAGCTCTTTTACTTCTGTGCTGGAGGGATGTACACCTGGGAGGATGTTGGTCGTATTTCTGGAAAGCAGCGGGCCTTTATACTCTATGTGCGGGCCCGCATCATGACCGTAACAAAATAAAATACTGACCAACCACGAGGATCACTGAGCCCCTGGGAGTCTCACTAATACGGCAACAGCTGTCGCGCTGGGCCTGGACGGATGTTACCCACGCATCTCAAGTCCTTCTTCTGTCGTGCAAGAACGTGCTTAGGGTGATGAGGCATGATGGCCCACCTTGGCCGCCTCCGCGAAGGGCCTCTATCCCCGCAAAAACCGACCCTTTGCTCCTAGACGTTCGTTCACGAGTCGATCGTGCCCGAGGCTGACAAAACACACATGCTTGCCCCTACTTCACTCATCACTACGCGTCTGCACTTGGCACTTCCAATGACTCCTGCGCTAGAGCGCAGGGATTCTCGACTGGTCTCGATCGGACAAACCACATTGGCCCAGCAAATGATGGACGGCCGGCGGTGTTGTTGGAACAGCGAAATGATTTGAAGTTGATGCAAGAGTCACTTTCGCGGCTACTTGGTGTCTGTGATCGCCCGAGGTGAACTCACAAGCAGGTGAAATCGTTAGGGCGACCACGTGACTCATTGCAGTTATTTCTGTGAAAAGGTGGCATGGGGCAGGGCAAGGTAGGATCCTCCACCAAAGGAAATGACGTCATCTCTAGACTCATCGAGAGCAGTCGAAATTTGCCGAAAATCGACCGTATCGTCAGAAATTGCGCAGCATCCTTCGCGGATAAGGTTGGTCCCTTCTAGTGATTGATGTTAAAAGATTGCCCGCGGGTTCTCGGCATCTCGATTGATGTTTTTTTTCTTCCTTCTGGTCGGACAGAATCACTGAATGATGCACCAGTCGTCTCACATATGATGTGCTGAGCCGTGGCTGATCTTTCAAGTCCGAGGCTTCACCTACGGAGAAAGTGCCCAGCGCGTGAAATTTCTTATGAAGGCAGCTTTCCCATGTGCCAAGTGCAACCGAGGGAAGGGAAGCAGAAGGGAACTCATCAGCCGTGCCGTACGCCAAGGCAAAGTAGTAATTATGTCAAGGTCAGCGACATGCCGACATGCTTACAAGTTCGCCCTGACTGAAATCTCGTGATCTGAAGCACAGTTGTGACAGCTAGCCCTTCTCGTCGTGCCTCGTGGTGCGCTGGGAGCTAGACGAAGTCCGCTATCATGGGGGCGGGTCAGGATATACCGTATCCGGACACAATGATCAGACCACGAGGCAGTGGCACACAACGTATTCGCCCGGTATCCGCTGCGACAAAGCAAATCTCCTCGTCGCTTTGTTGACGTCGTCCATGGATGAGCGCATGCTCCGGGCAGGGGGTATATAACGATGCCAGGTGCGTATCTTTGTTCCCAGAGGCCGCTGTGGGCCTCACTCCTACCCCTTGCCTCCTCTATAGTGCAAAGACCGACCGCCTATGGCTTCCAGCTTTTCTGTCTCATCATCCCTCGGCTGCATCCGCTCCGCTTCAGTCGCGTTCCTCACCGATCTCCAATCTTCGAAATCGCTACATCAGCTCCTCTGCGCTCCATCCGGTCTCCTTGATTGCGACGACATGTCGTTCGACGTGTTCCCCATCAGCCAACACCTGCACGATGCGTCGAACAAACAGGCATTCCTCCTGGAGCTACACTTTCATCGCAATGTGACGCATGGTGGACCGGGCTCTACCGTCTTCACAGCGTCAAGTTCCCAGTGGGGTATGTCACGCTCGCTTTCCTTACGGGGGGCGGACGACTAAATCGCGAAGCAGGAGATCACAAACTCCTCGGATCTTTCGCGATTCACGACTCTGTGTACACCCATCCCAATCGAGTCGCGGGTGTCACCGCCGCTTTCGTTCTCACGACCATGTCGCAAGCCATCCGACTTGGCTGGGTCGATGCGCGCGTCGGGATGCATGAGCTCGTGCGGTTTCATCACCCTCAGCCGCAGTTCCCGATCGACACCCATATAACATCCATCAAAGTCGAGCAGATCCCGCTCCCTCCTCTTCCTCTCGATCTGTTCAATTTGGATTCCTGAATGATCGAGTATTCACGAGTGCCCACTGCGGGCAGCGGGCACATGCATTCTGCTTTTGGGACCTTCTCCTTATCTCGTTCGAATACCCGCCGAGCGCACGGCCAACATCTTATTGCTTACTGTATTGCTTTGTCTTTTGTATCAAAGCTGGAATAACTGGAGATGGAAATCTGATCTTATCCATCTGTATGCCCCGCATGCAGTGCCACAGAGTCAAGGGAGCTCGGCTTCGATCCGGCAAAATGAGCAGCCGGCCCGCCGGCGTAGCGTGGCAGATGCCAGCGGAGCTCCGATCCTGATGCGGACGGAATCGGTCGCTGAATTGCTCAACGTTCGACCCGGATACGGACGATATTGGGCTCATCAGTTGCTGATCACTGTTCTCGTATGCGGAATATGCTCATATGTTATGGTCCGACGCTGGATGTAGACGCAAAAGCTGAGTAATGGATACCTTCCACACACACGTCTCTCCCTCTCGATAATGATAGCTAAGAATTATTCAATTGAAAAGCTGTTTGGAAGCTCAATGTGCCTCATTCTATGACATCAAGAGCAAAATAAGATCATACTACTATTTTTGAATTTTTCCATCCGATGAGTGTGTATGCTTGCATGTATCAGGCCCGTGATTGGCGGTCCGATGACCTACGCGGAGGGATGCTCAGGTTGCAAAGGTCCGGTCTGACTCGCGGACAAAACAAGGTAGAATTTGTCCTCAGGCGATCCTTATGCCGACCAATTCCGAGTAAACATGGAGGACGGATCTGATCAACACAGTGATTTTCGGATCGGACATCCGAAGGCATATGCCACTTGCCTAGCGACGCCTCGAAGAGCCTAGGTGGATGTAATCAGCCGAAAGATAGGAGAGTAGATCTTGAGACGTGACGTAGAAGCACGAGCAGCATGCAGCTTTGAACTCTGACGCACTAAAACTTCCTCCTTAGTCTCTCACGAAATGAGAACACCCACTGAAATGTGTCAAAATAAGCAATCTCAGTGGGCAGGAATTCCTTCGATGCTGAACCTATGCCAATGCTTGGGATTCGGACTCAAGAAATCGAGGGCCCAGCCGCAGTATGCTGCAGTCAGTTGGCCGGAGAAGCGGACTGTGTTTCGCCGTTTCATCTGTGTGTCACGAGTGTCCGATGAGCGGTGCTCGCACTTACCACAGGTCTCATTTTTTGAAGTTTCCATGCTTTATTCAAAGCACGTGGGTGCTGCGACTGACTTCGTTATAACCATACCGATTCCCGAATGAGAAATAAAAGGTAAGTGGGTGAGAAAAATCTGACGGAGGAGTGGAGCAGAGGGCGAAGAGAAATCCGCCGAGCGTCGCAAACAAGTTGCGAAAGGTACGAGGCTCATTTACAGAATTTATCGAAGCTAATTCGGGATCTTGTCTCTGACTCACGCGTGACGAACCAGGTCGCCTAGACCATGCCAAACCTTTGATGATCCCAATTGGCACCTGCGTTGATGTCGAACAGCCCATTCGATATCGACGTTCGGACAGCTAGCATCCCGCTCGGCAGGATCACAAGTTGGGAGGCCATCTGGATGCAGCTGAATTCATAATTAGTATAGATCATTGGTCCTGGAACATTTAATAGCCTAACGATGCCTCTTTCCGTGACAGAATCCTTGGCTTGACATCTATACCGTGAGAGAGCAGTATCTCTGCCGATGTCTTGTCTCGGATTTACCGGGAGGATCTGCTGCCGGGCTGATGCCACTGAGAGATAGTAGAGGATCTCGTCGAACAGTCCAGTCCGTCTTGTCTTTTCCACTCTGGCGTATGACGCAGGCCAGAGCCTGGGGAGGACTCAATTGTGTTCATATCTCATGGGAGCGACGACGTGACCACTCCCAGCCTGTCAGGGCAGTACAAGGTCTAGAAGGATTGAAGAATTTCAAACTTCAAGGGCTAGTCCTTCAAGAAATCAGCGGAGGTCCTCAGTGAGCTCGCGCGCACACCCTGGAACAGCTGTGATGGCCGTCTATCTTGTTGGTGGGGCACGTAAGTTGTGACAATCAAACTAATTCTCTATCCTCATTACCCCATGAGGGATGTGACGGGTGACCGACAATTGAATTGGATAACTACAGTATGATAGTCTCATGATCAGTCGGGTATCTACACTCTGCCGCGTTCTAGCGCTTCTGCTCCTGCGTTTATCCTACAACCATGGCGCTGGTTCTCATACATGCTCGATCTCGATCATTCTCGCCCCCAAAAAGTCCCAACATTGGCCCGAATCTGCTTCCCCAAGTCACAGAGAGCTGGTGGATAAAGACGGAGAATACTTGCCAACAGGCAACGCACAGTTATGCGCTGGGATGGAAGTGACTGCCGATATTCTCGAATCCAACGACGATCTATGACCCAATCCAATTCTAGTCTGTCGCCGCTTGTTCCCGCATCCCCAATGTCTCGAACTCCACTAACTTCCTCTCTAGCGCTCTCACCACATTGAGCGTCGGTAACCACCTATGCACTTCTCCGCAGTAGTTGCGAGTACGCGAGTCCGCATCTGCGCCATCATAGCTGGTCTCCTCGCGATCATCGGCTGTTGTCGTAATCTTCGTCAATCCCCCGAACAGCATGTTAAGATACGCCGCGACATCGCTGGGCTGCTCGATCCCCGCCTTGAGCACCATCAGCTCACGCAGCGCCAGCTGGCGTGGGAACGGGCGAGACGACAGGAGACCGGAGGCCCGTGGAGCGTCACGCGCGTCGAGGGGGATCTTGAGCGTACGCAGCGAGCGGCAGTGTTCGGCGAAGGCTGCGAGACAGGGCAGCGAGACGAGTTTGCCGCCGGGGTCGGTAGTCCACAGCCACAGGTCGACGAGGTGCGGCAGATTCTGCGCGAGAACGCCGAGGCTATCGTTGGTGATGTCGAAACCGACGTGGGATTTGATAGATATGCGCGTGAGAGAAGAGAAAAATGGGGAGCAGAGGAGGGTCAGGCTCCATAAGTCGCCTCCCTCGCCGTTATCCGAGCTGGAGATATCTAGCAGACGGAGTTCCGATGCAGAACAGCTCCTAACGGACGATACTAGGCTTTCGAAGGCCGAGTTGAGGACGAGTTCTTTCAGTCCGAGATAGAGGGTTGACAGCGGCGACCTGGTCAATGCTGAGAGAAGCAGGATTGCCTCCGCCTGTGTGACAGATTGCAGATCGAGCGCTTCGAGGGCAGGAAAGAATGGTGCTTCAGCGGGGAGCGTCGCGAGATCCTCGAGATTGGTGACGAACGTCGTGGAGAGCGACTGGAGTCGTGGAAGCGCACCCAGGCAAAGGAGAGTTCGCTGATTCGCCACATGCGCCGAAGCGGAGCGCAGGTCTTCGTACAGAGCGAACGCGGAGGAGAGCAGATCCGCGGGCCCTTCCTCGTCAGACGTATCGAAGTGCAAGCCTATATCACGCATCGTCTTGGAGAATCGATGCGAGATCTCCGATAGAAATGCCATGTTTTCGTCAGTATTCCCCTCTAAGCAGGGAGACCAGATGTGCACTCTAGGCAGACTGGTATGAGACCCTAACAGGGTGGTCAAATGGGTCATTTTTGGTACCCGAGTAGGGTCAAATACCACATGCTTTGGCAGCAACCACCCTCAATTTGTGAGGATTGAACCTGGGCCCCAATGATCAGTACTGCCTAGTAGAGGGCCTGCTGGGCTTGGATATTTATGTAGGCATAGCTAGCATCAAGGTGCTAGTCCCCTAGGGGCTCATGGCACACCCTGGGCCTACTGTTGCCCAGATCTGGAAAATGGCCCAATCAGGCCAGTATTGTCCTGACGCTGGATACAGCAGCTTGGTACTGAGCAGAGGAGCATTTTGAATATGCATGTATACTGAGAACATGCTCTTGTACTGATTGGCTTAGCTGGGGCCCGCTGCAGGTCAAATGCCCAAATTCCCGGGATCATGCCAGTAGGGCCTGTGAGCAATCTATGGTAGCTGTGAATGGGTCAGAGGAGCACTGAACATTGATATACACTCCTCTCACCTGTGTTCTGAGTTATTGGTGCGTGCTGCGCCTGCTGCAGGTCAAATATGGGCATTTGCCTAATTGGGCCGATATACCCCAGAGGATGGATGTTAGAGCATTAGATCAGTTGTAGGTAAATCCTATAGTATTAGAAACTCTGTGAAATACTGGACTGGGTCATCAGTGCTCTCAGTGCCTTCCGCAGGCCTGATATTAAAATTGGCCTGATCAGGGTATCATGGCCCAGATAATGGATATTAGGGCATAAAATCAGTTGGGGATACATTCTATGGTACCAGGAACTGCCCGGAGTCCTGTTCCAGGTCATTGATGCATGCTGCACCTCCTGCAGGTCAAATATGGAAATTTGCCTGATAGGGTCGGTATAGCCCATGGGATGTGTATTGGAGTGAGAAATGACATGGAAGGCCTCTAAGAATGTTCTAAAACTCCCTGGAAGACTTCTCCAGTCATCAGTGCACCCAGTACCTTCTGCAGACCAAATGTAGAAATTTGCCCAATTAGGGTCGTATAGCCAGTATGATAGGTATTAAAGCATTACATGAGTTGGAGATACATCATATAGTATGAAAAGCTCTGTAGAATTGTGGAATGGGGTATCAGTTCTTCTAGTGCCTGCTACAAGTCAAATATGACAATTTCAGGGGAAGAAACTCAGTAATGGGTGGAACTGAAAGTCCCTCTTGTAATGCAGATATTCTTGCTTCAGGAACCCAAAGCAATATGCTATTCCATTACATTGAGCCATTAAGAGATTTTCCGAACCCCAATAATGTGAAGATCCCACTCTATCTATTTTATTCAGGTGCAGTGGATTTTATATTAGTAGTGTGATAGAAACTCTCAAGGTGAATTCCACCCTCTCTTCAATGTTGAAATGAACTTCTACAGTGCTTTTCACAAAGATTATAGAATCTATATCATAAGAAGACCCCAAAGTCACCATTCTTGTGAACTTGCATTAGTGGTACATCTCAATCTTGTTGAGGCATACCACTCAAAAATGAGGTGGGCTTTTTATCTTCACTTCCCTTAGATTCTATAATCTTTGTGAAAAGCACTGTAGAAGTTCATTTCAACATTGAAGAGAGGGTGGAATTCACCTTGAGAGTTTCTATCACACTACTAATATAAAATCCACTGCACCTGAATAAAATAGATAGAGTGGGATCTTCACATTATTGGGGTTCGGAAAATCTCTTAATGGCTCAATGTAATGGAATAGCATATTGCTTTGGGTTCCTGAAGCAAGAATATCTGCATTACAAGAGGGACTTTCAGTTCCACCCATTACTGAGTTTCTTCCCCTGAAATTGTCATATTTGACTTGTAGCAGGCACTAGAAGAACTGATACCCCATTCCACAATTCTACAGAGCTTTTCATACTATATGATGTATCTCCAACTCATGTAATGCTTTAATACCTATCATACTGGCTATACGACCCTAATTGGGCAAATTTCTACATTTGGTCTGCAGAAGGTACTGGGTGCACTGATGACTGGAGAAGTCTTCCAGGGAGTTTTAGAACATTCTTAGAGGCCTTCCATGTCATTTCTCACTCCAATACACATCCCATGGGCTATACCGACCCTATCAGGCAAATTTCCATATTTGACCTGCAGGAGGTGCAGCATGCATCAATGACCTGGAACAGGACTCCGGGCAGTTCCTGGTACCATAGAATGTATCCCCAACTGATTTTATGCCCTAATATCCATTATCTGGGCCATGATACCCTGATCAGGCCAATTTTAATATCAGGCCTGCGGAAGGCACTGAGAGCACTGATGACCCAGTCCAGTATTTCACAGAGTTTCTAATACTATAGGATTTACCTACAACTGATCTAATGCTCTAACATCCATCCTCTGGGGTATATCGGCCCAATTAGGCAAATGCCCATATTTGACCTGCAGCAGGCGCAGCACGCACCAATAACTCAGAACACAGGTGAGAGGAGTGTATATCAATGTTCAGTGCTCCTCTGACCCATTCACAGCTACCATAGATTGCTCACAGGCCCTACTGGCATGATCCCGGGAATTTGGGCATTTGACCTGCAGCGGGCCCCAGCTAAGCCAATCAGTACAAGAGCATGTTCTCAGTATACATGCATATTCAAAATGCTCCTCTGCTCAGTACCAAGCTGCTGTATCCAGCGTCAGGACAATACTGGCCTGATTGGGCCATTTTCCAGATCTGGGCAACAGTAGGCCCAGGGTGTGCCATGAGCCCCTAGGGGACTAGCACCTTGATGCTAGCTATGCCTACATAAATATCCAAGCCCAGCAGGCCCTCTACTAGGCAGTACTGATCATTGGGGCCCAGGTTCAATCCTCACAAATTGAGGGTGGTTGCTGCCAAAGCATGTGGTATTTGACCCTACTCGGGTACCAAAAATGACCCATTTGACCACCCTGTTAGGGTCTCATACCAGTCTGCCTATAGTGAGATGTGTAGGCTGGTCAACTTCGGTCCGAGAAACGGGCGCATGGCCGTAAGGTTGTTCTGATGCCACGTGAGCGATTGGAGCGAGACAAGGCACGTCTCGGGAGGTGGACAGATCAGGATCGCACCAAGTGCTTGGGCAACATCGAGCGCGGATCCTCCGGAGGAAGGGCAGGTCAAATCACGGATGCAAGGACCATAGATAACCGAGCGTGTCCAGTCTTGGGAAACGATGTCTCTCCGCGGTGACAAAATTCCTGTGTGGCAGAGAAGTCAGCTTTTGGCGGGTGGCGCAGGCAAAAATAGCACGGAAGTGACAACTGACTGGACATTCCGGAACCCAAGCCCGCATTCCACACATCTTCTGGCATCGTGTATCTCAGCCAATCCCCAAGCTCGACGGTGGCCCATAGGGCTTCTATCGCGGGCTGAAAAAACACTCGACAAGTCTGAGCGAGCGCTGCGAGGAGTCCCTTGAGCTCGTCGCGCTCGACAGCTTCACAGATGAGGTTACGAATTTCGGCAACCTCCAGTGCGGGATGCATCGAGTCGCAGGGATGGGGGGTAGACGCGAAACACTGTCTGGAATGTGGGCCGAATGCAGGACGTCGTCAGGTATGCGCCGCGGATAAATGTCTTGAAATTATATAATGCTCTCACTCCGGAGTCTGCCGAGGAGAAAGAGGGTCTCCCCGACAATCCAAAGATCGAGATGGACCTGGTTCTTCTTGACGCTGGACCAACGCGCGTGAGTGCCATGCACGGTCCCGGGTGATTGGTTCAGTCGTCTGCGTCGTTTTGACCCAGTGCAGGAGGCAGCTGTTCGAGGAAGCTGATGAGCAGTGAAATGAAGATTCCCAGCGTGTTTTTCTGATGAGCACTCGGACGAAGGCGCGCAATCATGGATAGGCACACGATCAATTCTGTTTCGCTATTGCGTTGCCAGGCAACCAGTGACAATTCATGACGGCCAAGGATCCGTGGATAGTCGACAAACGCAAGGAGGTGAGCGGATTTCGCCCCAGTCGGCTGCGCGCGCGTGGCTCTAATCGAAGACCATCGCATCGGGCTGCGAATAGACAGAAAGCTGACTATTGAGGTTGCGTGTCCACGATGAGCTCTGCAGACATCGATATCAAGTGTCCGCAAAGGATCGGGTTAGAGCGGCCTCGCGAGATTTCCATATGTCGTCTCGGAATCAGCTGGAATCAGAGAAGCAGACGACATTCGGCGGTATGTACATGAACCACGGCTCGAAAGATGTCGTCACCTGGCATTTTCATTGCCTCATTGCCCGGCTATTCCCGAAGGGAGTCCGTGGGGACCGGCCACCCCAGGCCGATAAGTTCTGCGGATGACCGGCTGGAAATGGAGGAGAGGATCCGTTCCGATTTACCTGTCGGATGGGAAGGGAACATGCATATTTGGGGGGTTCTTTCTTTCGAAATCCACGTGCAAGGCAAGCAATCGAGCAGGCGCACTCCTCCGGACCGGACGGAGGCGGACAAAAGCCATGAGGATGTCAGTCAGGATCACGTGAAAGCAGGATCCGGCCCGAAAAGCATTTGTAATAAGAAGCAACACTGGTGTGCCGGGAGCAGTTGTAAACGTGATGATCGATGCTCCGCCACAATCCGACTCTGGCTTGTACATCCGGTGCAGAAAGACAATTGCCCGACTCTGTGTGCGGGACACAGCAAGATAGATGCTGGCATCAGCCTCAGTGAGTGTGTGTGCTTCAGTTTTCGAGTCCGTCACTCCAGGTGTTCCAGCGGCTGAGAATTGAGAATCATTCAATCGGCGACCAACTCAATGGCCAGATACTTACATGTGCCGTTGTACACTTGCGGAGCCTTGCCATATACAACAACCTCTAACACCGAGAACCCCCAGATTTGGCAACACGGCCTTGGCAGTGCCGCGATTGCCGAAGTTTCAACAGCTGGAGCGTCTTCAAATCTTGCCCAAACCGCTGGATGCATCGAGCCGTCACCGCGTGCAACCTCCTCAATGCCGGTACATAAGGATGGCCGGGGCAAGGCCCGATGTTGTAGGCGGTGTGATCTGACGCCGAACTTCGACTCGGCTCCAGCGGTTGGGTTGATCAAGTTGATATCGCCGCGATTCGCCACTTCATGGTGGGATTGTCACTCTAAAGAGCCTTCTCTTCTGAAATGAGGCCAATGAGGCCAAGAAAACCACGGAAACATGCTAGCTGAATTTCACTATCGCACATCCATTTCTCTGGGCATGGAGAGCCGTCCAAAATACTGCGAGCTTTAGAATGCATGCCAAGCCAGGCTGTCCAGATCGTGGCGGTAAAGTTCTCCGCTTTGACGATCGCGACCTGATTCGTGCGAATCTCGGATAATTTGGCGACGATCACGATGTCAACTTTAGTTCTGGCCGTGTCACGTTGCACGGCACGTTGAAACTGGGATCGACTCAATGAAGACTCGCATCGCCCCAACGAGTTGGAGTTCGAGTGGGGGCGAGCCAATCAGGCGGATTGAGCTTGGCTCTCCCTAATCTATTCGTCGAGACGCATGACCGCGCCGGCGCAATCGATCTCCCTGATACTGTGTCAACGAGGAACCCATTGCAGTGAATCAAGATGGCCGCAAGAGTACAGAATGAAGATTGAGCGCATCAAGAAATTGTCTTGGCGTGAATGATGTGCTGCTCAACTAGATTGACGGAATGCGGAGATCTTACCGCCGGCAAAGAAGAAGAATGTGGAAAAATCAGGGGAAACGAGATCGATTCAACACGTAAAAATACAAAACAGGTTGTGGCGTCTGCGAAGGTGGAAAGCGTACTAGACGCGGGTGCGGGTGATGTTACTAGTAGCACCAAGTCTAATGATACAGCGCAGCGCAGCGATATGTGCAGGTATAAGTGATCCCCCGGCAAATCGGAGAGCGGGAATCGAAGACTGAATGCACGAGACGATGAGGAAGTCGCGAACGGGAGAGATGAATGCGAAGCGAGCAAGCCCAGAGAGATCTATTGAGCAGCGTCAGCGGTGCCGGAACCACCTATCACATAGAAGGACCTGCCAGATGCAGTTTGTAAGCCGGCATCCCGGCTCAGGCTCGGGTTCTGGCGATCGTGGGAGCTCCTGCGCGAGGATCAGCATCGTCAGATGGGGGTGATATTGAATCGCAGCCGGGCCACTGACGAGAAGGGTGGCATCGGAACGGCTCTGCTTCAGACGTAGTGCGGAGCCGGGCATGGGCATAGGTGCGGCGGAGGCGCTCAAGACTGGTAGACTTAGCTCGGGAAGAGTCAGATAAGATGGCCATCACGTACGACAGGATGCGAGCGAGAGGAGGAACAGAAAGGAGGGTTGCATTGTGAGCTCGGCTTGGGAGAGAATTGGTTTGTCTGCAAGCGGCGACGATGGAGTGTAATCGCACCAGGAGGGGCACTTATATCCAACCCACCCAGCGCACAAACGAATCTCCGGATTAGGACGTTCGTTTGTCGGTGACACAACAGCTGTCTACATTTGGAAGCAGTTACTAGTTTCGGCGGGGGGTCTGGTGAGTGATACGCATCGTGGTGGAAGTCAACTTGAACCAGTTGCCAGATGTAGAGTGGGCAGCGCGAGGGAACGGGGTGTGAGGTCAAAGGGAAGGCCCAAAGTGGGTGAAGATAGCAGTCCATAGGAATTGATAACGAAAACATTCAGCCTGTTGAAGAAACAGTCGTTCCCACACCAATGCGAGGTGCTCTCCGTTGCTGCGATAGCTGAAACGCCGACGGCGCCCACAAGCACCCACGGATGTGATCAGGTGTTTGGTCGGATCAGCTATGAAAGATTGCTTTGGTTCACAAGAACAGCAACTCCTGTATCCAAGAGTTCTTCGCCGAATTCTGCTCAAAGCGTAGTGCCCTTCCAACAATTGTGGCTGATATCTCTCCAGGTGTGACGAGGCTGACACTCACAGGTGCTCATAGAGAGATATAGCTTCTGGCCTTCCCCTCCTCTCATTGTTCAACTTTTCTTCCGAACGACAAAATACGTTGACCTTATCCATGTAGATCACCACTTTGGAAGATCACTCTCAATATCTGCTGATGTATGGCCTACACAGATCTCATGTTGCCCCAGAGCGAGCTACATATCTATCGAGGGGGTGTGCTGAAGCAAGTACATAGTTTATGTGGGAGATCCATGGATATCACAAGTTGGCCGCAATAGTTGTAGCTGAGGACTATGACTCTTCGAATGATGAAAATCCAATATATGTCATTGGAGCCAATAGAGCAGTCAGGACATTAATTTAATGTCAGAAAGCTGCAGCCATGCTGCTGGCCCATGCAGCAATGGGGAATATCCGCTGTCAAAATGTAGGGATCAGTCTCGGAAATCCGCCGGCACGCTGCCGGCAAGGGCTGTTAGCGCAGTTGGTAGCGCGTCCGCTTCGCACTAGAGTGTCTGCGGGAGGTCATCGGTTCGACTCCGGTATAGTCCATTTTGCATCCGGAGTATTACACTTCATTCTTACATCTATAAAACATCTCCCTCTTGAGTATGCTATTATGTTATGTATAAGTATCCCAGGTGATCCCGTCCCGTCAAATTCCGTGGTGCCGCTGTTGCTGCCACACTCTCGCCATCTCTAGCTGAGCTAGGTTCCGTGGTAAAGGGTGCGACTCGACGGACGAATGCGTCGAAACGTGTATCTAGCCGCCCAGCGTGAGTTGAAATCGGAACCGAGCCAACTGGAATCGGCGGAGTGCTACGCACCTCGACCTCCGTCATGGAGGGCATGGTGAAACTACTGCTGCTCCTCCTGCTGCTGCTGTCGGACTTGAGCGACGTGCCACGAAAGCTCCGCACGATACTCGTAAGAAGATGCGTACTCCGCTGCGGCTGCGCCCCGGTCCTGCTCTTTGCGGTGGTCGTGCGCTCGGGGTCGGGTTCGTTCACATTGATCGACACGTCCACCTCGACGTCGGCCAACTGCGGATCGGAGTCCATGTCGGACGCGCTGGGGCGGGACGTCACCCAGAAGAGCGCCGCCGAGTTGATGATCACCTGCAAACGAGTTTAAATCAGGACTGGACGGGAGATGCCGAGTGCATTAGAGACGCAACGTACGTCGGTCGCGCAGTTGGTAAGACACAGCCACCCAAGTTGTCGCCCATGCATGACGGTCAGGACGGCAATGTTGACTGTCGACGTGGAGAGGGCGATCCCTGCTGCTCTGCAGAAGCCGAGTAAGCACACGAAAAACATAGAAGGTGAGAGGGCGGGGACGCACACTACGGTGTGGATGGCAACGCGCCGCAGCCGCGGGTTTCGCCTGCTTGAGCGAAAGATCGGGTATAGGAAAAGTCCCGTTAAAAGAATGTTAACGTATCTGGTGTATGCGGTCAGTATTTTGCTCATCTCGATCACTGTTTACGCACAGATCGTAGGAAAGGAGCGGAATAGACGCGACGGTCTTGAGCCCAATCACACATGCACCGTCACCCGCCCTAAATTCATCGATGCGGCCTGTACATTGGGAGACCGGTTATCAATAGGTTTATCCGCCGGGTGAGTGAACGCACCGACGAACACAGCGACCACTACTCCGACATACATCGCCACAGTGACCGCGCACACGAGATAAACGGGAGACCGCACGCGCTCTGTGCCTGTGTCCCACACGATGTGCACACGCTCCGCTGTTCGCGCCGTCTGAGATGAGAGAGAGTCGGAGGAAGACAGGGGACACGCACACAGGAAGATGTATATGAGCACCTTGGACGTCGTGTAGAACGTCACGCAGAGGTAGATCGCAGACCCGCACGAGGCGGCGTCGAGCTGTAGCCCGAGACCGAATATTAGGAAACTTGCTGCATGAAGATCCGTCAGCGCCGCTCAGGAGACAGAGGGGTTTAGATGGCTCTGCACGCACAGACGAAGAGAAAGAGATAGGACGTAAGAAATACAAGGAGCGTGTACGTGCGGGGCGAGAACACCTCCCCCAGCGTCCTCCTGACCACCGAGGGACTGAAGCTGCTCCAAGAGAAGGGCCCGCATTCGGAGACGCGCAGCGCGAGGAAGATGGAGATGATCGTCATGCCTGCAGCCGGATTCGGGTTAGGAGTTCCTAGTTGGGAATAGCACCAGCGGCGACGCACCAACGAGATGGACGACGGCGATGAGCGCCTGGACGGGGAGACTCGGGAAGATCGTGTACGCCATCTATAGCGGAGCAGAGCCTAGCTCGAGCCGTATATGTAGTACTGCGCGCCGGGGATCCAGAGACGGACGACACGCGAAAGACATGATATATGCACAGCAAGAGCTTCTTATGCGTGTCATGTCCCTGGGCCGTCTTACACCCATCTCATCCATCTCTGGTAATTGGTTTTCGGGAGAGAGAGGAAAGCACGATTTGACCGGGTGGCGGAAAACGCGCGCGGAGCCAGGGACGGTCACTCGCGCGCGCGATAGGCATCGCCTCCCATCGCCCGCACGAGTGCCGGGTCAGGGTCGACCTGTGTATAGTTGGAACTTGTGCTGGATTCGGCTGGTCAAGGCAGGGAAGTGAAGGCCCTTGACTTAGTGTCCCCTCTCCTCTGGTCTAGCCCGCCGTGGCAGAATCTGAGTGACGCCCATCGCAAGAGACGACTATCAATCAATCACATCGGTGCTCACATTTGATTCAAGCCGAGCGTAAATGACTAATAGAGGTGCTCGGGAACATATGGCAGCGACAGACACCCCACCTCATGAATCATACAGACACTGTGCAATTTGCGCCGGGGATCGGTGGACAGTAAGGGTGGGAAGATCGAGGGGGAGGACAGGAGGAAGAAGCCGGCGGGATGTTTTCTGAAACGCGTTCATGAACGATTCCTCTAGCTCTGCTCAGGGACAGTACTCAATTGGAAGTAGTTCGAAATAAGTCTGCAGCCATTGAAGCATCAATCGGATCATGATGGTGTCTCAGGGGAGAGGTGACGTGTCACTCACTTTCGGCCGCGCTTTATGAGACTGCTCATGTTTAAATTATTTTCTGCACCCACGCAATTTTTTGGAAGACCAAGTAACGCTGGTCTGAATCATTGGAAATATTCGTAACCAGGTGGAGGTGTTTGCGTGGCAAGCGAACATGTGTTCAAGACCCGGCAATCGAATCTGCACGTGAGAACCCCGCTGCAAGGCAAGATGTCCGAGTGGTCTAAGGAGTGTGACTCAAGTGTTCATCGCTTGCCTGCATAACGTGGGTTTCTCATCTCAGCAATGGGGCGTGGGTTCAAATCCCACTCTTGTCATCTTTTGGTAGTGTCTACTATGGTTGCATTCTTTTGCTCACTGGTGGGGGATTTCAGCTCCAGATGTAATATCCAGTGTCAAGAACCTTACATAGGGCTCTCCGCCGAAAAGGTAGTTGAGGCTATCAGCTTTCGGATGTGCCATTGTCAGTATAATAGGACAAAAACTATCAATACACTTCCCACAGACGAAAACGACACATGGGATGAATATAACTACCAGTAATAAGTATTATCCACAGTCCTATACACCAATAAAATTTTGAAATGCAATATGCAATGTAAACCGCGGCCTAGTTCCCCAGCGCAAACCCACGTAGAGCGGCGATCACGCCCGAGGTCACGCACCCTTCCCAGCTCCAACATCCTCAGCATCGGCGCCCAGGTCCAGGCGGCTTTTCTCCTCCGACGCCGCGACGTATTGCACCGGCTCGCCATCAGTAAACATCTCCTCTTCCTCTGTCCGGACGATCACCTCCAAGCGCATATCCGCAGCCCCACTACGGTTCCGCGCGCTGCCGATGGTCGTCACGTGGGTACGGTTGCCCGCAGTTGGTCGGGGGTTGTCGGTGCTGGTGCCGAGCCCGACGCGCACGACGATGAGCATCGGTGCAATGCCCTGTGATGTAATCCAGAGGGTCACGAAAGGATGGCGGCGGGAAAAATAAAGCACGCACGACAACTTGGTACACAGCTGCGACGCCCACGAGGACTGCGATGAATGTGTCGTGGAAGAGAAACAGGACGCAGGTCAGAAGCAGCACTGCGGGGTAGACTAGCCCGCTCTCGACGCTGGAGGGTGCCACATTGTGTCAGTGACGGTGACAAGAAACACAATCCCGTAAAACACAACACACATGATCGCAGTGATGTTCGCGTAGAACACCCGGTTCGACTCCTCACGGAAGCCCCGTGCACGGCGGGAGATGGTCCAGATCCGGAATGCCGCGAGCGAGGTCGCGCCGACGTTCGTGATGAAGGCTGACGCGACCGCGGTTGCTACGGCAGCTTGCTGGCCACGCACCGGCAACGGGAGCACGTGGCAGATACCACCGACTGTTCCATTTTAAATTTCGATGACGGCGGCGATGGAGGCGGCGATTACGCGACTCACCGAAAGTGGCTGTGTATGCGATGAGCAGAGGGACCATGGCTGGCCAGCGGCGGTCCCAGATGATGTAGCACCTGTGGATCTGTGCTCGCGTCGAATGAGTGATACATTCCCTTGAAAACAATGAAAACAAACGCACAACTACAGCATCTGCGATCTGGCTACAAAATTGGATCAGCCACCATCGTTTCTTCATCACCACACGAGAGAAACAACGCACTTGGAAAGGAGATACCGCACCCGCAGTATCACTGCGAGCGTCCTGACCGCCTTCGGATCTCCCGGGTCGAACAACACCGGCGTGGGCACCTTGAGCGAGAAGAGCGAGTAGACGGCCGTTGCACCGCGGTCTGCGATCAGCGCCCAGACGTAAGCGCACACGATGTGTATCGTCGACAGCAGAAACAACGCGCTGATACACGCGAGGTGCGTCCGCATGTGCGCGCGCCGTTGCCGCGCAGTGAGCACGGTCAGGGCTCGTAGGAAGAGCGCGGTGTAGACACAGTAGAGCAGCGAGTCAACCTGGCGCGCCGAGTTCAGTTGTCTTCTTGAAGAACGGAGGGAGCGGTGCGTGGCATACCGCTAGGGGAAGGTACGTGACGAATCGCGCGCCGGACTGTAGGGTATGCAATGATGAGAAACCATCTGTGAGAGAGCTTGCCAAGTTGCGCGTACCATTGAAGAAAGAAGAAGACGGAATGAAGGCGACTATGAACGGATGAAACGGTAAAAGAGAAGGAGAGAAGGTAAGAAGGACCACCGGTCGTCGGATCGTCCACCGACTTCGCTTACGCGAGCGGGTTCGTCCCGTCTACACTCGAGACGCAAACACTCATTATTGAATCAAGCAACCAGCGGGCCCAGGAAGAAGAAGAGAAGGCTTGCAGAGTCGATTTCGTCCCCGCTGAGGCCCATCAAGTCGGCTTAGCTACCTTGCGAGGCCGAGACCTGCGTCGGAACGAGATCCGATGTCATGATGGAATTGTGCGGCGAACTCGTGTAGCATTTCCAATAGACCGGGACAAAAAGTGTGGTGGCTCGCAGCAGAGCGTGTAGTTGAGAAAGAAAGGACGGACAAAGCAACGAAGACTGATGAGATCATCGCGTTTCGAAGGGTACATGGCCAAAGAGCAGATCATTGACAGTCCAGATCTCTACCAACAATCTACAACGTATACTTGATAGCGTATAATTCGTGCAGCAAATACTCATGACATGAGTCAGACCTATGACCATACGCGAATGTCTTCATAATGGTTAGATACTATCATATAATACTACCGACTTGAATCATTCAAAATCGTCGAAATACGAGCATCATAGAGCAAATTCACCAAGTTAGCTCAAATAACAGGTATATACTATATATAATGCTCAAATAAATGAACGTGATCCGAAAGGAGTGATCCTTCGGGCAGAAGATGTACTTATGTCTACTGCTGCTACCTTGCAAACTAACATTGGGATCCAGGCAGCATCAAATGGGTCATTGCTGCTACACACTAATGTTTGAATGCGACTATGATAGTTTACCACTGCAGGCAGTCATTGGGCATTAATGGGGTAGTGGTAACCTGGGTCGTTGCCACGAGAAGCGTATAACTTCGACCCGCCGGGGGTTCGATTCCCCCTTAATGCAAATCGCGTTTGTTTTGCCCAATGACGTCGGGATTTGGCAAGTTAGTCATCCGCACTATAATTTAATTCTTGTCATCCTCTTGGCCTCTTTCCCACAAGTCATGTCTGCCCCATCCAAACCTTCAGTCCAAGAGCACGACTCCGAAACCCTGCACGGTGTCCAAGCCCTGCTTTTCGATGTGTTCGGCACTGTCGTCGACTGGCATGGCTCCGTCACGGCCGAGCTTAGAACTCTGGGCGCAAAGCACGGTATGGAAGACGCGGACTGGGATGAATTTGCCAGGACCTGGAGGCAAGGCTACATGCAGACGACGTAAGTGCGCATGCATGTGTCCTCCGCTCGATTCGACATCCCTGCTTGTATTATAGTAAACGCGTCGCAGCGGGCGGCCCCGGCACGAGGGACGTCGACCTCATGCACCGGGAGGTGAGTGCGGCTAAGTTCCGACTCGGTTTGCGCGTGGTTCACTTGGTACCAGATCCTCGAAAATCTCCTTTCGACCCCCGCGTGGCGGAAGTTGGGGGACCGGCTGGATAAAGGGGCCCGGGATGCGTTGAATCTTGTCTGGCACAGGCTGTATGGTACGTGTGACACTGCAGTGCGATCTTCAATCCGAATTTATGCAGGCTGGTCCGATTCTACGCCGGGTCTTTACGCACTCAAGAAGCAGCTCCTGATATGCACCCTATCAAACGGCACTGTGCGCCTTCTCGCGGACATGGCCAAGTTCGCGGATCTCCCGTGGGACGTCGTATTCTCCGCAGATATGTTCGATTCGTTCAAACCGTGCGTTCCATTCTTTGCGTCTCGCAATATCTGCCTCGAATGATCTAGCTAAGACACATTGAAGAGACCCCCAAGTTTACCTCGGCGCCGCGCGCAAACTCTCGCTCGAACCGCATCAATGCGCCATGGTCGCGGCGCACATCTATGACCTTCGAGCCGCGGCGGCGCTTGGCATGTGCACGGTCTATATCCCGCGTGGAGATGACGGGGAGGGCTTGGAGGCGGGGGTGAAGGCCAAGGCGGAAGGCGGAGAGGTGGATGTCGTCGTGAGGTCGTTTGAGGATTTGGCGGCGGTTCTGGCGGCGAGGCAGCAGTGAGAATGAAAGTGATTGGAATGAAATCCCTCATATGCTGTACATGTAAAAGAACTGAAGGTGTATTTTTTGTTGTTGTGGCCTGCGACAATCCGAAGTCATGAGCGATGCGCAAGTAGGGTTCATACACACAACATATTTGTTGGAAGGGAAAGGGCCACATTCCAATGTCGACTGGACAGCTTAAGGTCTATCGTTAGAGGGAAAACGAAGCTACATACAGACTTGCCGTCGGACTAGATCGGCGCCTTGGAACATGTTCCAGCATCTAAGGCGCGGTGCCCGCTTTCTGGTCTCAATTCGGGATCAGCGAAGTCTGTCCAACTTATGTTCAACTTGTAGTAATGCATTGTTCTACAGTGTAGTGCAAATAGCGTATATTAGCTTCAGAAATGTTCAATAGCTGTATAAGGGTCTCTCGGCAACTATTTCCGAGGCTTAGTGCAGAGTATAAACGCCGTTTGTACACCAGGGATAATCAAAGCATACAGCGGTCTGATCCTGAAGTAGCACATATACTCTCACCCCAATTGGGGAAATAGAACGAACAACCTAAGAGTCGATCTGCATCCTGTCCGGATCCTCCTCCTTCTCTTCTTTTCCGGCCCGGTTCTCTCGCTGCCGAAGATGCGATTCGCCCACACGCGATTCTGGTGTCCGGTCGCGCTTGTTTTGGGATACGGAGAGGTCGACAGCGTTAGTGTGACCTGCTGGTGGAACTGCACACATTGAGCGTCAAAGCGCCAGGGATGGCATCATCAGAAACGCACCTATCTGTGCCCCAGCGGCCCTCTCCAGTACCCGTCGGCTCCGCGCTGATGGGTTGAAGTGACCGCACTGCGGACATTTGTATTCTAGGGTCATGGAAGCGAGCAATCGATCAGCTGAGAGCCAAGAGCGAAGCACGACGTGAGAGTAGCGTACGCGCATCGGGCCACATGGCCTCCGGAACTAGCCCATTGTGGGTAAAGCATTTCTCGCAGATCAACGCGTACTTCTGCTTCGCGTCGTCGCGCTCGGTCTCAGGTCCGAGTAACACGTCTGCAACGGAGTCGAACCACCGACGCGGCTCCTGCTGTTGCTGGGATGGACTCGGCGCTGGCAGAGGTGCACTCTGCGACTGCTGCATGCGTGGATTCGCGGGTGTTTGAGGCGGCGCAGAGCGGGCAGGTGTTTTCGGAGCCTGTGCCGCGGAGGGGGAGGGAGAAGGAGGAGATGACGAGTCGTATTTCGCGAGGAGCTCCCGCGTCTCGTAGAACTGCGTCTTCTTCTTGAGCGCTTCCACGGTCGTGCGCTGCTCCTTGAGCAGATCTTGCAGCGTCTTTTCCTCCGCGTTGCCTTTGCTTGCGTACCACACTTGCACTATCCGGCGCACGAACAGAATGCTGGGCGCCGGCGGGTGAGCTTCGCGAGGCGAGGAGGGAAGCGAGACACGCACAATATGGGACCGACCACCACGGGCGCAGCCCTTACGGCCCGCTCCACGCCATGAGAGTTCCTCCGCCCATCGACCAGCCCGTAGTACCAGACCGCAACGTAGGCGGACCATGCCGCGAGAGTGTAGAGAGTGACGAGTGCGGATGCGTTGCGTTCGCGCGCGCGGATGGCGGTAAGCTGTGTGCGGCGGGTCTGGATGCGCGATGAGAGCGATGCGAGAATCGACTCGTAGTCATCTGCGGCCGGTTTCTGGTGGGTGTGGGTCAGTGGGTATGTGCGGTGCGTAACGAGTTCCGAACGCACTGAGCGGAAGAGCCGCCATATGAACGACATGCGGAAAGAAGGGGACGGAAAAGGAAATGAAGAGAATAAAGAAGGATTGTCTGTGAGTTCAAAGTGTTACAGAGTGCAAGCAAAGACACGCGTCGACAGGTGTGGTGGGCAGAGGAGAAGAAGAAGACACGTTTGTATTACGTCAGCGATACGACCAGGTGATTGGTACATTAACTTGACAGCGGCCCCGGGGATCTGACTTTGTTTCGACCGTGCGCATGCTCGATCGTACTAACGACCGTACTCGCTGCATCCTCCACGGGCTTTTGCGATTGAGTGCATGCCGAGTTTTCCCATTTTTACATCCGCGACCAGCGCCGCCGGCTTTATCGGCCCTGATCGCGCGCCTATCATCATCGGATTACCCGACGGCAGAATAAAAATTCTGACTCAGACATTGGGAAGACTTGGCTCTCTCCTGCTTCCCTTTCTCTGAATATTCATGTCCCTCACTACTGTTGACGTCGCCCCGTTTCTCTCGAAGAGCCTGGCGCTGTGGCGCGAAGACGGCAGTGCGTCATGCAACCCCTGATCATCTTTCATCAACGAGAAAGTATCTGCAAACAGTCCGCGGTCTGTTCCCGCTGGAGCTCCGTCCGGGCATGATATCTTTGCTGGCTGGTGAGCCGCCCGATTCATCACTTCCTCCATCGCGCTCAAGGGATGCCACTCCTCCCTCAGGCCGTCCGAACGCATCGACGTTCCCATTCGAATCGATCACGTTGAAGCTGCGGCCAACCTTGGCCGGTTTGCCAGCTCAGGCTGATGGCATCGACGATATGTTCACGATCGAGCTTGGACCGGAAGACTTGGCTCAGGGTCTTCAGTGAGTTCGAATTCACGGCGCTGTTTTCCCCAACTTCGGTTGAACACTGTCACCGTGCTGCAGATATGGACCGACGGCGGGTGCTCACGGTCTTCGCGAGGTTAGATCTACCCATCTATCGTTGTTTGCAATAGGCCTGACGGGAGGATCTGCAGTGGTTCGAGAACTTCCAGGCTCAGGTGCACAAGCGGCCGCAGAACGGAACCTGGACGGTTTGCGTCGGCTCCGGAAGCCAGGATCTCCTCTGCAAGGCATGTTGTAACTCTGATGAATTGATTTTGATGCTGACCGCACAACAGGCTGCACAGCTCCTCGTAGACGCGGGCGACTCGATCTTGGTAGAGACGCCGGCATATCCGTATGTACTCGTGCCCCATGCAGTGACTTCTTTTCTGAAAAAGGAACAGGGGATCCCTCAACTTCTTTAGAACGCTGCCCGTGTCTCTGATCGGTGCGTCCGCATCCCGATGATCAATCAAACTCACCCATCAGTCCGTCGCTTGGCAGAGGTGAACTCGGACGGACAAGGTCTGGATCCCGACCACCTCTCTTCCATCTTATCCACCTGGGACTCTACTTATCCCGGCCGCCCCATGCCGAAGTTCCTATACACCATCCCATCTGGAAGCAACCCGACTGGAGCATCAATCCCCGAAGCGCGGAAGGTGCAGATGTACGTTGTGGATGCCCTCTTCGTTGTTTGAGATTAACTTTCTGCAATCCGTAGCCTGCGTCTCGCGAAGCAGTATAACTTCCTGATCCTAGAAGATGACGCTTATGCGTTCGTGTACTATGGCGAGGGCCCGAGGGCGCGGACCTACTTTGAGATGGAGACCGAGGTGAACGGTGAAGAGGGACGTGTCGTTCGGTGCGTTCATGCCGTTTTCTATCACCTCCAACGGATTACCAACGCTCAATCATTCAGATTCGACTCTTTCAGCAAAGTCATGTCGAGCGGGATGCGGATCGGATTCATGACTGCTTCGCCCGAACTCGCGCGGGCTGTGAACCTGGTGACTGCGAGCACCAAGTGCGTCCAAAATATTTCGCTACTAGCTCCTCGACTGATCAGTTTTCTAAAATCAGCCTGCAACCCAACTCCCTCACCCAGCTCATGGCGTACTCGCTCCTCGTGCGCTGGGGCCCGGAAGGATTCCTCGAGCACTGCCGGGGTGTGGCCCAGTTCTACCGCGCGCGCCGGGATATGTTCGAGGCACTTGTGCGCAAACACCTCGATGGACTTGTCGAGTGGACGTCACCCATCGCCGGGATGTTCCTTTACCTCCGCGTGCGTTTCGTCTAGTACGGATATCCTGCTTCAGCTCACTCTCCATAGTTGTTGATCCCGACCCCGGACGGAACGCCCCTGGATTCGAAGGTCCTTGTATCGACCCATGCGGTGGAGAAGGGTGTTCTGGCAGTTCCCGGCAGCTCGTTCATGCCGCTTGGCGGGCCGACGCCGTTCCTGCGCATCAGCTTCAGCATTATCGAAGAGGACAAGGCTGAGGAGGCGTGCAAAAGGCTCAGGGAAGTCATACTCGAGGCCAGGAAGGAGGCACAGTCATAAGTGTGTGGGCTTGGACGAGGGTTCGCAGGAAAGACTTTGAAAGATACCGCTACTAGTCATTTCTTGTCATGAATCTAGATCCCAACGTGATGCGGAAAAGTTTCGCTCGATGTAAGAAGGTTGGGACGCGCGAATCACGAAGTCTGCCACGCCAACAAGGGGCAAGGAAGAGGAACCATCAAATTCAGCCCTGTCGAAACGTTCGTCAGACAAAAAAACGAACAGATTATGGAAAGCAGGTACGGCAAAAGGAGACCCACGTGTCACGTGCATTAAGGGGGAATCGAACCCCCGGCGGGTCGATGGACGCCGTGGCGAGAATGGCAACGACCCAGGTTGCCACTACCCCATTAATGCGTCGAGCTTATTCCGAGACTGGTTCTGTCCTCATGCGCACAAAGTTTGGTCTCAGAAAGTGAGATGATGTCAATAAATTTTATTCGCTGTGAATATTCCACTGTGTCGCTTGAACTCGACCGGCTGATGGTCGAGAGAGAGACTGCTCAAAGACCAATGACCAAGGTTTGAGATCCTATCACCAGATCCTTCGCCATTGAATGCATGGCATTCTTTGAGTGAGGGAATTCAGGGTCTTTGGTAAGTTGTCATTGATGGAAAGTGCAATGCCATGATTCGTTCCTTCGCTTTCGTGAAGAGAGACGAAGTCACCGAGGTAAAGCGTCCGCCAGGAGAGGAGGTACGCGGATGGACTCAATATGACTGGAGCTCACTAGATCGATCATGATATTCCTGCTATGTTGGTAGTCTGATATGCTACAGAAAGTCCTTGGTTCTGCCACACTTAAACGCGAGCATAGTTCTGCACAACTCCGTAGCATAGATGCCACTTGAGTCCATCGACGGTGTACATCGACACGATGCGAACCTGGTCGTACTGGATCCCGTCTTGATATCCGATCCGCATGCCCGGAGCGCGAGCCGAGTCGTGGAATCGCTCTCCAGCGCGGTCCTGACGAGGAGCAAGTCCACTTGCTGAGAACATAATAGAAGGGGAACCCACGGTTGCGAACTGCTTCCACTCGCGAGCGAGGAACTCGCCAAGATACTTGAGCTTGATGAAGTGTCCCGAATCATCCTGCATGCGGAACTTGGAGTCGACGCTCTTGTATCCCGGCCACTACGAATCCAGCAATCAGTATCACTCTCCAAGGGACGGAAATCAAGACGCACTTCGATGACTAGATCGGCGAATGGCCAGCCGCGGGTGCTGCTCAACGCGGGAAGAAGCGTGTCAAGACGCTCTTCGCCGCGAGCCATGCCGAATTTGTGCTCCAGGTTAAGAAGCGCGACCCCCATCGAGCACGGGCTGTACACGGGGTCGAACAAGATGACGTTCTGAGCACTGGAGGGCGGGCGGTTGACATAGACCGCGTTGGTGTTTTTGTGCCACCAGTCGAGGACTTGCTGTTGCTGGCAAGCAAAGTCACAACGCAGAACGAAAGATGATTATGTCACCGAAACGCACCGACATATCGTTTGAAGTTGATGGGAGGTTGAGAATGTTGAGTGGGTTGAGTGGATGGGTGCACTCCTAGCATCCTGTATCCATCCTATATACCATTCGTCGTCTCAAAGCACAATTGAGCGCTTTGGTAGAGTCGATGGTTAAGCGTAAAGCGCGCGCCAGCGAACACCGGCAAAGCGCGGTACAACGCGGCTGGAATGGCTTTGCGCCCCTTTGGCGGCAATACTAGTCACCAAATATTGTCTTTGCGCTTTGAAGAACTAGCGCATTCGCCTCTCCCATCATCTAAAGAGAGGGTCAATGCCACGTCGCCTTTGTTCGGTGTTTTGTTCGGGTGCGCACCTCTATCCGACTCTCCCTACGTTCACAATGCCATTCATTATTATAACAGTGGCTCATATCCAGAACTTGTGCGGCATCGGGCCATAAGCTGGACCGAAAAGCTGTCGCGACTTGAACGCAGGAGTGGCAGAAAAATCAATTGAGTGATTGATGCGATCATTGATTCCTGCGCACGTCGTGATCGTCGACGCGTCACGAGAACCTCAGGTGGCAATTGCAGGGTTGAGTTCGATCAGTCAATAGTGGAAAAGATGGCCCAAGTCTTCCAGACATTGCTTTCCTGTTGCGTGATCCAGTCGAAGTAGTTTTTATATGTTATCTAGTCGGCCGTGCAAAACTTTGAGTTAAGTCTCATTTGCACAGGCATTGGGAATGAGCGTGCGGAGTCAAGGGCTGCGCATTCTTGATAACAGTGATTCCTGTTTCAAGTACCAACGAAAAGGGGTAAAGCAACATCAGCCCATGTAGCGGTGCTCTCTGCCATTCATCCGCATCTCTCCCTAGCAACGACCTTATCAAGCTCCGGTTCGCAGTGCCCCTTGCTTTGCTTAGCAAACGGCGTCATCCAATTCACGCTCGGAAATTTGTATCTAAGCTTTGCAACAGCTGCCCAACATTATCTGTAATTGACATGACGGGCCTCAGACCAGTCAGGCACATCTTCCTGCTGAAATCTCCACAATCGGAAGTGATGCACGCGCAAGAATTGTACTGGTAGACCTTCCAATTCCGTCAGCTTCTTCGGGACCAGATGCCCGTTTCTCGGCGCCAACACACTTGCAGCCATTCGTTTGATGCCTCACCTTCCGGGGGCGTTTATCAGGGCTGTAGCTCGCAAGTCCAATTCAAATCCAATTCAATTTGCACACAGAGATAAGCCATGATATCCGAGTCCGGAAGAAGGTGACTTCCATGTTGGGAGATGAACAAGCGGATGTCCAAATCCGGACATACGTTTGTGGTCACAGCAAGTTGGAGAAAGTGCGGCAGTTACGCTTAACTGCTATAAAACACTGCATTCAGTTGGATTCACCTCGCAGATCTTCTACTCTCTTCTCTGTGCACTGCTAGAAATGCATATGCTCCTTCCAATCCGATCCGTCTGCTTGGCGCTCTCGCTCATGGCGTACTGTGAGTCGTGGGCATCTCCATCTCGTAGTCAACAACCATGCTGACTCCTGCTTCTCTCAGTCCTCACTGTCGCTGCCGCCCCTGCTCCTGGTCTAACATTCCGTGTCGAGCAGATCCGCGCGGGTGAGACGTTCGCTGATGTGGCTGTCCTGGTCAGCAGGCACTCCCTCCTCTTCCATCACATCGCTTACAATGATCTCTTCGTCCCATGCAGAACATCGCGCGCGGGCCTCAGCCCAGATGTCGGCTCAATAACTGTATCTGATCACCGGTGTGTGACCTCCTACGCCCACAAAATTTCCAGAATCTGACGGAGCACAGATCTAACAAGGAGGATCTTTCCATTTCGTTGGATCCAACCTTCCCTCTGAATGACTTCTGCAACCTGTTACAAAGCTTATCTTCTCTAGTTCGATTGTGCACATATGAGTGTATCTCTTAGTCGGCTAATTTATATCCGCTACTCTGTTTTGATTGCGAATTCTCCCAAAACTTCCTACTCGCCAAACGGGCGAGCCCCTTTCATAGTGGGTAGAGCTACTTTCTCGAGAAATCCCCGTCGCCGTTCATACGAGACGGATTGATCTCATTCAACAGTTTCTCAAGAGCTAGGCCATGACTTGAGTGTGAGAATGGGAAATCATACGCTTGCGTATGATAACTAACGATCCTCGTCAACACGAGTGGGGATGCGGTGAATGAGTGCTCCTGATATCTCAGTAGAATCACATGCATGTTGTCTTCACCATCACCCCTGACGATTGAGGAATAGTACTGGCTTTCGTGAACTCGAGAACGAGAGCTGCGAGAAAATATTTGCGTTAGTGCGCTTGGATTGCATCCGGGAGCATTCGAAAATCGCCAGATATGCCTCCGATCATTCAACTCAGCCCTCGAAACAATCTGAAACTTAAGGAGGCTTCCTCAGTTCTGCAGTTAATAGAATTTCCGGACGTGATAAAACTGATGCACTGGTCCGATAGGACTTCACCGCTCCTGGCGATAGTCGCCAACTGCTTGGAACGCATTCAAGTTTGATCACAGCACTCTATGCATGATGAGCTCCCTTCAGCACTTGCCTTGCAAGCTGAAAAATGGCAGAAAGCCTTGTGAATTTTCGATAGATGAAAAGGGATCTCTCAGCTGTTTGTTAAATACGTTTGTTGAAATTGAATGCGGGTATCATGTAGACCGGTATTCTACACTAGCGTTCAGTCTCATTCCTTAGACGCGAGCATAATTCTGCACGACTCCGTAGCAGAGACGCCACTTGAGTCCATCGACGGTGTACATCGACACGATGCGAACCTGGTCGTACTGGATCCCGTCCTGATATCCGATGCGCATGCCCGGAGCGCGGGCCGAGTCGTGGAATCGCTCGCCAGCGCGGTCCTGACCAGGGTTTAAGCACCCGATTTGATACAGAATATGGAGAGGAACCCACGGTTGCGAACTGCTTCCACTCGCGAGCGAGGAGCTCGCCGAGGTACTTGAGCGTGATGAAGTGTCCCGAATCATCCTGCATGCGGAACTTGGAGTCGACGCTCTTGTATCCCGGCCACTGCAAACCGAGAAGTCAGTATCGCACTCGAAGAGACAGATGGCAAAGGGACGAACTTCAATGACGAGATCGGCAAATGGCCAGGCCCGGGTGCTGCGCAGAGCAGGGAGCAGCGTGTCGAGACGCTCTTCGCCGCGAGCTATGCCGAATTTGTGCTCCAGGTTAAGAAGCGCGACCCCCATCGAGCACGGGCTGTACACGGGGTCGAACAAGATGACATTCTGTGCACTGGAGGGCGGGCGGTTGACATAGACCGCGTTGGTGTTTTTGTGCCACCAGTCGAGGACTTGCTGTTGCTGGCAAGCAAAGTCACAACGCGGAACGAAAGATGATTATGTCACCGAAACGCACCGACATATCGTTTGAAGTTGATGGGAGGTTGAGAATGTTGAGTGGGTTGAGTGGATGGGTGCACTCCTAGCATCCTGTATCCATCCTATATACCATTCGTCGACTCAAAGCACAATCGAACGCTTTAACGGTGGGCAGTAAAGCGTAAGGCGGGCGCACGGAGGCGACGGCAAAGCGCGGGCTGGTCAAGGCGCATTTCATGGCTTTTCGCTGCTTTGAGGTCAATGAATCGGCAAAAAGCCGCCTTCTTCGTGCTTTGAAAAGCGTCGGGTCCCATTGACACGACGTTCAAAGAGGGCCAATGCTCAAACAAGGTCTTGCCAGGCGCGCGCCGCTATTCAACTTTAGCCACGGGGTTCCGACAGATATGTCAAGCGAATCTGGCCTTCGCTTCCTCTGGGGTTCTGTCTTTGCGACCGCCTACAAAGCTCTCAGAGGTGACCCAGTGGCTTGGAACGAGTGGTCGACGTCATCAATCAGGCGATTCACGTGATCGTGGCACAATACGGAACTGTACAGTCCAAGCGCGGGGACGCGACGGCTGGAATGAGTGAGCCAAATCTGTGTGCGTCTGGGTGCCACAGCTCTCGTGTATTGAATCATATCGAATCCTATCTCAAATTTCAAAGAATCCTTGATCGAGCGAACGAGCATGAAAATGTGACCGTTGTTTGGCACCGCGAGGCTACATTGCGGCTTGGACCTGGGAGCACTGGATGTGAGTAGGAGCCTGCAAGCTGCTTTTTGAGGGTCGATAGCGTACCCAGGGCAAGGAACAGCGGGAAGAAACACCCGGCTCACCTTTTTGATTGCCGGTCGAAACTAAAATGGGCCAATCGCCAAGACCACAGGGACAAATTAGCAGCGATTGGCGAAAGTCACGGTGCAAATGATGTGAGCCACAGCTGGAAGCTTAGATCCAGAGCAAAGAGGGTATAATTGACCTCCGCGGTTCGTAGAGTACCCTCGAGCTGAACAGGGACAAGGATGATGAGGATGATAGACAGTTTACGTCGAATGCGAATGTTTCAGAACCGAATTCATCATTCGTCGCCATCACTCGGGACCCACGTGGCCTCCGTTCTCGGAGGAAATGCAAATAAGATTTGATATGGTGGGGTGAACACTAGACTCTTTTCCTTCCCTCCCTCCCTCCCCCATCTATTCCCCTCATTCGTTCCTTCGCCTACTGCTCCTCTCTTCATCCCTGCCGTCGCGCGCAGACACGCTGATGAATACAACGATCGACGACACGGACTCGAACTACTTCCAGTTCGTGCAAGACATTTACGCGAACCCGCCGTCCTGGGCGGCGATAACGCCCGCGACGCCGTGTCTGTACTGCTCCGCACAGCCTCAGACGGCACACATACACAATCAGACATGGCACGACGGATCGGTGGGCACGCAGGGATCGTTGACGTTCCAGGGTGTGTTTTTCTCGATGGGGCCGTGTCCTGATCGGGTTGAGCGCGTAACGCAGGATCGGCGGTGTACATATACGGCATCGATCTCACGCCCTCGGCGAACACCACGTTTACTCTGGAAAGCCGGACGACAACGCACTATTATAACGGGACGAACCAGTTCGTGTTCGACGCGCTGTATTTTTCCGCCACTGGCCTTGAAGAAGGCGTAAAACATACCGTGTCCTGGGTCGTGGGCAAAGGGCTCACGAATGGGACGTCTGCATTGATCGACTACGCGGTAATCACTGCGTCGGCAGCGAGTCCAAATTCATCGTGAGTCATCGATGACTAGATATTGACTCCGGCATCGATTCAGACTCGATAGTACGACAGCCTCGTCGCCTTTGCTGCACAAGAAATCGAACACGGGGGCTATTGCCGGGGGAACCGTTTCAGGAGTCGTCGTCCTTCTCGGACTTGTTTTACTGTTGTTCTCCCTGACGAGGTGGAGGAGAAGGAGAGGACTGGGGACACAGGCCGACGAGGCTGACGACTCGGATGCGGGTCCTCGAGTGCGCAATTTGCGCAATCGTCAGCCCCAGCTGCCAGTTCAGCCATTTGTCGACACTTCGTCTGCGCCGGTATCAATTTTACAACCCTACGCGACTACTCCAGCTTCAGCCACGACTCAGACGGATCCGCAGACGCCCGCTCAGAATGCCGAATCAAGCACGACATCATCTTCTGGCTACTCGGAATCACGGCTGGACTCCAAGACGAGTACGTGGTTTCGAACACGGCTGATATCGCGGCTAGACGCTCACTTCCTTCCCCTATTCCAGTGGACACAAGCTGGATGAATGCGCGCGAGAACGGCTCCTTGACATCGCTTTCGACGAGTGTGGGTCCCCGCGCTCCCTACAGCCACCCCTACGCGGACTCGTCTGCTGAAGCGTCTACGATGATCTCCGGCTCTTCGGCGCGCGAGCGTTTCTTAGAGGACCGGCTCGCCGTTCTCGAAGCACACGTGCTGGCTTCGGAGCCGCCGCCGTATCAGCAGCCGCTTACACCAGCACGTGCTGCGTCCGCGGCGTGAGTTCGAATGGGGGATGCAAATATGTACACCATTCTGTATGACTACATCTTTGTCTTCATCAAGGGCACGAACTTGGGTGCTCTTTTAGCCTTCATAGCCGCCAAGGTTTCTGGGATGTCCTGCAATCATGTCAAGCCAGTGTAAAACTAGGATGCATAAAATGATAACGCACCGCGGTGTTCAGGGCCGCTGCATTCCATACGGATGTGTACTCCAGATTCTCCGCCACACTGTGGTCCCGCGCATGGATCAAGATCCGCTTGGTCCCGCTCACTGCAATGGGGCTTTTCGCCGCAATCCGGCCCGCCAGCTCCAATGCCGCGCCGACGACCTCGTCCCTGCTCCCCGGTACCACACGCGAGACGAGCCCGAGACGCTGTGCATCTGCGGCAGAAAACAACTCCGCCGAGTACGCCAGCTCGCGCATGAGCGAGTGATTTGCGGTAATCTTGGGGAGATAGGAGAGAGTGCCGACGTCTGCTGCTAGTCCGATGTCCACTTCCTGTTCATATTCTGTTGGACCCCAGGCGGAATGGGAGAAGTGAGGGTGGGAAATACCTTGATACTGAAGCTCGCGTCCGCAGCCGCGTAGCGGACATCGCATGCGGCGATGACGTCGATACCCAGGCCCAGTACCGCGCCGTGCACGGCGACGATCACGGGGAAGGGGCAGCGCTCGGGCGCACCGATGGCGTGCTGGAATTCTTTGATGTCTTGCAGTGCCACGAGCGATGTTCTGGCGGGATCCGGAGCGACGAGAGCGTGCAGGCCACCGGTCGTGATTTTTGCCGCGTCCGCCACTGTTCGCAGGGACGGAGATTAGGAACGAATGAGAGAGGAGAGGGACGCACGATCGATTCCGGCGGTAAACAACTTGGGAATAGACGATGAGAGCACCACCGCGCGCACGTCGCGACATTCGGCGACGATTCGGTCTAGCAGCGCCCCATACGCTCTCCAGAATCTGCATTCAAATAGAAGCTCAGAGATTCGAAGACTAGGGCGGGTAGAGTGACACGTACGCAGCTGAGAACGCGTTTACTGGTTTGCTGGGTTGTTCAGTTGTGATCTTAGCAAGCAGACTCCAATAACAAGATCAGGGGAAAGATGCACGTACCGGGACAGTTCGATGTGCAGTACGTGCGGGAAGGGTTCAGAGACCGCTAGCCAGTCGGAGGAAAGGTCGTGGGCGAGCGACATCGGTGTTGCGGGTAACCTGGAATCAGCCGCAAGTAATCACGAGCCATCAGCTGGATTTCTGATGCCATCTTGTAGAAATGGAAATGAATTGTTCCCAAAGCATCGAACAATGGAACGATGGCATCGGGACTGGACTTGCCAATTCCGTCGCGCTTTGGTGATCAGCGAAGGTATATATTCGGTCGTGCATCCCTTCATGCACCCGTGAACCTCCAATTAAGCTCAACATGGCTGGAAATCCTGGATGGTACCACAATCCGTACCAGCCCTATCCAGCGCAGGGACGGAGGTCCTCGAGCAATCCTTCACCGAACTCCCACTGGTCCTGCACGGACGCCGAAGGATTTGATCAAGGGCTCCCCTCCCTGCCGAGCGAGTGGAACTACAACGAATCTGCTCCAACTGGACACTCTTCATCCCATCATGAACTCGATTTTGGATATCCAGACTATTCCAGCAGCAACTTGTCCACTCAGCCGAATTATCCAGAATGGTATCCCCACTCGACACAGCCACACACTGCCTCGTTGCCTCAAGCAATGTTCTCTCGTCAGGACATGGAACATAGAGGATCGAAATCTGCTCGGACAGCGCTCCCGAGTGTTCCTAGACACTCGCAGGGATCTGCCTCAGATCCGATATTGGATCCGGACAGCGACTGGTGGCACTCTGACGTGCAAGCCCTTTACCTCAACCAGCCGAACCCCGGTGCCATGATGGCGATCCCATTCAACCCGGCGGATGGAATCGCCAAGGTCGGCGTGTCTCTGTCTAACCTCCACGCGAAGCGCGGGCTCGCGAGGGGAGGGGAACAGATCGATGCGGTGCTGCCGATTCTACACACGGTCAGGAAGTGGCCCGTCGCGGATATCGTGATCGAGGTCAGTCGCTACGTCCATCGGGATGATGTTTTTACGGTCGTCTGAATTGTTTTGGCGCAGTGGCCTGGATATAAACCGTTCAAGACGAAGATCCATCTTCACAACGCGGACGCCCAGTTCGTCGAACTTTCGACGCTTGGCAAGGAGCTCGCCCATCGCTGGAACCAGTTTGCTTCGGTGAGTCCTCAAATTTCTGGTGCGGTGTACCCAAGGTCATGGACGACTTTCCAGTCTCGCAAACCTGCTCACTTTGATGAGAAAAACCCTGCTGGCATTCGTCTCGGTCGGTCCGGGATCCAGGCAGATCAAGTTCGGATTTGTACTCTCTATACAGTGAGCGGCATGGACTGGAGAGTTTGCTATGCTGTCAATCCTCGGCTGAGCTGAGTATTAGTACGGCTTCCATAGAGCGACACACGACGTAGTGTAACATCATAATATATCTATACTCGAGTAATCTAATCACTGCTCGGGTCTCGGGATGATTCGGATCGGTGGCGATGCCTGCACTGTCTTGCCTCTTTCTTCCACTCGCCACCGACCCACCCACCCACCGTCGCCTGTTCTCATGCGAAGCAGCAGCGTGCGCTCATGTCGTATTCGTATTCTATCGTATGTCTCTCTCTGTCCCACTTGTCCACACTTCATCAACGATGAGAAACACATCTGTCTATTTCGACGAGTGTCGCCGACACAATGCGTCCCAATCATAATCCTAGTTATACTGAAACCTCCCTCCAACCGGCCTGGCTCTGCCCTCGTACACATTTCTGACGACTTCTTCTCCAGGTAGCACCATGATACAGTGCCTGTCGTAACCGGGGGTACATGAAAACCTCCTGGACAAAGTCTCGACGTCGTTGCGGTCCATCCTTCTGCTCCAGCCAGCTCTGGTCGTAACGTCTGTCTCATTCTGCGGACGCTCTGCCCAAGCTTCGAGGTTGCCTGGAGGACATGTGTCATCTCAGCGACCGTCTTTCAGTGAGTCTGAGTACGTTTCGCGGGTCTCTGTGTACTGATGCTTGACCACAGTCTTTCGTCCTGTCTCCCATGGCTTATATGTTTCGAGCTCAGGAGATGAGCGGGAAAGCCCAGCAGGACAACTCCTGCCTTGCACCGCCTTATGACTTGGGGAAACCGGCCTGCAACCCGGCCACCTTGTCTTGAATCACGGGCAGTCACGCAATGGACTGGGGCTCTCATTCTCAATGGTAGTTGTAGACACCCCAAGCATGTATTCTGCGACGCTGAGCTGCCTCGCTGAGAAGACCTTCCCCCAATTGATCTATGCAGTACCACGTGGGCTCTGTGACAGTCACGACTTTCTCCCATCGGTCTCGACTATTGATACTTATACTCATCTTCCGAGTTCGACTTCACTGGCGTAGACTATACCGCAGTTCAGTCTGGACTCTGGCACGACCTCACCACCCAGGTTGATGAGATCTACATACCGGGCCGGGAGAACAATCAATCTCTTGTGTTTGCGACCGAAGACTAATTGTTCCCTTCACTTCGCCAAGGAAGGTCCTGTTGTTCTTAGTCGTGCCGCCTCCTGCAGCTTTATTATGCACCTCCCTATCTCCGCCTGGTTCCTTTTGTGTACATCCTCCCGACAAATGATCCTCCGCCCGCGCTGATCATTTCGTACGATCCCCTCGAGCTTGATTAGGTAGAGACAATTGGGTTGGCTTCAATTGTTGTGCGGGATGAGCGCAGTATAAGAAGGGCTGAGAATGCGGAGGCTTCCAATCAATCCTTCGACTTTACTCCTGCTTCCTCTGTCGGGCCGCGCGACTTTCACTCCTTGCCCATATGTTATGGACGTATTCGTCATCCCCACTCTCGCTGAATGCGTGCGCGACCTCTTGCTCCTCCAACCTGTATCAGAAAAGTCTCCGCCCCAGTCCCCATCTTTCTTAATCGCCGAGGCTGCGGACGAAGACAGTCTTGAGGCCCTGGGCGAGCTCGTGGACTTTGATAGATCTGGGCACGGGTCAAATGGGGGTTGTATGATTGCATAGCCGGGGATTGAGTTGTTCTTCGTGCGTACGTATGTTCTTTGTTGTTTTTGTGTACATGTTGATCTCGTTCGGTTCAGTGTACAATTGCGTCGACTAGGGCTGCATTCGCTGCTCAGGCATCCAACGACCTCGTTCATTCGACATCACATTCATCTTGATATCATTCCCACCGTTGCCCCGCAAGCCGAGGCCTCCGCTGATCTTAAACCTTCTCGGTATAACCCTTCACACACGATATAGATGTTCTATATTTGCACTTAACACTCCAGCGCAAAGAGAACTTGCCATAACTTATTGAACTCACTCTCGTGTATTTAATCCATGTATCGGTCAAAGAATCATAACCAAGCCTTCTTTATCTGGTGGATGATAACTCTTGATTCCCGCTGAGATCACAAATTATAGATACACCCATAAGAGAGTTTCTGGGGGCAGTGGGCTTATACACCGTCCCAGGACTTCATGCTACAGCTGTCGTCCGAGTACATACTGACTCTCAGCTGCGATATCGACGTTTCCGTCGGGTGAACCACTAACAGGCGGGTCTGTGAGTTGAATGATTGTTTTTCAGCCCCTTCCTCCTCGTCTCGCCCACGGCCCGAAATGACCTCCCGTGAGTTCAACGTTGACAAAAAGGATATGGCGTAGACTGTTTGGAGGATGAATCCGGACGCGAGATGCAAAGGTGCTGCCTAGATCAGATGCTACGCACGTTTGGAGAGGAGAAAGTAGGTGGCCCCGAATACGAGATTACCCGTGGAAAGATCAAACTGTGTATCAGGGCGGTTTAATCAACGAAGAAAACCAAGAATGCAGACCACCGACCAACAAGAGCGTTGTGAGACTGACGGTGGAAGTGAGAATGCCGATGTTGATCGCGTCTCGCACGAGTCGGCGCACCAACGAGTCTGTTCTGTGCTGATTGAGTGTCCGATGCCGATTCCAAATGGAAAGCCGTACCTGGCGATCCCGCTCCGCAGACGCCGCAGGAAGAAAGATAGCGAGGCAGCGATTGTTATGTCTGTGAAAACGCCCAGCGCGAGGGAGGTCGTGGCGGGTATTTCAAGGCCGAACACGGCGGAAATAGAGAGCATCTCGAATGCTTTGACCGTGAACCCTGCAAAAATGAGGAGTGTGAGATCCAATAGGGATTGATAGCCCAGGCAAACTCACAGAGAGAGAAACAGAGTTGGCTGAGGCTGAGGACAACGATGAGAGACGAGATCCAGAGGTTCCGCTGGCTGAAACGGTACACTCGAACCGCGAACACGCTATGACTATGGTGGGAGTCTGACGGAAGCTGAGGGATGAGACTCACCATTTTACAGTGATGCCCACAAGATTCCCGATCATCTGCTGTAGCTATATAAATACCATGGTCAGCAGGTCATCAGATCGAAACCCCAAGAACTCACGACCGGAGACCACTTCATGTTCCCCGTCGCCATCGAGAGCGGTTTCCCCGCACTCGTCACTGTGTAATAATATGCAAAGTGGGTAATAAAACCTTGGTCGACTGTTTCGAGCAAGCTGGATGGCAGAAAATAAGTGAGCTGGAGTTTAGGGCAATGCAAATTCAGCTCACACAATCAGGCCGACCAAAAACTTGTACTGAGAGAGGATGGAATCAGCATGAGCTTCGGACCGAGGAGAACATGATCTGCTTCACTCACCCGCCGTGCGTCGTACAGGTACCGGTGGTAGTAAGTCCAAACTTGCGTGAGGAGACTGTGGTGAGCTTTCGTGAGTCTAACCGATCCAAGGGACACCCCGACGCAAATTCCATACACAAAACACGATGCAGCGAGTCCCAGGACCAGCGCCCCTAGTGTGTTGTCTGGTGTGAAATTGTAGCCTCTGTCCTGCAGAGACATGGGAGAGCCAATGTGGAGTGATCGTGTAACGCAGCCGAAACAGCCAAAAGGCAGGTAAGAAAAAAAATAGAAAGACCCTGGTCGGAGAGATGGCCAGAGATTGAGGGCACCACGGGCAGTGTATTGCGCTTTATATCAATCTGCAGGGATGGAAATATCAATGTGGACTCAAACACAGAAGTCTTGATGATTGATCATCCTCCGTTGCCATTCGGTGTGATCTCTAGCCGGGAAGAATACGTTGTGCCTCTCATAGAGCGAGCTGTTGTTGTTGTGAGCTCCTGTAGCTGTAGTGCCACAGCTGTGCACGGACAATGCTCGGGCAGTGGTAACAACTCATGTTGATCAATTGAAAGGTAGACCAGGGATCGATCGAGAGGCGAACCAGTATCCGATTGAGGCCCCCACATCTGAGACTGTTTCTCTCTTCCCGAACTGTGATTTCTCGCTGATCTTGATCCAGGAACCCAAGATTTTGATGATCTGAACAAACTCCCAGGGAGTCTTCGTCGCATCATGATACATCTCCACAAAGCCAAATGGGTGATACGACTGGCGCGAAGTTCAAAAAATTGGATATGGACGCAGGCGGGGTAATTTGAGCCTCAAGGGGGACAAGTGATCTTCCGCTTCGTCACCTTTTCTCGGGTCATCTGATTGTGATGAACACGGGCACATAGCACGGAGGGTCTTGCATCCAACTCCGCCCGAGGGATGTACTCCCGGTTTCCTCAATGATGAGCTGTGGATCGCCTTGGCCGGATGGCCGGGCCGCTACCCATTGACGCACCAGCTCGTGACCAAATTCACCGCTCAACACCCTTGCTGAGCTGGTCAGCACTTTCTAGGACAAATAAATCAACCCAGAGTTCATTTCAGACATTCTAGAACGATAAGTGAGTGCTTCCCAAGACGACCGCCGAGTTGAATTCGCTGACCTGCATAGCAATTATGAAATTCCTCGCCGACATGATCCCACTGTAGCTTCGCTTACTTGTGGATGCCCGCCTCCTGTTCGAGCCTGAGCGGAATCTTGTGTTTTCTCCATTTTTACACGTACTAGCGGTATCTACTCACTACGTGCCCACCAGACGCAGCGGCGTTGATATTAATTGCCCCTTGAATCCCGATGTTTGCAAGCATGCTAGTGCCTCTCATCGATTGTTCCTGGGAAAATAGTCGGCCTTCAAACACGGAAAGGTAGTGCGCAGCCTCACCACTCGGGTCCGAGCTCTACCCATCGCCACCTCGTCGTCTTGAATTAGGACTAAACGCCGGCACCGCGTAATGTAAGTTTCACGAACGCGGTACAGAGAATAGCTTGAGCGCGCACGGTTCTGTTCTTCAACACCCATTGCGACCTCCCGCAGCTCAGCGAGGATTTGCATCATATGTGGTGGCATGTTCCAGCGCATCTGCACTGTCGTGCCGTGCTGCTGCTTGAACTTGAGGAAGAAGTACGCGTGATCGTAGAAACACAGTGTCGAGCCCCGTTCGATTGCCCATCCAGTTTGGAATTCGGTCAGTGTCTGGTGTGAAAACGCATCGATTCCACCGTGGAAACATATTGAGAACCGGCCTGACGTACTTTATTAAGAATGTGGCCTGGATCTAGGGCATCCCCGTCCAAACGAGCGATGAAACCGCCCGGCAGCATCGTCAGACTGGTCCGTCCCTTGCCAAACAAAACGCCCTGCACACTCGCGTCGAATCCTTGAACACGGCGTTTCTGAGCCAGAATCTCTTGAATAAGCGAGTCGTCCAGCGTGGCGCTCCATGAAGCGTGCCGTTTGCCTTTGAGAAAGAAATGAGCGGGGTCCGGGTCGTCTGAGAACGTGAGGTAGTCGGCAGGAACTTTGCCGTTCGCGCCGCCGAGGTGATCACGAATCACAGGCGGGATGTCGGTGTTGTGGAAGACTGGTCGCAAGGTTGATTGTAAATATCGTAAGATTTGGTCCAGTTAAGGATAGAGCCCACATTGATTTGTCCCGACATTGAAGAGGACCCAGTGCTGCATGTCTCTAGTCATACTGCGCCCGTTCAGCTTGGCTACCATCCTCGCTCGCACTCGACGCACCTGATCCACAGCGTCATCGCGATATGAAGCGCGGCGGCGTGCTTCGTGAATCCCTCTGGCATTCCTTGGATGTGATGTCTCCTTCCATGTCCGATGTAAAAGGCATCAGGAGAAGTGCCGAATAGAATATGTGTGACTGGGTTTGCCATCTTAGAGAAATGAGAACAGAGAGTCTGGGTGAGGGTATTTATAGCTCAGTCTGTGGCCCGCCTACCGCGTACAGAGTTCAGGCGCAGATACATGATGGCCCTGATCGCTGTGCGATGCCGTGCAGATTGACAGAGGATGGTGACATTGACAAGACTAATTGAACAAAGACGGGGATCTTCCCTGGGTTTACACAGGCGCTCTCTATATACAATGGTCAGCAAACGGCGATGGGGTCAGCTTGACATTGTCACTCATTATCAGTTGTCTGTTCCAGGTCCTCATTGATGGTTTGAGGTTCTTATTGAATGCCGACTGAGACTAATCCAGCGTGTGCCATTTCAGAGCGGGAGCCGGTCTCGCTAAGTGACAGTGGAAAGTCGAGAAGGACACGACGCCTGTCACACGTGCTGACAGGAAAGCAGGCCGGCCCGATCCCCCTACCCTATACTTGTTTCTTAGCCTCCATTTCACAAAGGAGATACAGAATGCAAGACAGCATCCATTCGCGTACACTGGATCTATGTATATGACAATCAGGACGACAGGCCTAGAAACGAATCACGTCTCTGACTCTCGTCTCGCCTGGGCCTCCAAGCTAACCCATTTGCGCTCATACATGCCCTCTCTATGGGCCCACTCATCATCGCTCCAAGTCGGCAACACGCTAGCATACTCCGGTGCAATCCGTGCAATGTCGCGCACCAATCCTCGCGCGTAGTCCAATTCAAAAGCACCCAGAACGTGATACGCAATGAAAGACGATGAATCCGCTGCTCCGCGACCTGTCAGCACGAACTGCACGCGCTCTCGCTCGCCGGCGAGCAGGTCGTCAGGGAGAGCAAGGCGCCCAGCAAAGAACAATGCAAGCCATGTGCTGGATGTGTCGCTCAGCGTAAAGGGCGTGAAGGACATGAGGGTCCCAATGAACGCGAGCGACGGCCTCGGTGCGTAAAGGATGTGGTTGTAGAGTGATGGGATTCGGGGCGGATCCGTGGCCGAAGAGGTGAGCGGGACTAGCTGCCGTCGATCATCGAGGACACGGACAAAAGGTGCACTAGCTGGGCTGTATCCTGTCCCCAAGAATACGGCGTCGATATTTGCAAGAACGCGACCGTCGATGAGCTCGATATCCAGCTTGTTCCCGTCATTAGTGACATTGTATCGGGCGACCGCGCTCACATCCTCAACTCTGGAATCTGAGAGGAAGGCGAATCGGCGCTGGGTGGGACGGCGGATGGAGCGGTAGATGGGCGAGCATGCGACGCTTTTCAGCTGTGCAGCGATGTCGTTCGCGGAGTTAGCGTTGCCAACAACGACGACACGCTGTCTTGAATGTCATTGAAAGTTTGGGGGGTTGAAATGAGGACAGATACCTTACCGGCAAAGGCAGTGGGACCCATCCAATCTTTGGCGTGCACGGCCAGCCCAGCGTCCCTCGCATCCTGGAGTCCAGGCGTGTCCGGCCACACGGGAAAGTCGTACCACGCAGTGCAAACGACCACTGCGTCCCATCTCTCGACTACACCCGTGGACAGTGTGACATCCCAGCTATCACCCTCCTCCACCTGATCAACCCACACAACCTCTGTCTTAAGACGTATCCGGCCCGCATCGATCAATGGTGCGGCGAAACGGCGCAGATACGCGTGCGTGTCCGCAAGTGTCGGATAGGGATGGACTTCGGAAGCGGTTTCCGGGAATGGGTGCCCGGAGAAGGAGAGGTAGACAGGGAGAACGTTGCCGACGAGTCCAGGGTATGCAGGTGATTGAAAGCGGGCATGGGGAGTGTCATCGAGGTACCTGCCTATAATTCAGTATTCGTATGTGAATGGCCAAGATCTTAGATAGACGACCCACCATACCCCTCCGATGTCATCCCGCCTCTCGACCAACGATACTTCGTCGAAGTCGCCCCGCTCAAGGAGATTGCGTAGAGTTACGAGGCCGCTGACTCCGCCGCCGATGACGAGGATCCTTCTGGTGGATGGGGTGCGAGATGGGGATTCCATGAAGTGTCCGCTGAAGACGCAATCATGGCGATTTGGCTTGGAAAAAAGAGCAGAGCCACGAAGATCGATGGATTGATGAGATCATGTCACATTTGGAGTGGCAACTTGCCAACGAGCTCAGACTCTTGTTTTGTCTCTCACGACGGGAAATAGCTTGCATCAGTGCTAGAAACTCAACAGCTGATAGAAAAGATTTGAGAGACTTGAATGGGACCGATTTTCGCTGAAGTCGCTCCCTCTGGCATTTGACGCTCACGAACTGGGTGACTGTAGCACCGAGCAGCTGGCGACCGAGCATGTAGCAGCCGTTCACCATAACTGAGACGTAGAACTCCCAGGTCCTGCGCCTGCTCTCCATACTTCCGAATCGTGGGTCTCCGAATCAGCGCACCTTACATGAGGCTGAGACGAGAATACGTCGTAACAGACAAAGATGAAGCAACAGAATGCGAGACTGAAGACAAATGGAAAGTCAAGATTGGCACGGCTCCGCCCCGGATTGGATAATTCTGCATGTCCCACCATTCTCACAAAGATTCGCTACCCGATTTCTCATTTCATATCCCGCTTCACAAATCGCAGCATGGCTTTCTGGTTCGGCAAAATGAATCCGTTGAAAGCGAACGGCTCCGGCTGCGTGCTTGCTCCATCGGGAAAAGCCAAGTCAAACTCCCGTAGAATCTCGTAGACGAGAATCTTGATCGTCAGCGACGCGCTGTAGCTGTGATAAAAACCAAAGCAGCGATGCAGTCCGATGAGATCCATACGCACAAGAATCTTCCAGGACACGCACGGGGCCCGGTCCCAAACACGATATACTCATTTGCCAGATGGGTAAATGTGTGCTTGACGTTGCTTGTGGTGTCCCCGTCTGCGGTCCGGAGATGGGCAAAGCGGAACGGTTTAAATATATACGGATCGGGATACGTTTTTGTGTCGAAATGAAGTGGCTCGTGTGCCAGTGAGACTGCGCAACCGGCTGGCAGGAGCGTGCCATCGGAGAGGGTGATTGGTTGCATTACCATACGCGACGAACCGACTAAGGCGTTTAGATTTTGCTGAGAGATGGCGCAAAAGTGGAGGTACTCACCCGAAACCTGCATGTGATACCGCCCGACCTCCTTCAAAAGCGAGTCGAGGAGATGAAAGTTAGACAGTGCAGCTTTCGAGCAGGTTCCCCCCTCAGCAGCGACGGCATCATCCATCTCCTGTCTCAATAGTGCCAACTGTGGTGCCGGGAGCCGAGCTATCTCGAACAGGGAGTGCGTCAGAAATATTGAGCTGCGCCTATCAGTCAATATAATGTTAAGGAACAATCTTTGGAAACACGGACGAAGTGTGGATTGCCGCCATGTTCAGATGAGTCACACGTAAAGCAAGAGTGCGCAGATTCGATAGCTCCGATTCGGGTGCATGCTTGAGGAGTAGATCGAGTACTGTGGCCGGATCTTCCTATCAAACGTCAAAGATACTCAAGCACGAACAGTTCTTGCCAGGGAACCCACCTTTCCCGAATCCACGACTCGCTGTTGGACGTACGGCATCAGTTTCGCGAGACATGACTCCCTGCTGCCAGCTAGGGCGGAAAACACGCTCCAAACGAAACTGAAATTAGTCGAACGTTGACGCCAGTTCGATGGACAGAAGGGATCACTCCGCTTACGGACGACACACGACTGGGAACCATCGTAGGACTTGTGCCACCGGGATCGCTTGCTCCGCGACGGCCTCCTGGAGCCGCAAAAACGCCTCGTCGCGACACCCCGGCACGCCGATTATCGCGCGGTTTGCTACTCGGGCGACTAAGTGCACCACGCTTTCCCAAAGTGGGTGGTTCGCATCGGTGTCGAAGGCGTATGGGACGACATGCCGTGCTTCATCGACGAGCTGCGGGACGAGCGTTGCATAGGAGCGCGGTAGGGCGGAGCGCATGAGCAGGATGAGGAAGTGGTGTGCATTCGTGTCGAGGCCCGCGAACAAGACGCGGGGCTGGAAGATCTAAGTGAGAGAGTGGTAGTAAGCGATGGCCACTATGCGGGGTGAAATTGAGGCGTTGACACCACTGACATCGTCGTTCCGCACTTCAGCGCTGAGCTATGAGGGTTGGGATGGGTATTAATCGTGGTGCTGGTCAGATGGGAGGAGACTTGCTATTCTTTCGTCCGCCTTGCGAACCTCTGCCACATGTTGTGGCCCCAGAACGACGCATTCTCCGGTCATGCTTGGGAGGATGAATGGGCCTCCGCCAAATTGTGCCAGTCCTTCATTCACTAGTTGCCGCGATTCCAAAACCGATCGGAAAAGTGTACGAAGGTAGCCTAGAGTTCCGACTGGGCCGACGCGTGGGATCGAGTGTGAGGAAGAGGAGATATTGCACTTGAAGGCTGCTACGAGGGCTAGGAGGACCCCACTAAAGATCAGAGAGCCGGTGGTAGTGGTGGTGCTGGTGGAAGTCATTGAAAATCACATGATAAGATAGGGCTGATCCTCTCGAACTCGATTCGTCTGCTGAGGTACAGACCCGGAATACATGATTCCTTCTAGCGACTATGAACAGTGAAGGTGCCTTGTGCCGCCGTGCTGCCACACATGCCAAATGTGACTGATTCATTTGCTGATTGTCGAGGGCGGTGCTGTCAGATTGTGGCACGCTTGATTGTCAATTTCAATCACTAGTTGCGACGACTGCGGCCACGTCCTCTCCTTCCTGCCTCCCACTCACCTCTTGGTCCATACGCGTGCTGCTTTTGCGAATCATCGTGCTTGCTGCGCATGCTTCTCAAATCCACCGAGTCATTTTTCTCTCCTCCACCGTCCTCCGACCCGGACTCTGAGCAAGAGCACGAGTATGAGGCATGCTCATGTGTGTACCCGGACTCGGACGATGAGCGGACGTTGAACGGGGACGCCCCGCCCTCTCACTCACCATTCTGCCATCGAGGCTCTCAGGACACTCGGTTTTTTGACGCTCACCGCCGCGCCCACTCGCTTGCCACATCCTCATCGTCTTCTTCCGCCTCCTTCTCCTCCCGAGCCCCGACACCTCCGCACGCACACTATCATCAGCGTCCCTCTTCGTATTCGCCTAGCCATCCGTATCTGCAGCCTCAAGACGTGCATCCTCACCTGCCTTATCTTCCTCCACGCACGTGCGCCCACATCTGCACAGAATGCTTTCCGGTAAACGCGGATCTGCCCTCGACGACTAGCAAGGAGCGGGAGGATGATGACGTGGAGAAGGCAACGGGGAACAAGGAGTCTGCTCGAAAATGGCTTGGTTTCGGATGGGATAACCGCTTCGTGTGGATCATCAGTGCGATTTAGCAACTCATCTTCTGTGCCTCGACTCATGCAGCCGGTCAGTGGCGATACTCTCCTCGCTTACTGTGGGCGTCATGGCTATAGTGGAGCGCATGATGCTGCGTTCCAGCCCTATTTCGGGGGCTACGCAGTGGCCCGGGGTCGCCCACTCACTGATTGAACATTTCACCATGGCAGATGCTTTTCAGATCTTGATAGTCATATTCTCTCTTCCCAGTGTCTTTCTCCTCGTGCTTCTGTATGTAGTTTGACCCTTACTGATAATGGGAAGCCTGCTAACTCAACCACCCAGGCTCTTCCGCCCACGGAGACCAACACTCTTCACACCCACTATCACTCAGATCCAGATCCTCACCTCGCTTGCCATTGTGTGGATTGTGCTCCTGATGTTGACGCATGCTGGCAAGATTGCAACGTGTCGTGGAAATGCAGGCGTGCTCGAGGGCGTGTTCGAACTTGCCGTGGAGGAGTTGGACTTGGAGCTCGGCCAGCGGATGAGCACCTGTGCGCTGTACAGGGCAGAGCACTGGGTGATGTTTGTTGTCCCCACGTCATGTGTGTGCTTTCTGCTTGTTGTGGGCGTTTGCTAACGTGTGTGTGCTGTAGTGTTGCTCGGTGCATTTGCGACTTATCGCCGAGCTGTGCGGGTGCATGGAAAGGGCCTGGTGCCGTTACCGGTGAAGACGCCGATGGTTGAGGCGTGGAGGGTGTCAAGTATCTAAATAGATGGAAGTGATTTGTTTGATCTTTTTTGCTGTACTCACCTGTTGTACTTGAAACCTATATCCACATCAGATATGACCGTATTGAATCTATGCCTTTCAAGTTTGGCTCATAGGATGTAAACCCGTTTTTCCGTATTCTGCTCCCTTTGTAACCGGACAAGCTCACGGCTTCCCTCGTCAACAACGATATTCGGGAACTGGTCCGGGTCATCCGAGTCCGAGATGACAGGATCCCATCTGGAGGAACACATATTGGCGGAGAGAGGGGTGGACTATTGGGGAGGAGCATCGACGGTTGTAGGCCCAGACGGGCTCCTTTTCCGTCTCTTCTCGGTTCTGAGGCACGAGTCGGGATTGGCTTTTGGGACGATTTCTGTGAGGGGCGAATCTGAATGCTGGTATGACCTGCCAGAGCAGTTGAAGAAAGGAAGGATACGCTCAGCAGTCACAAGAAGATACCTTGATCTGGCAACCATTGAGCAAAGACCGAGTGAGCTTCAACCCCTTCCGTGCGGCACCGATACGTTTGAAAGAGACTTGGACGTATTGAAAGTGGTCTTTTAGACGATATTTCTACTGTGCGTTGTTCACGTCACAATGGGCTTGGATAAGCTCGATCGGGGTACTGGGCTTAATGTATGGGTGTTGAGACAGAGATGAACTCTGAACTCGGTCATAGAGCGTAAATCATTCAATTCAACATTACAGAAACGACCCCGCGCTCCCTGTATGGGGTCGGGCACTAGAGTGCCCATTGCCAGGAGGCGCTGAGCCTGCTGCCAGGTTGGAGGAGGAGCTAGCCTTCGCAGACGTTGGAACGGGAGCGTACAACAGGAGATTCAAAAAATAGATCTGCCTGAGGCTTTCTGGAATCCAATTAATGACCGCAGTGTCTTTTCGAGGCGATTTATAGCCTCGCTGCGCTGTGGCGGTCAGCGAAAGATCCATGCAGCAGACAATGCGTGCGATAAAGAACCTGTCCCAAAGGCCGATCATGAGTTGGACGAATCTCTCTCCGCAAGATTTGAAACAATCGACTTGATGTGCCCTTGTCAAACTGGAATTCAAACACCGAGAGCAGGAAGAATGCGAAACAGATATCCACAACAGAGATCTCTGTCTTGATCGGATCATATACCAAACATGAACAGTTTTTTCGTGCACTCCTTCAGTTATGTCTCTTCATCGCTGTTATATTATAAAGCTAGTCAACCGGCTGCAACCATCTACCACCTCGCTCATCTATGATTGACGGATTCTCCATCTGTGCAATTCTCACTAGAATCGTTCAACTCGTCCTAGTTAGTAGTCTTGCTCGGCCAGGTCCTTGTTCCCTCGATTCTGTCCACAATGCACCCCCCGCCGTGTCTGACCGGAAACTGAATACAGTCTTGGCGGCTCCCCGATCACTATTCTGGATTGATGCGATTTGCCTCTGCCACTTGGAGCTTGAGACAACGCTGCAGTTGTAGCATTTCTTTCCACGGATCGACTCTCCATACTTTATCGTGATCTCGATGCTGGTGCGCGGAGGCTTTCCTGCTACAAGGTTATCTATTGTCGTTCTGGGTTTGATCGTCTGTTTTGTTTTGGGGCTTTCGAGTTAGAAGGTGGACACTTGCGCATCCACTTCATGAGCGAATGGGTTGTCCAGCGCATTCGGACTGCCCACGGTGCTCGATTGAAAATCCAGTACTGGCCGTACATGCGATCTTCGATTGGCATGCCAAAATACATGAATGGAACTCGCTTTCTTGTCGGATCCTCTTCGTAACTGCATGGACCTTCGACCCAACGAGGAGCTATGCTTGACATGCCAGTGCTGAGGCAAGTGCGGGTGCGAGACGTAGCTTATAGGAGTCACACATGAGTCGCATATAAAGAACTATTAGTCGGATTGAACGGTCCAGGATTTTGTGTGCCTCATTCTGATCGAGCTTTTTGATTTATTCCGACCGGGATAAGTTTGGGCGGCTTTACAAGCCGGCGATCTGAGCTTCTTATGAAGCTTTCGAGTCAATTAGTATGCCCTCGGCTAGCTCCTGGATCCTCAGAGTTGAAAGACTGTATTCTGTTGAATGTTCTAATATCGAAGGAGTCCAAATCTCGGAACTTACACTTAAGTCCGATGTCAGCGTGGAAGCACTCGAGCTTGCGTCGGTACGATCCAATCTCAATAAAATAAAGGCGATAAGACGGAACATACTCCTCACCCTTACATGGCCCCATTCTCCAGCATGCCCGTACGAGCCGATGAGTCCCACGACTGAATCTGCCGAGAAAGACCGGACCACTCGCACATGCACGGTGACATTCACACTTCCCATCATTCCGATACCGCCGCTCGTGGCACTTCGCCCCCATTCGTCCGGCAACATAGTCCACGCCGCGGGAGCCCGAAAACCTACTCGCAAGATTGCTTCTGCCTGACAAAGGTTCACCACCGTCAAGCAAGATCCATGCGTTCTGTGGGTTTCTGGTCTACGAGAAGACCGGCGGCTGCAGAAAACTTCCCTATCTTTCGCGTCGCACCTCATCATTCCAAGGATAATAAGATTTTACGGTCTGGCGAAGCATCCCCCGGCGCTGTCTAAAACAAGGATCTCCCGACTGGAAGTCTTACGCCGGGTGTTTGGGTCAGCTCAGCCATCTGGAGTCCACTTGTTCATGTTGTTTGCCATGTCTGTTTATATAGTCATATCAGTATATAAATTAGTTCTATATGCTGGAGGCTGCATTCTTACGAGATGAGACTGTTTCTCGCCTCTCGCCTCTTTGGGTTCTTTTCAGTCGGTCTAACCGGCCCTTGGAGCTAGATATTGAGAAACAGAAGCATATAATAACCAGCGGAAACGCACTACCGGGCAGCGAGGGAAGAAAGCAAGAACAAAGTCGAAACTGAGAGCTTTCGTAGGCTCAGCACCGACACTGATTTTGACAGAGCTAGTTTCCTTTCCTGGAGCTCATGCCTTGTTTGGTCGAGAAGATACCATCAGGGCCTTGCTCGAGTACATGTTGTCAAGTACATCCAGAGCGCCACAACTATCCTCAGGCTGTGTTTCCGTCGGATCAAACGCGTTCTGCTCAAGCCCTAATAGTCCTCCCAGTCATTGTCTTGACTTAGTTGGGCCTGAACTGAATAGGAGTGTCATAGCGGCCGGAGATTTAACCCCAGTCTTTGGAAATCCGGAATCGTATCATCAGCAACCTCTCAGAATCGGCTTTTGTACCACTCTCAGGCCAAGGAAAGACACGAATTGCAAAAAATTTGAATACATGAGCGCGAGTTACGATAATTGAGCCGAATAGTCGTTCATTTCCGTGCTCGTTCATTGCATTTGCCTGTCCCAATCTATGAGCGCTCCAGATGACAATATTTCTTCAATATGGCTCCCACAGCCCGTGAATGAAGAATTTAGAGCGAAGATGCTCAGATCCAAACCCCACAAAACTCTTGACAACATCCAAAAACATTATTCCAAGTTCGTAGGCACTTGACTACATAACATATGACTAATGACGTAGAGTCCGACGAAGCCGCCGATTTCTTGCCACAGAGCGCGTGTGGGGGGACCTCGGAATCGCTCGACTTAGACTGTCGACGGATTTGCTTGGTGTGTGACCGGTCGAAGAGCTGCCGCGGCCGCTCCTCTCCGATTGGAGGGCTTCATGTGACTTCGACAGCGACATGTGTGCCCAAGTTGCTTCCCCGCTTGTTCTCACTCCAGTCGATGCAGCCCAAGGTGCATGCGGCGATCGGGTCATCGCGGTTCTTTCAGCATCATGGGGATGATAAAGAGAAGAGCTTACTGTTTTTAGAGTCCCTGACTCGTTGAATCTCAAGCATGCAATCGACAGGAGGAATTGGTCATTTCAATCTAGTACAGGCTGCCTAACAGACAGCACCGGCAAAGTAACAAAATGCCCGGAGTTCGAGATACCGAGCCTGTGACTACTTCGGAGACTCGAAAGTCCCATTCATCACCACTAATATTCAATTACTATCTTTGATTGACCATCCCCGGGTGATTTCCGTGTCACCAGATCTCCGGCCCGGGCGCTCCGGTACATCCGAACGTGCTGAACAGCGTGCCACAGAAGCCTAGATTATCTCCTACAGTGCGGCAGCCAAATGGGTGTAATACATCACATTACAAGTGGACTGCTCGTTAGTGGAGGAAGATCAGCTCAGCGCTGGGGCCTGATAATTTTCCAGAATAAGGGCCGGAAAGGTGGAACCTGTCCGTAGGATTTCAAGGTTACATGTACTGCAAGGCAGCACGGTGCCGGAAAATGCCATCAGTGTGAGGATTTAAGTGGTCTCATACGCCATTGCTATACGCTGCCATGGTGCGCCAGAGTTGAGCGGGCCGGGAAGAGCGTGGACACACACAGATAACGTTGAGATCGAAAATCAGGAAAATTACATGTTCAAAGATGTTCTAGTGCGACCCACGTAGTCAAAACCGGAAGTGAGCTGATGCGAATTGCAATGAGAGCACGAAAGGTTCTTCCTGATTTAGAGAAACCTCTGCGCCTGACTTGGTTTTCTGGAGCATTGTCGCACTCATGAGAGAGCTCGGAGATTCTAGTGTCTTTTTCGGTGCTATCCAGTGGAGCTAGACTGTTATGAAGCTGCTAGAGCTGCCAAACATAATCTACCGAATACATCATTCATTGCATCAATGTGATCAATTTGCTTCGAACGACGGTCGGGATTGCTGTCATGATGGGCATCAGCGCTTTAACCACTCCCTTCCTCTCCCGCTTTGGTGACGCGTAGCAAAGAGACGTTTTGAGTGCATTGTGACCTGCACAAAAAGCGCTCGCTTGATGCCACCCAGGTCTCCTTCCTCTTCTCTGTACTTTCCCCCTCCTGAGTCCTGGCACCCTTCAGGTCTGGTTTGGAGTGTCATCGCGGCAAAATAACCTACTATGGGGTTACCGTCAAGGGATTTCCCTCTTCTGTAGGGCGGCCAACCGAGCCCTCCTCGGATAGTGTGCGCCGTCCCCTGAGCCACTCCAGCGCATAAAACCTCCCAGGATCAAAGCACGCGACGAACGCGCTCATGCAGCTGCTGCTACTATTCCCTGATCTCCTCTTGAAGCACTCTCGAAACGGAGTGCTCCTCGACTCGTATTCAGTGGTAGTGGACGCGATCACGGTGCCGTATTCGCGCGAGTTGAACGAATATCAGCGGGACAAGGTCCTTCTCGAGTCTCAGCGCCCAGTGAAAATCACCGTTGAGCAAGTAGAAGATAGCGCGAGTGACGACGACCAGCTTCGTAAAATTCCGGGGTGAGAGGTGGGGACGAGCCGCGTTGCATTATTTGATGCAGAGATGTATATTGTTGTACAGCGATTGCCACCCGCTGATGGAATGTCTGTTTCTCAGGGTTCTTCCAGATTCTGGAGTTGCGCAAACTTCAGGAAGGTTTGAACCGTCGAAAAGTGCGGATCAAACAACGGTGAGCCGTTTTGAAGCCTCGGGCCTTGTTCTCGCCGGGGTGAAGATGAATCTCTACTATTCTTCATACAAAACATGATCGTTTTTTATCGCTTTTGTGATATTTTTTTATGTCTCTGCTGAAGCCGTATCCTCGACTTTTCCCTGTGTCCCATTTGTGAATATCATATTGCCCTCTTTGCCACTGTAGCGTTGCATCGTGATTGTAGCCTACCAGCTGTTTCCACACAGGCCATGTGTAACAAACCGGCTCCCGCATCCTATGCTTCCCGAGCGGTTCGGCCGAACCGAGCATGATTGGCGTGAGAAGAACGCTGTGGCACACAAATCCACATGGCCGAGAAGCCCGAGCTACTTTGCGAGGCGGATCCCGCTTCGAAGACGTTTCAAATTTCGCACACATGCCCCGACGCCAAAAGACAAGAGGCGGGCAGGTATTGCCGGATGCGCAGAGTTCGGACTCCGCGGAGCCGCATCGCATCATGATGGCAGTGACGGGACCGTGACATACCCTGCGCAGCAACTTGGATCGACGACATCTGCATGTGCTCTCCACATGACGTGGCTGAATTGAATAAGAGCTCCTTGTTTGCCGTGCGTTTTCTCTCGATTCATGGGATCACTGTCCGGGTATCATGCTTAGTAGCTACGCCTACATGGTCATCGCTGTGTGTAACCATCTCCCTATTACTTACAACTACACCTTCCAAAACATCAAACTTGACCCGGCACGCTCGAACGGCGGCTCGCCACCCCATCGCGTAACTTCGGCGTCGCTCGTCTCAATGCTATCCCTTAGTCTCACGACAATCTGCCTAGCCGCTGTATAGTCGTCCACTCGGCCGCCTTCAATCTCCTCCTTGCAGCTCTATGGTGATGAAGATGATGATACTGGACATAGGCTTTTGGGAACTACTCACCTGGATCGCCTGAGCGATATCAGAGTCAACCACAGCCAGCAACTCCGCCGTCTGGTCGTCGAACCAGCGCGCGCCCAACGAGGCGTCGACAATCGTCGCGAGAACACTAACGGATAGAATTCGACCTCGAACATGGAACCTCGGGAACGAATCTGTGCGCACCCAAGACTTGCGAATCCCATCCCGCACCCATACAATGCCCGTGCCCGGCGAAGGAGATCGAAGAGCGCAGGGGCTGGTGCGTCGATCGTCTTTGTCTCCTTCGCCGATGTGGTAACGAATAACGTCAGCGTCTCAGTTCCCCTGATCTCCTCCGTCTGCTCCACGAGCCGCGCGCGCGCGGCCGTGGCGAGCGCACCCGCGACCCCCGGTGTTCCTGAGGACACCATGCTCCGCACAATCGCACGTAAACTGTGAGTTCGAGTGAGCCGCGGATTGATCTGCGCAGTTTAGCCGTTCACGTGAACGGGAGGAAACCGACTGACTCTTCGAGGCTGGCATTGGCAATGAGGGTGTCTGCCATCAAGTTTCTGGTTGTGACTGTGCGTCAATCTCTGCGGTGGAGGCGGATGGAGCAAGTGGCTGGCTCACACATGGCCAAGGACGGGACGCGATGTCGGCATCTTGGAGGAGGTAGTCTCTGGGGCGGGCATCGGGGGGAAGTGGGGGCGGATTGCGTGGCACGTTAACGAGGCTGCGATGGATGTTAAGCTCGACGTGGCTCTTATATCTCCAGCCGGAACGTCAGGGTGCATCCCTGACCTTTTCCTGGTTTGCTTCTGATGAGCCCGCTTAGCGCACACGGCAAATGATGTGATCACCGGTGCGGAGATACTTGACGCGTGGCACTTCATTCTCGCGTCCTAGCCTTCTTGCTTCTCGTCTTCCCTCATCACACTTGCCGCATTCAGCGCGCTTGCATTCCCCATCGGTCGGACTTCTCGCTTCCCGCATACTTATATATCGTCCCCTTTCTCCGGAGAGTATCTTCTTCTCACGATGTCTGCGCCCCCGCCGACCCACGAAACGATCGATTTGGGGCCGCTCCTGGGCGTACCGCGCCTCTGGTGTGGACTCTGGCAACTTTCCAGCAACGCCTGGGGTAGTGCGCCTGTCTCCAAGATCCGGAAGTCCATGGGAGACACCGTTGATCGTGGGTTCACGGCCTTCGGTGCGTCACTTATCCATCCCTCATGCGCGTCATCGTTGATGTGAAATACGCTCTCACCAGATATGGTGAGTGTGACCTTCCGAGCACACGAGGGACTGCACCGATCTTGATCTTTTATGCCAGGGTGCGTCCTCATCGCCTGGCGCGCGTGCTTCTGTTCACAGTGTTTCCCAGCGGACCATTATGGGAGCGCGGAAATTATTTTCGTATGTTGCGCATTATCTTCATTTGGCGCATTCTCACACGCATGCGGCTCCCACAGGGCCAGTTCCGGAAGTCGAGCGGCACTCGTCCGGACCTGGTCGTTGGCGCAACCAAGTGGTGTGTCTTCAAAACCATCGTCCCCAATCGAACCACCGTCGAGGCCGCCGTGCGCGAGAGGATGCTTCGCATGCAGAGTGAGAAAGTAGATTTGCTGCAGGTGCGTCTGCTCGTTAGCGCCCATCTATGTCCATCTCGGACGAATGGACCCTAGTTTCACTGGCAAGACTACGAGGACAAAGGGTATCTAACCGCGCTCGAAATCCTAGACGAGCTTCGCTCTGACGGCCTCATCACCGCGCTTGGCCTCTGCAACTTCGACGCCATCCGCACTGACGAGATCTGCACGCACCTCGGGCCGGGTGTCATTGTGTCGAATCAGATCCAGGTTCGGCCGGTGTTTCTGGTGTAACCGGACTGTTTCTGAGCAAGACACCTACTGCAGTTCTCATTAATCGACACGCGGCCACTGCACGGCATGACCGATGTATGTTCACGCCATGGTATTAAACTGCTCACATATGGCACGCTGGTAGGCATTGCCGTCGTTTGACCGCTGTTTGTATCCCGACGACGCTCACATGACTGTTGCAGTGCGGTGGTTTCCTGTCTGACCGATGGCTTGGCCAGCCTGCGCCCGATTTGTACTCCGGGGACCTAACTCCGTCGCAACGCAAGGTTAGCATATACTGCTTGACGTAATCCCCGAGCACGATGACCGATGGAAACTTCTTGCCACCAGTATCTGGACATGATACTGAAAGCATGGGGATCCTGGGCTCTTTTCCAGACCCTCCTTCGTTGCTTGCGCGACATCGCAGACGAGCATGGGTTTGACGTCAGCATCGCTAACATTGCCACGCGCTGGGTTCTCGATCAACCCGGTGTCGGCGCCGTGCTCGTCGGTACGTGCCGTTGCGTCGTATGCTTTCATTCATTCATTCCACGTCTCATATTCTTTGGCTGTAGGGGCTCGACTGGGCATTACGTCCCATCTGGAGGACAACCTTCGAGTGTTCTCACCGGCATGTAAGCTCACCGAACAAGACAATCACAAGATCGAGGTCGTTCTCGCGCAGTCTCAAGGACGAAGAATGATTACGACGATTGGGGACTGTGGCGCAGAATATCGGTGATACATTCCATGTTTTGAAGGATGATCAGGGCGATGCGATAGGGAATGATCAGCAGCTCCGGTTCTGGACTTCGGGCTGTATTTGGATCGCCGGCTGGATGTTATTACATTTGCGGGAGTCCGACGGACGGGAATAAGTCGCATAAAGCTTGCAACACATGAGAAAAGTTATGTACGGTTGCGATGACTAGCCCCATTATGCGCTAGGCGCAGAAGCGGATATCGATCATGTGTCGCCTTTCACCATTGACTGTACTTGTCATTAGCACCTCGCTGGATGTTGATGAGCGCTGAATTACCGTACAACCCCATCAACTCACCGGGTCATGGACTCGTCCGCTACCCAGTGCGTGTGGTTGCCGGATCCTTCCTCCTCCTTCATCTCATTCTCGCCCTCCGAGTCAGCACACAAATCTGCGCACAGCAACACAAAGCCCTCCTCGAGGGAGCGCAGCGCGCTGATGTCATGCTCACTGTTGTCTCCGGACCACCATCCGAACGAGCAGCCGACCGACCAAATGACCTCATGCACGGCAAGGAGGATCACCGTGCATGCCACGGTCATCTCAAATACTGTGACGAGGTAAGAGTGTGAGTCAGAAATCTGGATGATGTGCCGCGCATGCGTCTCGAGCAAATACACGCCGGCTGGAGGCAGCACACTTGAGGCCAAGGTGCCGGACCCTGAGGCTGCGGTGGTCGTAAAGTAGGTGTTTAGGATATGAAGAAGGATGTGAATCCCGCCGATGACTGAGAGAAATGAGAGGACTGTGGAGATCAGGAAGTCGTGTATGAGGCGAGAGAACGGACTTGGGGACATCGACGGAACGTCTGTGAAAGCACGATGAAAGGCCGGGTAGTGTGGTAAGACTTTTTGACTAGGAAGGGCGTTGAACGCGTAGCAGGCGGTTGCTTAGGTCAAATTTGATAATTTCCGTCTTAACCTCGTCTTATGTGGACCACTAGAAAAGGAGGGAGAATGGAGATTGAAATAGGAGCTACTGATCCGTGATGACCATCAGGGGCTGTGTCCAACAACCCTCATCCACTCGATGTCCTGTCGTCAGGGGCTGCCCGCTGTTTCCGTTTCCGACTCACCAGAGTTGCCTGACCTTCCATTCTCCAGCGGTGCGACAATAATTTCGTTTGAACTGGAACGAACTCAATGTGCTCGGTCAAAATTTCAACCCAGAAAGGTGTTCAGTCCACTTTGTTGCACCTGCACGGAAAGAATGACTGCACGAAGCAGGAGGATCGACCAAAATCTTGTTTTAAAGCCCTTTTCTCTCAACTTTTACGCAGCCAAGAGTCATTTATGAGTCAGTAATGGACATTTTCACGCCATGCGTGCCAAAGGAAGAGTACAGGAGAGGTAAGCTATCTATCTGTCGTCTTTGCCATACTCACGTTGCAAACACTCAGTACAATTCATCACGCTCGACCGCCTCGACCCCTTGATTAGACGAGAGCCTGATTTAAATCTCCTTGGCTGATCGGTCAACCAGTTCGCCCAGTTCCGTATGCGATTTCGGGCGGCTCAGTCGACAGAATCGGCCTCTCAGCCAGTAGATGTAGACCGAAACAGGCGCATTCAGTACTTGATGGTCGCTGGGCTTAACAGGCGGCCTGCTGTATTCCAAAACACATCATTTAAGCTCGATGGGTGAGATGCTTCGTCAGTCAATCTCCCAGATAGATATACAATTAAGTAAGCCCACAACGTTGTTTGTGCAATGCTTCTTCCATTTCCCTTCTCGCTTAGTCGTTCTCGGGAATTCTATGGCTCCCCTCCGTATTGAGGGAGGGAAATTATCTATTCTTTCCCCTGTGGTCTCAGTCTTGACGAGTTTGAGCTGGCTTTCATGCAGAAGGACCTCCAGACTCCGGTTAAATGCTTCCCCGGCACCGGCCTTCCTATCTTTGCCCGGTGTTCAAACTCTTGAAATTCAGACAGGCGACGTGGCATGTCGGAGATATCGGTGAGGGCTCTGCTCACTTCAGTACGGGCGGCATCGGCTTCTCAGGCGATGCAATTCTCGGTCTTTCAGGCAGTCGTGAGCTTTGATTTGAGAGTCGTATCGTATATGAATAGATCTACACTCCCATTGTTGTACGCCACAAATCTTCGCTGAAGCCGTCAGACTCTTGTTCTTGGAACAGAAGATCTTTATGTCTTCGGGAAGCTGCGGCCTGACAAGAGTTCTGATTGTGGTAGAACCCCGGTTAATGTTCATTCTCAGTATGGAACCGAAGGGACAAGTGCTTAGCGTCCATTGCTGACTAAGAAAATGTTGACTATGAATGAATCGTCTCGAGCCGATTATTCTCAACTGCTGCAATTCTTTCAAGCCCTCAGTAAGGCCCAGTTGGAGTCCACGTCGTGATTCGTTCGCGGATGCCCAGTGCACCAGCATCAATCCCATGCCAACTCCAGTAACTCCGGTCACAATATGCAGAATGAGGAATGAATGGACTGGAGTGTAGTTCTTCACTATCATTGCATATCTCCTCATGGAATCCTTTATATACGACGCCTTTGCGCAATTGATCGAGTGTCAGTTTCGGAAGCCTGAGTGCCGGAGGACGGCTTGGCCACGTGACAATCAAGTGATCTGAGAGCTCACAGCCACGATATTTTATGCAATTCTCAAAACCCCAGTTGGCGGAGTCCAGGGTCTCCCTCATTCTCGCCGACCAAGATTTCTGCGCTCTAGAACGTATCCAGCGAAACTACAGTAATTCCTCCTCATGGGAAGAGAGCGCCGCGGGCAAAAGCGGCATCTTCCTATGCCGCAGATCCTGCCAGAGACCGCCTGGCGTATGTGATCGAGGCTGGAACAGCCTTCGTGGGATCTGGAATCACCTCGTGTAGGTCGAAGGTGCCGATTTTGCCATGCTCTTTATGATACCCGCTCCCGTCGTACCTTCCGACCCCGTCTTTCTCCGCATGGGGCAGGCCCCTCTGCTTCCCTCCTCTCACCTCGTATGACCGAATACGACACATCGCCTGAGGCCTACCGCGCGTATGAGCGCACGATGCAGCGTGTATCGGACTGGGCCACGGACTCATCCGGATGTGCGAAGGAGTATAAGAATCCTTATCTGGTGCGATCGGATGCAGGGGACATTATGTTCGAGTCGGAGCAACAGGCAGGCGAGCCCGGTACTCTCGCCACGCCAATAGCGGCAGCTCCATCACAACATGCTTCTGCTCTTTCGCATCACTCTCGCAGGACGACTGCTCCGGTCGCCCTTTCTTCGCATACGACCGCCAATGTGGGAGCTACTGCGGGTCCACCTTCTGCGCATTCCCACCACCCAAGTGCCGTTGCCACTCACTCCCTCGCACCTGGGAGTGTCTACGCTCCTCCCGTCCCCAACTCGGTGCACTCAGCACACGCCTCGGTTCCCACAAGCCGCCACGTGTCTTCTGCAGTCGGGGTGACCGTCATCCCCCCATCGTCGCCCACATACCACACTTCTTCCGCCGTCACTCCTGCGTATCCCCAATTGCCCTTGGTTCCCGCGCCGAGCCACCCTTCGCGTCATTCTGATCGGCTGGTTAGCCCGAGTGACTCAGTCTCCCAGGTATCGACTCGGAGGAGTCGATCGCACTCGCCTGGAAGAGCGAAGTCGCGTCATAGCCATTCGAATTCGCATCATAGTCATCGATCCAGAGACCATTCATCGTCACACCGGCATAGCTCTCATTCGCAGACCCATGCGGGAGCGTACCACAGCGTGCCGCACTCGCATTCTGGCTCCGCGACCCTGCTTCCAACGCATCATCAGGGCACGGATCTAGCTCGCTCGCTGCAGATCCTACCGACACCTGCGCCTGGTCGTCCGGTAGCGCACTATGCGAGCGCCGGTGCAGCACCAACGGCGTCTAACGCTCAGCAGCCCTGCGTGTACATCACAATCAATGTGAGCTCTTCGACTTGTCATTGGGTCCATCCTGATTGATTCCTTTCCTTGGCAGTATCCGCAGCCCCCACCATCTCATACCCAGGTTCAGCAGGCCAATCCTGACTTGCATGGCGAGCATCGGGGACTATTCAAGAGGATGTTCGGGGCTCGGAAGAGTCACAGCCTTGAGCGATCGCATCGTATGTGAGTGGACATGGAAGTAGTGCCTAATGTGCGTAAACCAGCTCGAAGATGGTAAGTACCATGTATTAGATAGATTTCTCTCCCTGATATATACAACAATTGAAGAGCATAGCCGGCGGAGACATGGCTTGGCTGACCCGGAGATAACAAGTCAGATAACCAAACTGCGTCAAGTGAACAGGTCGCTAATCAAAGAAATCTTCGGCTGAGCAACCGACAGGCGTGAGTGAAGAGGAGGAAGGGGTCATTTGTGAAAACAGACGCCGCCTGGATCCGCTACTTGCGGCTCATGAGGAATAGCTCGGGGGCTTTGGTGATCTTCAGTGCTTGTCTTGAACAGAATCTTTCTAGGTATGCGTTTCACTTAAGAGACGGATATCTATTCGACTTCAAGATCTGGGCAGCCCTGGATTGAGAATCGGCGTCGAACTGCACTGTGAATAAGTCAGGAGGGGCACATGTGCTTTCTGTAGAAGTCATGACAGAAGCCACACGTCCCTGTCCCTCCGATCAGAGCGTAAGCGGAAGCGGCCACTTTCTATACTACCACATGTCAAGCTCTCTCGCCTTCAACCCGCGACCTCTTCGGTCTGAGGGAGGACTGGCGACTCGATGTGTCCACGTACATCAACTCGAAGATGACATCCGCCTCTCTGGTCGCTGCTGAGATCCTTGATGCCGCGGTTCTGAGTCTCAAGGGGAACATCTTGCTCGGTTATTGAGTGAAAGGAGATACTGAATTGAGTAATCCATATTACACTTTGTGTAACGTACTGGTGTTCCCCAGCTGGCACAGATATCAAGATAGAGACCGAGGCCGTGCTCAAGGCGCTTGCGAATCCTCTCGTTCTTCCTGTCGCCCTTGAGCCACACGCTCTTCCTCCGCCGGAAATCGCAAATTTCAATCTACGCCACTACGAAACACGTGAGGTAGGTCGCATCCACTTCCCATCTTAGGCTAGCCACGTGAAGGGACCATAATACAGCCGGTGGTGCGACCAGGCATATGAAAAGTCTTCATTATTGTGTAATCGATCCGCCACTGCCCAAGCACTCTTAACTCTCAGTTGAAGTCGGGTATTAATCGCAGGAGGACGAACGTAAGGTTTCCTGAACAGGTTCTCTGTTTTTATAATCTATAGTTACCAAGCCTGGTGGACGCAGGTCACAAATAGACTCGATGGTATCTATGCGCACGCATCAGGAAAATTCTCATGATGGAGCCAGCAGGAAGTGTCTGCTGAACAAGTGCCACCTGCTTGTGCTAATGTGACGCGCTTGGATTGACTTTCTCATAAATCTACATTGCGATGATGAATTCACCTGGAAACTGAGTATGTACTGTTACACAAGTATGATGGGTGGGACTAGTGAAATCCCTGTTTTTTTAAACGCAGATAAATGTGTAGGGAAACGATATGGCACCCTTTTCCCCCACCTTGCGTCTTTCTTAAATTGCTTTTCACTTTTGATCCTGCAAGTATCTCCGTTTGAGTCGTCGTGCCGTTTGCGTCGACCCTAGTTCCTGATAACGCAGAGAAACGTTCTTGAACGTTTGCTGGAGGATAGAGAGACCTTTTTTTTTAGTGCTTGATGGTGATTATGAGAGTTCGGAGAGTCCCTGTTGAAGTTGTCCAGTGATTCGTTATTGAACAGAGGCGACACTGCCGCCTGTCTAGGTCTCAGCATGAGCACGTGATCAATAGTGTCAATTATTCGTGACGAACGGCGTGCACTGAATGTCATTCAGCATTCGTAGAAGTGCTGGCTTCGATTCTTTCGGGATGATATGTCCAGTGCTGCTTGAATCTTCAGTTAGTTGGCCAATATATGAGTATATTTATTCCCCTGTAAAAAGACGAGGCACATAGTTTTCCGTCTTCGATACCGTGCCGTCTGCAAAACCGAGCCAGCCCTGTCTGGGTTGTCTATTCTTGACAGTTTTTGTATTCATCTGCCATGCACATGCATCGATTCTCTGTGTAGAAGTACATATAGGCCTGCGCTATCTTCAAGATGCATCATAATCGATCAGATTATCAAGGACTCGGTATCCGTTTCTATATCAACGGGCACAGGAATCTTGGGCAAGGGTCGAACCAACAACGGACGGTGTTTCGTTATGGCCCTGGCAGTCGGCGACAGAGCACCAGGATCGCTTGACAGGATGCCTGGATCAGGAGCATGTGATCTGTGCGTGCACTCATCGAAGATTGGATGAAGGACCAATGTGTGCAATCGTGTACGTGGAACACTGGGGAATGGTCGGAGAGGAACTGATATCTTTGTGGCATCTGTGTCTGTCCATGGACCGGCAGATAAATGCAATCTTGCCGCCGAGCAAGCCATTTCCGTCGTTTCCTGTTTATCTTCGCTCAAGGGAACCGGCCCAGCCGCGACGGAGTGGGAATATGGCACTTCGAGATCGCCAAAGGGTAATGTTTGAGCGTGTTCCATCGGTCCTTGATGTTGCTGCCACGTCTCGGGGACCGAGTCCAGTGACGCTCGTTCTGGATCGACTGGCAGCTCCTTCTCGAGGTCGACGGCGGCGATGTTGCGCTCGCGGGATAGGCGCCGCCTGCGCCATTGGAGTATACATCCGGTTCCTAGAACCACTAAGAGAGCAACAGAAGAAATCGAGATACCGGCGATAATCGACAATCGACGCGCAGAGTCTTCGACGGATTCTGGCAAAACTGGAAGTTGTGACTCGAGAGACCGGGAAACGGCCATTGAGGACAGAAGAGTGGTTGTCGTGATTTTGGGGGAATGGTTCAAATCGGAAGTCAGAGGATACACCTCGAAGGAGCGGCTCTGATGTATGAAGGAGGAATACCTAAGCAGGGCGATTAAGTCCAGTCATTAGCGACACTGGAACCACTGTGACGCACCGGATTCCATTCATCTTCGAACCCTAGCGTATGAACACAGGCAGAGAGCACACGCAACGAAGAAATGAATACGGGGAGGAAGGAAGGGGTATCGCGCCCGTATCGACAAAGACTCGCTTCCACGTCGACGTTATGTAGGAAGCCTGACGTGAATTCATATCGCAACTGCGTTAATCAATCTGATTCTGTTGTGATTAGTCTTCCAGTGCCTCACAAACGCCTTATTCTCTCCGCTGCAGTCCCTCGGTTACAATCCTTCCTAAGCAGGCGATAGCAGAACGAATCCAGACATGCTGTGCGTACACGACTCGTGTCGGGACCAATCTGCTTGGGTATAGGGACATTCTCTCCAGCAATAAATTCCATCAAGAAAGGCGGAAGACCATCTATCAGCGACTGAGAATCGAAGTCTTACACACGCAGTGGGATTCACAGTCTGGAAGCCTGGGAACCCTGCAAAACTTGAATGATCGTAGTCAGCTTCAGCGCAAGAATCAGACAGACGGTGTGAGTCGGACCTTCATTCAGGAACCTGTGCCACAGATGTCATTCCGTCGATAGTGCGGCACGGAGGGGGGTGATGGACTGAACTGTGACCAATCTCGTCATGGGATCATGATCGGATCAGGGCTTCATCACTCCTCGGTGACTACCGAGTCGATTTGGAATGAGATTGGCCGATGCGGCTGACAGAGGTCTAGACGCTCTGATTGGCGTTCGCCTGGGTGTGCATAAAAATTCTATTTCCACGCAGTCTCTCCTGCCTATAACTGCCGATTTTTTGAATCCCATCCATCTTTAAATCTCCATCACTAAGATATCATTAATCCCAGACAGCCTGGTCAATGTAAAAATTGTAGTGCAGTCGCGTTGTACACAACTCGATATGTTCCCGAGGTTGAAATTCCGAGCTCTCACCCTCAGCGCTGATTCGATGAGTGTTATGCGCCCATTCGTATTGCTCTCGCTTCTCGTCTGATGTGATATGACAGTTTGATCATGACCCGGATATGTTGTTGCATGACTCTGCCCCGCCCTCCTCCTTCTGCTTTCATATTTCATTCCAGATATTGAAAAATAGGACTTTATGAGTCTCACTCTCAAGATCCCACTGATCGAATCGGCTTCTCTCTCGGTCCTGCTTGCTCCCTCACGTGGATCACTTCAGGAGTAGCAAGTCAACGAGGCTTTCGTCCAGTGCTGCGCCAGAGGGAAAACTGGTTCAAGGGAGCAGCAGACTCAGGATGTGATTCCTCTAGAGAAGCAGGTACTCATGATCTCGCACTGTCAGGAGGCATCCGCGATTTCGGTGTGTTTACGGCTCTCAGCTGATACTAGTTGCGTATATTGCAACAATACCTGGTCGAGCGGCTCCGGACAACATCTTGAGAACGACCACAGCTCAACGTGGGATTCGAGGCTCGCACTCGGATCCCCGAAAACCCTGCGGGATCTTTGACTCCGGTTGACTAGTAGTTCAGTTCTATGGGACCATCAACTCGTGGCAGGCTTGAAGCTTCTTTCGATCGGATAAAGAGTCGCGACGTCGCATCTAGAAAACGTATATCTTCCGTTTTATCATCTCCGACGATGTTCTACGAATATTTGTCCAGCAACTTGCATTCGATGGAACAGGTGTATACGCATGCTGTAGGTGACAGTGCTCATAATTCCACGGAATTTACATGAAGTCTTCATTCATGAAGCCGACTTTAGAGCTCCCGACTTAGCGGTTCTGATTTGCCTGCGGCATCTGATATTCTCAAACCGATTCAGACGACATGGTCAACCAAGAATGTTCTTCGGCTTCCACAACCCTCTTCGCTCGAGAGTCTCTTGTTCGCTCTGTCAGCCACATGTCTTACGGATTTGAGAAACTTTCTAGCTTATCTGAGTTGTAGCAGCGTCGGTCTCGGCACATGGAACGAGGGAGATAGCGAACGGGTCCGGACCAGGACCCTGGCTCAATGGGCTTCGTCGGCGGACAAGCCGTATGACCGCACTACAGGGAGAGAATAGTTGTTGGGATCTTCATTATTACATGAGTAGTGGCTAGGAGAGACTGCTTCGTACGAGACTAAAGCTTCAAACTACGCAAAAATTGGGGCTAGCAGCATGGGGTGACATACCAAATATTTACCAATGTATCTGCCAAAGCCTTTTTTCTGCAGTATCGAATCCTCATTTCTCAATGCTCTACCATGATGTACGCGGCGGCTGCACACACGGACAGATAGAAAGGATCATAGACGTCACAAGACTCCAACTGGTCCCATCCGTTATGATCAGTTCGTTTGGAAACATTTTTGAGCTTGTACCCGAATGAAATAGCGAGTTTCCTGAAGATATAGAACGCGCTGATGCGCCCCACTTGTGTTTAAAGATGGAGAACTAAGTTTCAGTGACCATGACATATTAGGTACTGTTTCAACTTCGTGTCCGTTCGAGGTGAATGGCATTGCAGATGCTCTCGGGTCGGGTTGCGGGTCGCAACCCGACCTGGGGCAACACTATGCAGATCTGATAAGAGTCGAGAGTTGTTAACATGCTTGATCTAATCAGGGACGGATTTCTGCAAGGAATTGAATGTGGATTCGGAGAGTGTCAGCTTCTGCTCGATAACAATTCAAAATCTGGCACCACAACTTATCGCGTGCATGACAGGTGCATCTGAAACCACATACACCCCTGATGTCCTGATGCGACGAGGTCATAAAGTTCAGAGTTCAAGGGGAGTCTCCGAATGAAGATCAGTTTTCCACTATCTTCGAGCATCGCTTGTGGTGAAAAATAAATGTCCACAGGGAGTCGACGATGCAGAAAAACCAATCGCCAATAAATGAGGTGTTTGATGGTGCAGAGAGGCTACTCGGATTGAGAAGCAGACTCGTTCTCGTGTCCTCGCCGTTATCTCTGTTTGTCATGGGATGGGAGATGCCGAATCCGTGAGTTACCCCGTGTTTATTTATGTCGTTATCCGCGACACGATCCGGTTTGAACCAGGGTACTCAGAGAAGTAAAGGCTTTGTCAGCCGTTTGCGTCTTGTCCCAAAGCTCATCTCCGTGCCATCGTCATCCATCGTCTTCTGATCCGGCCCCTCATACGGCTAATTGGGGAGTAATATAGGTGGGGCAATACGCACGAAATGTGGCGAAATGATGCAGTATCTGATTGAATGTCATCTCCGATTGTCGACCAGGAACCGATAAGTCGGAAGCGCACTATGCAATTGAGTTCCGAAGTCCGTCCAGTACATAAGCAGCAAGTTTCCATCGGGTTATCGCCAGAGGCACATTCTTCCCTGTGCTCTCCCTTCTCTGCTCTTCGCAGTCAGCCATGCCGCAAGACCAGCAGATCGACGCTGCCGTCGCACAAGTCACTATGCCCGATGTCGCGATCCTCACCTCCACCGAATATTCCGACAACCGCCACGAGAAACGCGACTCTAGCTACGACGAGAAGGGCTCGGAGTTAGATGTCGAGAAGGGGGCAGAGCCGGCCGCCCATGGAGACGATGTGGTGGATGTCAAAGGTCAGCAGCCAGCGTTGGTTTCCGACGCGCGCCGCTCATACCAGCTCAGGCGATGACGATGATCCCGCGTATGCCTCACTCCCTCGCATCGTTCGCGAGCTCTGCGACTACGAGGATAATCCATCTACTCCCGTTCTCACTTGGCGGTGCGCGCCACTTCTGCCCGCATCCAGCCCGAGGTTCCGATAGTTGACAGGTTCTATGTCCTTTCCGCGGTGTTCACGGCACTGGGTGCATGGCTCACGCAGATGGGTTTCTTTCGGGTGCGTGCTTGGTACTGGCGACGATGTTCGCCGGCGCTCAATCGGCTTTCAGACGACCTATGTCCCTTACTCCAGTATGGAATCCGTCTCTCCATCCATTTCACGCAGCTCATCTCCACTGCTCAGTCTACTTTGTTCAGATAGCCAGTCTCTACTTCGGAAAGTTATTCGCATCGGCTTTCCCTGCAAAGCAGGTCGGCTTCGGTAAATGGACCTTCAACTTGGTGGATATTGCCCTACTTCGCTGTCATGGATGCTTATCTCGGTATCTGTCAGAACCCTGGTCCCTTCTCCATTAAGGAGCATGTCGCCGTTGTCCTTGCGTATGTTGCGGCTCGTCATTCGCTCGCCTTGGGTGCTGATTGTTGCGACTCGTAGCGCGAACACTGGCGCAACAAACAACCTCGGGGACTATGTCCTATCCCCATTAGCTGTGTATTACAACCGGCCGATGAATGGATGGCTCGCTATCCTATTCATGTGGAGTTGTGTCTTCATTGGCTTCTCGCTCGCGACGCTGTGCCGAAGTTTTCTCATCGATAATCCTAACACGGTCCGTTAACCGTCTCTGGTCCCGGCTCGCAATCGCTGACGATTCTCTTCAGATGTTTCCTCTCACGCTCCAGCAAGTCTCTGTGTTCAACGCCATGCGCTCCAGTTTCGAGATGAACAGCGCCACCGCAAAGAAGCAGATGCGCGTGTTCTGGTACGGAATTCTGATCTTTTTCCTTTGGGAGGTCAGTGCACACTAATTTCTAGCCAATTCGTTCGGTGTCTGACCATGTCGGTAGTTCTTGCCCGAGTATATCTTCCCGTTCACTTCGTCGCTCGCGTTCCTGTGCTGGATAACGGACGATCCCATCGCGAACTTCCTCGGATCGGGTCTCGGCGGCGCGGGTCTTCTCAACTTCACGCTCGACTGGTCCAACATCGGATCCTCACTCATCTACTACCCATTCTGGGCCCAGGCCAATACTTTTGCGGCCTTCGTCATTGGCGCATGGATCCTCGTGCCGATCGGCGCGATCAATGGCAAGTGGGATGATGCGCTGTATCCCATGCAGAGCCAGTTATTGTATCTTACGAACGGCTCTCGCTACCCTACTTCCAAGCTTATGAACCCTGACTACACGCTGAACGAAGCGTTGTTCGCGGAGATTGGTGCGCCCAAGATGAGCGCTCAACTGCGTTGGGGATATTTCTTCTCGTGCGTTATCGATCTCCCTGTACACCTCTCGACGCTGACTGGCTTCGCAGCTACGTTGCATATCTCGGCTCTTTCATGTCGTTGGTCCTCTTCCAGGGTCCGCTGCTGATGAAAACATACCGCTCGTTACGTGCGGGCAAACGGCAATCCGATGACAAGCTGTGCCAGCTCATGGAGGTCTACCCCACTGTTCCCATCTGGTGGAATCTAGTCCTGTTTTTCGTTCCTGCCGCCATCATCATCGCACTCGCTGCCACTGGCGAGCTGTATCTCCCGTTGTATACTGTGTTCGTTGCGTTCGGCTTCGGTATCGTGATCGTGATTCCTATGGCGTATATCTATGCGGTCTCCGGGTACCAAGTTCCCGTCGGGTCAATGCTTCCATCTTGAGCCATATCGATCCGCGCGCTGACGTTCTTCTTCAGATATTTCAACGAACTGCTTTATGGTTATCTCATCAACGCGGGTGGCTCTCGTCACCCAGTTGGGTCTCTTTCGTACCGCACGATTTCCGGGCAATGTTGGTACGAAGCCTGCAGCATGCTCTCGGATATGAAGCTGGGACATTACGTGTGTATCACCTGTTGTTTTGTGCTACTTTCGTTGCTCAGAGCATTCAAATTTCAGTTCCACATTCCGCCTCGTGCTACACTGATTGCTCAGATATGGGGTATCCTCGTTGGTGTCCCTATCAAGTACGGCCTCTTTTCTACTCGTCTTATCCCTAGCCTGAACCCGAATTTTTGTCTAGCTACGCCACCATTCTTTGGATTGTCAACACAAAGGGCCATTTCCTCGATGGCTCTGCGATTGATCCAAACAACCAGTGGACCGGTTCGACAGTCATCTCCCTCAACAACCAGGGCATTTCATTCGCTCTTGTCGGGCCGAAGGTGTGTTTCCAGTCAATCACATTGCCCCCGACCCCAGCCTAATTTTGTTCATCTAGAAATTATTTAACGACCCGATGTACTCCATCCTTCCGTATGGCTTCCTTGTTGGGGCAACCGTGCCGGTCATTCTCTGGCTGCTCCACCGACGGTTCCCCAAGGCCCGCTTTGACCTGTGGAATGTTCCCGTGAGTAGCCAACTCCGCGCTCGGAGGCACGCATGTTGAGCGCTGCCCAGATCTTTGCATCAACAATGGAGAACTTCTACGGCTACCTCTCCAACTACGTACTCACGTGGTTTGTTCTTGGCGCGATCAACCACCTGTACCTGAAGAAGTACAAGTATCAGATGTGGAAGACGTATGCATACATCGCGGGTGCTGCAGCCGACACAGGATACAACTTGAACATGCTGATCCTGTTCATTGCCTTCTCTGCGGTCAAGGTCACGCCGGCGCCCAAGTGGTGGGGAAATAATGCGGTTTCGGTCGAGAGGTGTTTCCCGAAGGGCGGCGGATACTTCTAAATTACCATCGAAATTCTTATAAATCATGAAACATAATGCTCGACCCCTATTTACACACGAGTAACACGCAATGAACAAGCTCACACATGCGATTGTCCTGTATGCAGTCTCCTGAACGGAGTATCTATCGGCACATAACAAGTAGTAACTTACTGTACCCCTACTGATGCAGTCCCATTGGAAACATGAACAGGTTTGTTAAACATTCCATACTACGCAGTCAAAATTCTGTACACTAACAGCGCATCATTTCGAGCACACAGGCCGTAATACCTGTCCGAAAATTCGGAGAAAGCGGAAAATCATTGTAAATAAGTCTCAATAACGGAATGGTATACTGGCGATCCACTTCAGGTTTTTCACGCGTGTCCCAGATCGACTTTCACCAGGCCATCAGGCTATTTGATTGTACGGGGACGCAGTAATTAGTTTCTACAACATCCGTGGTACTTTCAGCTGAATTGATAGATAGGCATATACGAGGAAATGCGCAATCTTGACTGTTATATTACCTTGGATCGATTGGCTATGACGGGACAAGCTCTGCAACATCCATCAATTGTGACTAGGGTCACGATCCCCTCGCATCTGCGCATCTATCACTGTCAACGCCCACTCTCGACCAACGACTTCCGAACGAACGAACGCGCTTGTGGAGAAAGGACAGAGCGGCTCGAGGCCAGAGGAGGTGGAGGAAGGTCTGGGACGTGTCGCGATGCGCATAGAACTTCGGGGACTTTGGGTGAGTCTCTTACGACGCTGAACCTTCAGCTGGCCAACCACCCACGTCTCTTGGTCTACTGCACGCGGAAGCCTACCAAAATCGCTTTGCCGCAACCGCGTACAATGGGACATCTGGTCCATTGCTCGCTTTTGACGCCAACTGGGATGCGCAGGAGAGGAGCGACGCGACCGAAGCTAATAGCGTACTTAGCCACACAGAATAGCCAGCCACTCAATGCACGGATTTCTGGCCAAAAATCTACTGTGCTCTGGCGCACCTCATTCCCGAGGGCTTAATCGTGTCACTCGGGGTATCGCAAGCGTTCCTTCGTCCCGTCCACTGTCCGTCCTCCAAGGCCGCTCCTACGACCTCCTGGCTTCATCGAGCGGATCCAATCTGAAATTCGTCCCATATATGTTTGTGCTATCTCTGTTACTCTTGCACGTACTGATCTCTCATTATATGTATCGTTTGTGCCCTTCCTCCGGCTTGGACTGGTCATGTAGAAACTGTTGCACTATCCAATGACTGTGTAGTCTGTGCTCCCGGCCCTGCCAGATTCGCTCGTCATCGACAATGATAGAAGACTCCCGGTGTCGGGAGTAGGATCAGCAGGGTACCCGGAAGACACCACTTCAGCTGCGTCACCGCTACTTCCACTTGTATCTGCCTCGCCCCTATTCCGCACCCCGACTAGCAGTTATAGGCGGTGACGAACGAATACGCAAGAACAACGGATTTCGAAGATTCGAAGGCGGTGGGCATGGATGGAAGAGGGGGAGGAGCACTTCCAGATCGCGGATGGGGCAGTAGTCTGCAGGTGAGCTAGTTTCACTACCTACCTCTTACCGTCCACCGCCTCTACATCTCGTTCCACATTCCTATCGAAACGCCTCGAAAGGGTGCTCCACATGCACCCTAAATCGGAGGCACGGCGTTGCCTCACCTTGCGCATCGTGGTTTCCGCAGCATCGCCCAGGGTGCGCAGCTGAACGATTACCTCTCCACTGCACTCATCAAGCAGCCCCGACAAGTGACTCGGAACGACCGACTCGCGGAGACCGACGATAGAACCCGGGGAGATCGCACTCAGAGGCGCGATGGTTGGGGAACTAGATGAGTGAGAAGGCGGAGCGCCGGGATACAGTCTGGATGGGGTTAAAGCCCATAGGTGCGTTTTTCTCACCATCTGACTCGCATTTTTCGCCACCTCGAAGTCCCGCGTTGCCCCCCCCCCACTCAAAAGTGCGCTCTGCTTACATCACAAATCGAACGCGCTGTGTACGCAGGTCGACGGCCACCTGCGCCAAACCGCCTTCTGTATCATTCCGACATCGGCCCCATCCGCGCACCTTTACTGGCTGAAACAGGGAAACGCGCGCCGCGGTCTTTCAATGGCTACCGGGATGTTGACGCGCGGTGACACCTCGTTTCTATCGGCCGCTCTATTCTATGCTTCGCTTGTCGCCGGTCTGTCAGTCGAGGCCGTGTCTTGGACACTCAATTGTGCGTTCGTCCTCGCAGTATCGGACATACTGACTGACGACTGTAATGTTAGGTGGATTTCGAGCATCGCAGATACGCTGAGCCGCCCAAGCGATGGGCTGCTCCGGTGTCCCCACCGACTGGATTAGTACGGCCGGCTCCTCAATGTATCCTGGTATGGTAACAATGACGGTGTCAGAGGGAGCCTCCAAAGACTGCTAGTTCGGGAACGCAAGTCCTGCGCATATCTATGCACCGACGATAACGACAGCCGACAATCTGCCCTCGGTCCTTGTCTACTTCCCTGGCGGTGGTTTCGAGAACAGGAGCATGCACGACTATCCACCCAATGACACCTGGCAGTCGCGGAGTCGCTCTTTACCGAGCTGGCTCGGAAAGCGTCAGTCGTCACTGAAGCTATGAGCACGAGCTCACACTCCGCCCAGAGGCTGTTTCGAATAGGACTGCTTACGCTCCGTCTCCGCAGACACCATAGCTGCCGCAGGCTAGAAGGCCCTGGCCGCACACTGGTCCACGCTCTCCCCCATTTGCACTGTGCGCGTCAACACCAGCGCAATCGACTTCCAGCTCGTCAAGGACTCTCAGACGCTCCACTCGTCACACCCGCCTCATCGAGCTTCAATTTCGTGCCGACTGGTCAGTGCGCTTTCCGTGTGCAGCGTGTGCCTTGTGCTCAATGTTGCTTGCAGGATGACGCCGCGAGGGAGCAACTCCCAGTATCATCTCGGTCAGTCTGCAGTTGTTTCAGGCTCGACCCTTGCTGCGGCAAATCTGGGGTCGACTCTGGCTTCTGAATCTCTGCTCAACGTCGCGCGGCGCTGGGCTTCGGACAGCAACGGCATCGAACTACTGTTTGACGTGCGCAACTCGCAAACGGTCGCGGTCGAGATAGAGGCGTTGGGAGCTCCCCTCGAGTTCAACGACGTGAGCTGATCTATCAAGCATCACTGAGTGCTGCTAACGATTGTGCAGATCTTCACTGGTCGGACTGCAGCGCAGAAGAACAAGCTGTGCAGTCTGTTCGATCCCTATATCGGTCGAGACACCGGATACGTGCAAGTAGTCCCGCTCCTCGGGACCCTTCCGCCGCTTCTCGGCGTCCCTGCGGCAAGCAGCCCTCTCGAAGGTTGGCACTTCCTGCCCGAGGACGGCAGCAACCCACCGTACTATCAGAGCCAGAAGTTTGAGGGATTGTACGAGTGGCAGTTGCACATGCTGCCAACGCACAGGACGAGTGGGCGGGCGTCAGCCTCTGGAACGTGCCGACCTTGGCTGTGCTGCAGCCAGTAGACGTACGGGCTCATCGATGAACCGGCACCCGACGAGTTCATACACGAGTTCGAACGCCGTGATCAAGGTGAACGTGTCGGCGAACATCCAGATCAGCAGCTGCGCGAGGCCGCCGAGCAGGAACGTTGTGCAGAACATGTTCAGCGTCCCGAAGCTGTCGGCTAGACAGCCGGCCATGATCTGCAGTGCGGTGAGGAACGGATCAGCAAAGCCGGCCAACGCCTGCTTACACGGCCGATTCCGCCTGTGCATTTGGTAGCTGGTCAGCGACAAGCAGACGCCTTCCATACCTCGAACACGTACCGCCTATGTTCATAACGACGAGAGGCACGACCACCAGCAGCGAGTTGGGATTCAGGGACGGCACTTTCACTTTCACATAGCTTGTGATGAGGTAGTACGGGCCCTGACCAAATAATCTCCTGAGCAAAGGGTTAGTGAGAAAGAAAATCCAAGAACGCGCCGCAAGACTAGGCAATGTCCACGTGACCCGATATCAGACAACACGTGCCCCGCACCAGGCTTAGCACTCCTCCAGCGTCTTTCCAATCGAGCACAAAGGCATGACATTATTATATGTATTCCTCCTGCACATCATATGCGCGTACCGCATCATCCATCGCGCATACTTGACGTCCCTGGCCCCCGAACGCGGGCGCGGTGCACAGTCCAAGTCGGCCCGAGAGGGCGCACCCCGGTTCCGCCCTGCGAAACACCCCCTGGCCCCCCCGAACGTGACAAACACGCTCTCTGTCGAGGCACGTGCGCACCGCGGCCGCTTCGTGCGGCACATCCTCTCTGACGCGGACTCCGAATGCGATCTGGGGCCGAGCACCGACGCTGCGACAAAGGAGGAATGGGCTGTGGTGCTGGAACACGTGTTGGAATCACTTGGGAAGGCAGTCGACCGGGGAGGCTGGCTGACGCGTGTGCGGCTCAAGCGGCTGCGGAGGAAGGGCGTGGGACTATCTGATGGGGAGCACCGCGAGCCACCCCGACCTGTGCGCTCAAACACGATGTCAAGCATCGGCAGTGTCATGACGCAGACTCAGACTCTCTTCAACCCTTTGTCTGGGTCGCTGGGCAGCCTCTTGTCGGACTTGGGTGCGAGTGTGGTGTTCCCCGTCGACACCACCGATCAGTCGTTGCACCAGATCCGAGATCTGGCTAATGCGCACGCGTGTGGAACTCTGACTGGCTCAAAATCGTATGTGTCAGACTCTTCCGACCTCATGCCGTCGTCGCACCCGATGCATCTCCTGTTGTGGGTGGCACCCCTGGGCAGTGTGACGTTGCGCTTCCTGGCGAGGACAGCGGTTTCGAGCTCATCCCTGCGAATGTCGCATGCGTCTCCACTGATGCTGTGCTCACTATCTCTGGCGAAGCTGCCGATGGTGTCGATGATGGGGCGTCGGGAATTCTGTATGGGCTGACGGAATGGGACTCAAGGTTTGTGCTGTTTATCCAATGCTCCGTGGACGTACTCTGACTCTTGAAACACCCCAGCCACCCCGGACTTCAACTTGAGACTCGTCGGTGGGACTTTCGCGTTCAAAGGGGTCGTCTCTCCAAAACAATACTACGCGCTGTGCAAGACTCTCAGGTTGTCGATATACCTGCACCTTTTGCTCTTGCTCGAGCAGCAACTCCTGTGCGATTTCAGAGTGAAGATCAGCTTCCCAATCTCAAGGCCAGCAATGTCGCCCTTGACCATACCTGAGGAAGAGGCACTTGTGATTCTCAAACTCCCCGTGCGTTATCGGCAAAGCAGCGGCATTCTATTCGCCATACTGTCGTTGATCTTTGGAAGCCCTCACCAACCCTACGCCCAGAGTCTTTCGGCTGCTCCTCCACCGACAGAGCAACGAGGCGGTCGCCTGCAATACTTTTCGATCATCGGCGATCCCCGACCAGCCTTCCTGCGTTAGGCTTAGGCCTCAATCATGTCGCGACTGACGGACGCCGCGCCGTACCTCTCCTCCTCTGCCGGCTTGTGTATTCCTCCGCCAGGCTTGATATCTGAGCTGGCCACGACGGAACGGGAGTCTCCGGGTCAGCGACTACGGGGGGACGCGAAGGCTGGCCTAGGCAGAATCCTTGGCTGGGATCCCCGCGCGAAGTACCGCGAGGCGCGGCCGAAGGCGCTGTGCGGCGCGCGAGGCTTCGTGAGCATGCAGGAGCTGAGTTTGCTTGTGCTGCGGTGTGCGCCCAGCGAAGAGGAGCAGGATGAGAATGGATTCGGCATGTGCGGCCGCCCGCGCTGGGAGACGTATCGCTACTACGCGTCGGATTCGGATCAGGGCTTGGGCCAGTTTCTCGTGTCGCTAGTTGCGGAAGCTGCAGAGCCGTGTGCCCGGCTGAGGTGTCCGTGGATGCAAGGCAATCATCTGAAACGCATGGTGCGTGGGGGAATTCGTCCGAACGTCAGGGTCGACGAGGAACATACCGCAGACGACCATGGTGACGACGAGGGCATCGATATGTGGCGCGGTTGCTCTGTTTGTGGCAAATGCTTGGCCAAGAACGACGGGGCTTAGTGAGTATCTGTTGACTCTTTCTCGCGTGCCTTGTGCTGACCCAATCCAGCCTAGTGGTATTGGCCCCGAAATAAATGATCTCATTGCAATCGGGGATCCCAAGCTCAATTCTCAACCAAATTTCTTGAAACCTGGCTTGTATGAAAGCCCTAGAGGCCCTTCATCCATTTTTCACTTGGATCCCAGGGTTGGGGGGCGGGGGCTGCGTAGCAGCCCCCAACAATCAGATCACTTTTTTTGCATCATCTCATCAGGCCGTTTTTGATGGACTGGGGATCCCAAAGCCTACTTACACAACATCTTCATTTTTTTTTGCTGGGACTAGGCACATTGTATCCAAGGTCTTGAATCCCAAGTTTTGTATTTTTAGAGCTAGGGGTTGGTGTGGAAGGGAGCCATCTTTGCTCTGCTGCATCAAATTTTGTGATGGGTACTGCATTGGGGATCCCAGGGCAGGGAGTGCCTAGATTTTGTTGGTCAATTCAGACAAAATGTTTGTAAGGGTCCCTAATATGATCATTGCATGAAAAAACTAGGCAGAACCCATTGTGGGGGAATAGGGAGCAAGAAACGGGAGCATGGCGAAAGTTGACAGGCAGCCATCAAAGTGATCAAACCTGCCGGCCTCTCAAGTCGAGGATCCACAGGCTGGAGATAGAGATTTTCACACAAAAATTCGAAAATATGACAGGCCCTGATACCACAAATGCATTGGGCGACTCGTTCTGGGCGGATCCTCTGCTGTCGGGCATGGATCCTCAAGAAGAGGAAATGCAGGCCGGGCCATCAGAAGCGTGACAGTGTGACTACAACGAAACTGCAGGGTACTCATCGTCCTACTCACACATCTGACCAGGCCACCACGGCCGCCAATGAACGAGTGTGGGGTGAATGGGCCGGGGAACTCGGACTAGGGCTTGGGCAGTAGGGATCCAGGGCAAATGGGGGACGGTTACACTCAACGAGGGGGGACTACAGGTGAGTGCTCACCACGCCATCTGACCCAGCCCCAGATCCCGAGCCAACCCTAGCAAACGCACACACCTCACCCCCGCCCCCTCGCTCGACGCAAGCGTTCTTGCCCGCGAGGGCGCTCCTAGCGTACATGTAATCATCATAGCGCCCAAATACAAGTCTTCTACTGCTACCTGCTACTGCGCTCGGCGCTGTCTTGTCTGCCACGGTCTGCTCAGTCAGCCACCTGGGACACTTTCCCACCAGGACGACTCAGCAGCGGGGTCTGCATGCACCTCTCAATCTCAATACACCTCGCCATTGTTGTGTCGCCATCATCCCTCCAAGCCAAGGACCTAGATCGGTTAGACTCATTTTGAGCCCACATAAACTCTCACACACTAGCACTCTAGGGCAAGAACACAATCCCACCACCCGTCTTCACCTGAAAATGTGGAAAGCACTGGCTGTTCTTGCCGTTCTGAGCGTGTCCCGGCTGGCATGGCTCGTCTACCGTCGCGCTGTCGTCAAAGCTCCACTACGGAACCTCCCCGGCCTACCGTCCACGTCGTGGTGGACAGGCCACTTGTCCCATCTAGTAGCTATCCCTGTCCTGATTTGCAAGCCCATTGGAAACGCGGTCGGTGAACAATTTTTAGTAATAAAATATGTCGAAAAATACATACACATGTGCCCAAAGGTCCCCTCCACCCATCCCAGGTTCGGCGACCACTTTTCGTGCATAATTGCGTCCCCCAGAAACCATCCATCAGAGCGTATGTTTTCAGCCCGACCAAAAATCAAAACATCTCTGATGGCGTGGTCGCCGATCTCAAATCTTTCCACAAAGTGGTCGCCAATGTCTAGGATGGTCCTAAACACCCTCCTGAATGTTCCCTGAAAGTTTCGTCTTTTTATGAGACCCACAGCCCGAGATATAGACAAATCTTTGTCTGTCACAGCCACATTCACATCATTGAGATGTTTTCGCCTCGTTCATGTGGTCGCCGGGCCTCAAATCCAAATCCGAATCAGCAGGAAGGTTCATTTTCATCCTAATATTGTTCTACCGAAATACCATACTCATCGTGTCTTTATTCGTTGAGGACGTCGCCATCGTCTGTGGCAAGTCTTTGCGATCGGTCTGTCACGTCACATCACATCTGCTCCTAGCCATCCTCGTCTCGTTCATGTGGTCGCCGGGCCTCAAATCCAAATCCGAATCAGCAGGAAGGTTCATTTTCATCCTAATATTGTTCTACCGAAATACCATACTCATCGTGTCTTTATTCGTTGAGGACGTCGCCATCGTCTGTGGCAAGTCTTTGCGACTGCTCTGTCACGTCACGTCACGTCTGCCCCAGCCATCGGCCACCCTCTCCTCTGCACACCCCAGTCCAGAACCTGCAACCTGCCCGCTCCTTGTCGGCCAAGTACTTCTCATATGTACAAACACGCTTCTCATGTGTACACACACGTTCGTCTTTACACCACGACCTCCGTCGCCTGACTTTTTTTTTTCATTCTATAGAGCCTGCTCGTCTTCGCGCCTCGTTCCTGTCACCCCGAAACCCCAGCAGTCTTCTGTTCCCACCCGCCCTCCTGGTACTTCCCTCTCATTACACCTAGCTCAGTTACGCATGGGCTTCTTCACCGCTCCTCCTCGGTACGTCCGCTGCTGCAGCGCCTCCTCTTGTCCACCCACGCTCCTTCTCACTCACCCTTACCATGCCCACTACTCAACGAAAACCCGCTCGTCGCGAGCCGCCCCTCCCAGGGCAATTTTATTGCAAGACCTGCAGCCGCCATTTTCAAGAAAGCGATGGCAGTAGAGCCCTCCACCGGCGAATCTTCCATCAGGCAGTCATTCAGACCGCCTACTACGGCGAAACGCTCCCCGTCACCTTCAATCGCGGAAAGAACGGCCTCTTCTCCTGCCTCCGATGTCCCTTCCAACACCACGATCCCCGAGCTCTCTGGGTCATTCCCTCCTCTTTTCTCTTTTCACCACGCTCATGATTATCTCAGGACCACGTCGCCCGTCAAGCCGGCTGCCCGCAGACTCCAGCGCCCCATTCCGACTCCGCCTTGCTTGAAGAGGTCCCAGCCGTCGCACCAGTTCTGTTGCGCCCATCGCAAGCAGTCGATGCACAGGAACTGTTGGAAAGGGGGCCAGAGTGCGCAAGCGACTTGGCAGCGGTCCACGCGCAGGAGACGGGGGAAGAGGAGGCACAGTCGGCAGGCCTTTTGCAGGCGATCGACGTAGAGGAGCAGGTCAAAAAGGGCAAGTCAGTCGGAGCAGAAGAGTCCCTAGCGCTGGTTGCTAGCGCCTGCGACTGTATTCCCACATCTCCAACGCCCGTACATAGCAATTCACTCGATTCGCCTCATGAACGCTCGCCTGGGGCGTCGCCGTCTCCACCTAGAATGGGTCTCCACCCGCCCAAAGGTTTTCCTACGTCACCCACACCCATCACCTCGCACGCGATTCCTGCTGGCGAATCACCCCCCGATGCTGCTCCTGTCGTTGAGGACATCCCCTCGGTCGCCGTTGAATCCCTCGACGACTGGCCCCAATTCGATCCCACGCTATGCGAGTTCACACCCGGGACCGATACCGTCACACACGACGAGGAACACGACCTGCAGCGCTACAACATCGTCATCAACACGCAACTCCGACTCATAATCTGCATTTCCTGCTCCAAGGCTGTCGTCCCCGCTCGACTTCGACGTCACCTTCTAGAAAAATGGCCCCGCCTTGACGTTCTTGATGACATCGGCGAAAAGCTGCAGGCCAAGTACGGCCTTGCGGCAAACCACGATTGGCCTTTCCCTCGAACTCGCATTCCGCCGGTCTTTGGCCTGCCCATCCTCCCCCGTCCTTACCTATTCTGTGATTCTTGTTTACACGGGTACTCCAGTTCCTCTTCCCTCGCGTCACACCAGTATCAGCGCACTTGCGCTCGTCCACCGGGCCAGCCGGCCAGTCATTTCATCGCCTATGGGCAAACCGTCGGCTTCGATCCACGCGTAGTCTTCCCCGTGGATGTCTCTATTGTCACGCCACGCCTTCGCCCGACCGCCTTTTCGACCAAACTTTTCACCACCCTCCCCCGGCCTAGTAGCTATCCCTGTGCTGATATGACAGCCCATTGGAAACGCGGTCGGTGAACAATTTTTAGTAATAGAAAATGTCGAAAAATACATACACATGTGCCCAAAGGTCCCCTCCACCCATCCCAGGTTCGGCGACCACTTTTCGTGCACAATTCCGTCCCCCAGAAACCATCCATCAGAGCGTATGTTTTCAGCCCGACCAAAAATCAAATGTTCTCTGATGGCGTGGTCGCCGAACTCAATTCTTTCCACAAAGTGGTCGCCGACGTCTAGGATGGCTCCAAATAGTCCCTGGGACATCCCCTGAAAGTTTCGTATTTTTCTGAGGGCCACAGCCCGAGATATAGACAAATCTTTCCCTGTCACAGCCACATTGACATCAATGAAATGTTTTCGTCTCGATGATGTGGTCGCCGGGCTTCAAATCCAAATCCGAATCAGCAGGAATGTTCATTCACATGCTAATATCGTTGTGCCGAAATACCATACCCATCGTGTCTTTATTCGTTGAGAACGACGCCATCGACTGTTGCAAGTCTTTGCGATCGGTCTGTTACGTCACACCACATCTGCTCCTAGCCATCCTCGTCTTGTTCATGTAGTCGCCGGGCCTTAAATCCAAATCCAAATCAGCAGATATCTTTCTTTCAATCTCTAGATTGTTCCTATGAAATGGTATATCGACCGTTTGCTTATTCGTTGAGAACGTCGCCATCGATTGTTGCAAGTCTTTGCGATCGCTCTGTCACACCACGTCACATCTGCTCCCAGCCATCAACCGCGACTCAGACAAGTCTGCTCAACCATCCGATCGGGCAACCGCGGCCAGCAACAAACAGGTGTGGGGTAGATGGGCTGGGGAGCCAGGGCTAGGGCTCGGGCAGCAGAGTGCATAGGGCGAGTGGAGGCAGAGTTCATGCAAGGAGGGGGGGACTACAGGTGAGTGCTCACCATGCCAGCTGACCCAGCCCTCAGATCCCGAAACAACGCGACGCCCCCAGCGGACGCGTATACACCTCAACCCCGCCTCATTCGATCGACGCGAGCGTTCATGTGCACGAGGGCGCTCCTAGCGTACATGTAAACATGATAGCGCTCGAATACATGTCTTCTATGGCTACCTGCCAACGCGCTCGGCGCTGTCTCGTCCGCCTCGGTCTTCTCAGTCAGCCGCCCGGGACACCTTCCCGCCAGAACGACTCCAGGCTGCGCAGCTGTACACGCACCTCTCCATTGCCCCAAACGCACAGCCACACTATGTATATTTCCCCTCCCAGATGCGATCCCGTTGCAAACGTGGATCCTGACCTCATTTCTCCACAAAATTTTACGAAAATTATATCCACATGTAGCTTAAGGTCCCCTGAACCCGGGATCCACATGGATCCATGGGTCTGAGGGGGTGGGGCTGCTGCGCAGCCCCACCAGGAAGGCGTCTTTTTTGGCACCCTGGAAAACTGGTGCGATGATCAGAGGATGGATCCCAACCGCAGTTGACTCAACACTCACGATTTTTTTCGCGCATTCTCACATGGACATATGGAAGATTCCACATGCCAAGTTTCATATTTATTCAACCAGCCGTTGTGGTGGAATATCGACATCTTCCCCCAGCACCATCAGAATCACTGATGCTGATTAGACGATGGATCCCAGAGGCAAACCTCCTCGAATCTATTTGCTCATTTGAGAAATTATGTACTAAAACACATGTACTATGCATCTTTCCACATGAAACAGCTGTCCCTGCATTGTGGAGGGATGGGAAGCCAGAGCAAGGCGAGGAGACAAGAAATGATGGGAGCTGTCAACAAAGTCTGGGAGAACACGGCGAGAATCGTGGATCCCAGAGTCAACTCCTGGACAATGGAAAATCCTCGCCACTCAAATTGAAGGTCGGCATAAGCAGAACACTTCTGGCGACTCAAATTTGCCGCAAAGTGCGCCCAGAGGCCCGATTCCACGCACTAGGACAGCCCACGGAGGGTGTGACGATAGCGTCACACCCTCCCACATCCTCATCTTGCACCTCACAGACCTCATCTTGCGCCTCACGGAACTCATGCAAGACGGGCACTAGAACACACGAAATAGGGGAACGGCAGCACAAAGGTCGAAGGAAGGTGGGATCGGATGGCAGCGGTCAAAAACGGAATGGGTTAGCGTCTGGGCTAGCCAAGCCATAGCGGAACATGTAAGTCGTCGTCGCGGTCCCGGAGCTGACGGTATTGCCTCGCTAGGTACATGCGCCTCATCTGTAGCCGCTATAACCGACTCCTCACCATTGCATCGTTCTCTCTGAGCTGCCAGCGCCAATGGGGAACGACTTCCTTAATGGGACACTAGTCCCCGAGGTCAACATCTGGATCTCGACGACCAGTGCTCATAATCCCTTCATCCGACCCGTCAACATCATCACTCGAAGCAGTGAATCACGGGCCCTGCAGCCGCATCTGCGTAGAATACGCCTAACCCACGCTATCCGGCCTTAATGGTGAAGGTAAGGACCAGCACGGGTAAGTATCATCGCACGGTGGGAAGACGTTACATGCAGCTCACCTGAACTCTTAGGAACCACCATGACACGAAACACGCGCGCGGAAGAAGTGCAGAGCTCAAGAACGACGTCCCCGACACTGCCCACCCCGATATAACCACGCAACTGCCTCCCACTCTTCCGTATTGCTCTGCACCAGCATCCAACGACCGCCACACATGCGGGCAAGTTCCGCTTGTCAAAGGCCAAGGTTCTGGCCCAGGTGCGTGCTGAGATACGATTCAAAGAGATGCTTCTGAGCGTGTGCACAGATTGTGAGTGCCCCCATTCTAAGTTACAAAGCAATTTTAAGCAGGAACAGAAACCGATCCTTTTTTCTGGTGCGTTCGGCCGGTGTCTTCGCTCGCTGCTAACCCTGATAGGCTTGGAAACGACGTCAGACGAGGACTGTGAATCCGCGAGACTGAGCCGAACTGACCATTGATTCAACACGCATTAACCCTAGCAATCAATTGCTGACTATCCACCCTAAACAACAACACCCATAATGTTCTCTCGGATGTCAGTGGGATAAAATGTTCACTTCCCATCAGCGCGTCTGATGGGACAGGGACGCAGAAGGGACTTTACACCACATTTGTATTTTTATTATACGAATCTTCAGCTATATACTCAAGGATTTAAGATCCCGAACTGTAGACATTGAGCATCAACGGTTCTGGCTGAACCTCACAATCCATGTTCGGTCCCATCACTTACAGACCTCAGCTCCATATATGGGGACGCCGGGGGTCTGCGGTCTATCGAAAACAGCCAAACGTTCATGAATCATCGTAGAATACGTTTTGCTGCCTCAAAATAATATATTTATGGCGTGGTGGAGGGTACGAGACAACATATTTTGTCAAACATATCTCGTGTCACCTCTTGTGACCGCAGTCACATCACAAGGCACAGCCTTACTTAAGTCCAAGCAGCTTGCGACGTCATTTCACGTGACTTCCAGCATCTTTCTATGCCTCCTTTTCTTCTCTCGAGATGCATACTTGCCACCGGCAGCTGCACGTAACCCGTGCCGTCACACCTTTCTTCATCATGTGTCCCAAGCTTTCAACAGACTGCCAGGCCAGCACCCCCCAGCTGAACAGGACGCGCCAAAGAGGCGGAAAAAGAGGGATAGAGGTGGAAGGATGGCTCGAAGTGGCGCAGGTATGCCTCTTGCATTCCCTTTTTCTTCATTTGCGGGTGGGTGAGCAATAAGACTCGACCCTGGGACTCCTGCGCAAGCCCACCCGCCCATTCTCACAGACCATTTGATTTTTTGTTACCTATATCCTGCTAATATTGTTATAGAATGGCTTCTGCCTCGTACAACACGAACCGCACGGGAATTCGGCGCGTTTGACCTGACGGTCGGCCTCCCAGTCATCACCGCACCCCTCCACATCACTGTGGAGGATCTGTTTACTGCCTCGCTCGCTTTGCACACCCGACCAGGCAACCGCGGCCGCCAACCAAACCTCCGAAATGATTTCGGAGGTGCTAAATAATCGTGCCCGTGCCCGAAATCAAACATCCGTCTTCCGGACCAACTCCGCATTGGTTTTTCCTTCCAGCCTGCGCTTCTTTGGCCCGCATTTCACGGCACGGTCCTCCTCGCGCTGACCCTCCGGCCCTCGCCCTTCCGCCGCCTCCTCTTCCTCCCCATATCCGCGCTCACAGTATACGTCGCGCGCTCGACCACGGGCACGTTCCTGGGCGACTACACGATCGGATGCGCCTGGTGGGGGTACTTCTGGCAGGCCTCGGACTACATCCTCGTCGCTGAGCCGCAGCGTGAACTCGTCAAGCTGGAACAGAGGAAGCAGGACTCGCCCCCGCCCCCACCGATCGAGACTCAGAGCGTTTTCGAGCGCCTCCGGTGGGCGCTCAGCCTTTGGCTCAGCCCCCGCTGCGTCGGGTGGTCGCACGAATCCACATCGGTCCTCGCGCCCGCGCCCGCACCCGGCACCTCCCGCCTGCGCTTCCTCCTCGGTACCCAGCTCCCACGCGGCCTCGCGCTGCTGCTCATCCACGACGCGGCGAACCTGTACACGCGCGTGAATCCGCTGTTCCGCGCGGCGGGTGGTCCGTGGGAGTCGCGCGGGTGGGGCGTGCGCGCGGGGATGGCGCTAACGTTCGGCGCGTCGGGGTGGACGGGCCTGGCGCTGGCGTGGATGGCGATCAGTGTGTTTGCGGTGGGCGTGGGGCTGTCGAAGCCCGAGGAGTGGCCGCCGCTGTTTGGGGGGCCTGGGGAGGCGTATTCGGTGCGAAGGTTCTAGTACTATTCCCCCTCTCATAACTGATCCCGTTGCAAACGCGGATCCCAAGGTTTCCTCTCAGCGAAATTTCGTAAAAATTAGATATTCTAGGACCCATAGATACCATTGACCAGGGATTCACATAAAATCACGAATTCGGGGGCTGCGGGCTGCGCAGCAGCCCTCTCAATCACATCACTTTTTCGGGACACCTTCAAACCGGGCCGCTGATCTTACCGCGGATCCCTGGCACAATTGACTCAACATCCCGATTTTACTACACATACTGAAGGAGGATATATAGAAGGTCTTGATTCTCGAATTCCATATTTTTCTAGTGAGCGAGGATTGACCAGTTGAGACATCTCTCTGCAGAACATCAGAAAACTCTGATCAGCATTGAACGACGGATCCCAGGATGGTTTCTTCCTGAATCCTTTCACTCATCAGGAAAGAAAGACTCCGTAGGTTCCCCACTCTCGTTTGCTCGGCTCAGCTTGACAAATTTCGATGTGTGAGGCAATAGCAACAGAAAAATATCATCAAGAGGAACTTCGACAGGTTGCCATCATTGTGATCAGGCCTGGGTCGGGACCGATTGGCGGATCCCTATTGTCCTTATACATCTATTCTTGCACACAATTGACCAAAGTTGCAGGAATCAATGTCCTGCAACTTTCTGTCACCTCAGATCTTGCTATATTCCTCTCAGAGATATGGGATCCATCAAGCATTGGGTCAGACGGCGTGTGTGATCCATGTGTGACGACGTCCCCCACCTTTCCTTCCTACGACACAGAACACAAACGCGGCGCGCTCAACACCCATCCCCAGCAGCACTCTTCCATCCTTATCAACGCCCACCCGCTCGCTTTGGCGCAATTCCGGCCAGAACGCCGGCCCGCGGCCTTGTTAGTCCAACCTGGGTCGTGTGCGGTTCGGCACCCTCGCACGTCACCAAGCCCGCAAACGCACCGCATCTCATCTCATCTCTAACAAAACCACAACACGTGCTGCGCATGCGCTTTGGGCCCCAAGGCTCCATCCCCGCCAGCGACTACACATCATGCGACTTGCGTCACCGACAACTTTGCACGCCAGGAATTGTCTGGAACCGGCTGCGCGCCCTTGAATCCACCTCTCTGAAGGGACAAATCCCACGCTCCGCGCCTGAAAACGTCACGTCCGTCGACAACACCAAGTCCCCCCATTGTGCGTCCAGCCACCTCGATTCAAACCTCCCCACTCACCACAGACCCGACACGGTCGACAACACGGTACCAGAAGATAGACCCCGGATCGCTGGAACCTTACCAACACCGAACATCGGGCGGCACGAAACTACACCCGAAGACGGCACGGACGCAGTAGCCCGAAAGGCAGATCGAGCGGGACTGCCATGGAGAAGAGAATGGCGAGGGATCCGGACAGAGCGCATCACGGCTGCGCAAACGACTTATACTCCATATGTGCCGAGGAGGAGACAGGCGTTACATGTATCTAAGCGGTCCGGGAGTGTCAGCACCGGTGTCAGCACGGGGACCGGCACTTTCTTCAGCTCGTCGTCTCCGCTCCAGACCCCCATCGCGGAGGAGCCTTTCGAGGAGTTCCCAGGGTCTCTTGCAGCAACGCCGTCCACTGTCCGTCCTCTGAGGCTGCTCCCACGACCCCCGAGTCTTCCTCGTGCGGATTCACTCTGACTTTTGTTCTGTAAATGTTTGTAATATCTGTGTATACTCTTGCACGTACTTATCTCTCCTTAGATGTATCATTTGTACTATCTCCCCAGCTCAAACTGGCCATGTAGAAGCTCTCGCGCCATCCAATGACTATTTGTCTGCACTTTCGGCCGTGCCGTATTTGCACATCATCGATGATGACGGAAGGCTTCCGATGTCGGAAATAGGATCGGCAGCATGGCTGGAAAACGTTACTCAATCTGCGCTTCCGCTACTCCAAGGCGCTATCGCTGCCCTAGCAGCAGCGGGTTCCTAACCGGACGTTTGATCGCAGAGAAGCTGTGCGTCCTGACAATTAAGGCTGGAGACCAGGATCTCAGAGGTTCGAGGATAGAGGAGTAGAATGGACGAGTGGGCGGAGCGCAGGGAGAGTGTGGATGTGGAGAAGTCCCCGCGGGTGAGCCTTCCTCGACCAGCTACCTTCCAACGTTCGTCAAGTCGACCATCCCCGCCGCATACCAGCCGGAACGTCTCCAAAACGCGCTCGCCATTCGCCCTGAAATCGTACGCGGGGCGTCACTTCATGTAACACATCGTGCTTGTCGCGCCATCGCAGACAGCGCAGCTGTACAATCATCTTGCTGGGAGCTGTGAACGGCCGCGGAAGCTGCATTCGAATCCTTCGAGGGTAGTCCTGTCGGAATGGAGAGGGGCTTGGTTGCAGCGAAAATGGAGATATGGATGGATGAACGAGGGGTGGAGCGCTCTAAGGATGCGGATGGGGGAGAGCTCCGCAGGTGATCCTTTCCTCCCACTACCTCCCCCCGTACGCGAATTCGACGTTCCGCACTGCACACCAGCTGCACCGCCTCAGTAAACTCACATGGCATGCCATGTCTTCGAACGGACGGCAGATTCGGTCGGATGGATCATAGGCCTTGATCCATCTGCACCCCGCGACCCGATATCCGTCACACTCGTGCAACTTCGCTGGCCGAAATACAACAACACACACTGCGGTTTCTCGAAAGTCACCAGAATGCGCGGGAAGGAGGCGCAGAGTCTCGGGGCCGCTCTCAGGTGCGCACTTTCGACTTCGTTCCTTCTTCTACGCACTTTTGATCCAAAACTCTCTGGCGCATAGCCATCATCTCTAGCGTGACGGTCATGCACTCTTCGAGTTCTCCGTTCGGCAATCCTCAAAGACCAAGATCGGCTGCATCTCATCGCTATCCACGCCCTCCGTCATCAGTTATCCAGCGCATCAAATCGTCTGCCACTCGTCGCTCTGATTGCTCATTCTCGTCCGTCTCTCAGCGTCCTCACTTGCGATATGCTCGATCCAGGGCTCCTTGCCTTTTGCTCGATAGTGGTCACCCAAATCGCAAGGCTGGCTGACCAATCTGAGGACAACGACATCTTCCGGAACGCGCTGGAGTACGTGGTGAAGAGTTTGGAGAGTACAAAACTTGAGGAGGCAGTCAGTCACCGTTGATTTAGGCTTCATCAACCGACAGTTTACAGGTGAGTGTATGTATATCCGAGTGAGTGAAACTCATGCGAACAGTTTAGACGCGTGCAGCAGACGGAAGTTTACTCACAGGACGTCCTTACAGAGGCGTCGAAGACGTGTTATGTGTGACTACAACAGCAGGCTAGAAAGGACAAGGATCTAGACGGTGAGATTCAGGTTATATGTATTCGCGCACGTTCCTGAGTTGTTATAGAGGTCACGTCCCCTGGACAATGCTCAGATTAGGGTTTTCGAGCGGAAGGGGATTAGTGTGCGACTTCTGGGTCGATCAGAAGGCCATTCTCAAGAGCGGAGCCGTGGGCTGGTTCTTGACACATGGCGGGTGTAAGTACCCAGTCCCTGTTCTCGCTCAATTTGCAGAATGCGCTGATCGTTGTTCCAGCTCGTTGACAGAATCATTGAGCCGAGGGATCCCGCTCATTTTTTGGCCGATCGCCGGAGAGCAAGCCACCAATGCCGCGGTGTTATTGATCGGCCCCAATACAATTGGTATCAAGCTCTTTCAGGTACTTTTCGTCTCTGTCATTCGGCGGCAATCGTAACGCTGCTTACGCGGCATAGATACGCACTGGAACTCAGCTCCGTCCTTCGCTCCGTCCTGAGGCGCCAAAAATCAAAGGCACAGCTTTTGGACGTCAACGCTCAAGCTTGGTCCGCGCTTTTCGAAGTTGGGTTGCAGGTCGAGAGCGGTGGCAGCAGCAGCACGCTCAAAGAGATCGAGATCAACACTATCGCTGTTCAGACTGAGGCTGGCGACGTCGTCAACGGAGCCTAGCTCAGCTCGTGGCACGACGCGGCCAGGCACCTACTCTTCCCTGCCGCCTTCCAGCTTGCGCCGGTGACTGATTCGTTCGAGCAGAACCCGGTGCTGCGGCCCGAGCTGCCCGAGCGCACTTTCTTGGTCACTTACACTGTAAATCGGCGCGTCAAGGCGAAGGATTACGACAGGAATGTGTTCCATCTCGGATTCGACACGAGCGGTACCAGGCTCAAGTACGTGATCGGAGAAGCGCTGGGTGTGCATGGCTGGAATGACGAGAGCAAGGTGCTCGACTTCTGTGCTTTGTACGGCGTTAATCCGAGGCGTCTTGTGACCATCCCCGTGCTCGGGCGTGAGGATGAGATGCACACGCGGACGGTGTTTCAGGCGCTGCAGCAGCAGATTGACCTCTTCGGCCGACCCTCCAAGTCGTTCTTCACAGACCTCGCTGCGTATGCGACGAACTACGTCGACCAGCACGCGCTGCTATTCACCGGGGCCCCGGAGGGTGCGGCAACGTTCAAAGAGCTGTCTGAGACGGACACGGTGACGTTTGCAGACGTGCTGGGGATGTATCCCAGCGCACGAACGGGCATCCAGCGGCTGTGCGAGCTTGTCAGGGACATCAAGCCCTGGCACTACAGCATTGCGAGTGCGCAGAGCGTCGTCGGGGATCGTGTCGATCTGCTAGTCGTCACCCTCGAGTGGGCAAACCCAAGTGGTACGTGCGCCTCGGACCTGTGTGCTGCGCCGTTGTGTGCTGATGGACATGATGTCTGTTTTGCAGGTTCTCCGCGATACGGACAGCGCACTCGGTATCTCGCCAGGCACAAGCTTGGACAGAAGGTCACGGTATCGATCAAGCTTAGTGTGATGAAGGTGCGTGTTTGTCTGTGCCCTTGGCATGGGTGGTTGAGCTTACCCTGACATGCAGCTTCCTCCCAGCAACCTGTAGCCGCTGATCATGGCCGGACTCGACACGGGCGCCGCGCCGTTCCGGGCGTTCCTCCAGCACCGGGCGATGCTGCAGAAACAGGGTGAAGCGGTCGGCCCGGTGTACTACTACTTCGGCTCGCGCTATCAGTCCCAGGAGTATCTTTACAGCAAGGAGATCGAGGTGTTCGTGCTCGACAACGTCATCACGCATGCCGGCCTTGCCTTCTCTCGGGACGGGCTCAAGAAAGTGTGCATTCAGCACAAGATGCTCGAGGATTCCAAGGCGCTGGCGGACGTGATGCTCGACCAGCAGGGCATGTCCTATTTGTGCAGGCCGATGTGGCCGGTGCCGGATGTGTACGAGGCACTGGTTGACGCGCTCGTCACGTACAAGGGCAAGACGGCAGAGGCCGCCGGCGAATAGATCGAGAGTCTCGAGGAGGAAGAGCGATACGTGCTAGAAGTGTACTAGATTGATTACACGACATGGTCCATTCATCCAATCCAAAACATGTACCTACATACCCACCGGCCTCTATTTACCTATTTGCCTCTGGACCGCAGCGGGTGAATAAACCAGATCAACACTCTCAGAATTATGATGCCGACCACACTGAGCACGACGGCCATTGCAATGATCGTGCCCTTGAACAGATGCAGTCCCCCGCACCCAGCCGAGAACGCGGAATCGCACGGCGAGTCGCCCAGCTTCCCGTACGCTCTGGCCTGCAGTCGTGTGAAGTACGGGCCCGGCGTGTCGTTCGCGGCATGCATTGCCGCGAGCGTGAGCATCGGTGCATTGGAATCGAACGCCACCTCCATCTCTGGCCAGTCGCCGCAGATATCAAAGAACCTGGCGTGCCGGTCTGGGCCGGCAATGACAGCGCTGTACAGGACATACGCTCCTCCACCGGCGAGGTGTCGATGTTGCCGATGTCGTTCCCCCCGCTGGCCAGCCGAATGCGGATTCGACGGGGAATTCGGGTTTGATCCCAGGACGTAGGGCACTGTGGACGTCAGAAGGACTGACATGGCACAGTGCGCAAGGAGAACGACTTGCCTGACATGGATTGTTCCCTAGCACGTAATCGAGCTGGGCTTGGGCAAAGTTCTGACAGCACGCAGTGAGCATCCGAATCTGCAATCTGCCAGAAGCCAATCTCACGCAGTAGGACGACATCTTGCCACAGCTCGATGCGATCGAGGAGTATCTCTCCAGCAACATAGCCGCATTGAGCGCCGGGTTTAGCGAGGCAACGTTCGAAACCCCGTCGTAATACAGCAGGCCGGCGTCGGCGTCACGACATTGATGTGATTCTCGAGCGAGGCGGGGAGTGAGTACAGGAGGGTGCGGATCGACGTCTTGACGTTGGCAGTGTGCGTGAAGACGTGGTAGTCGGCGCCAAGCTGCTCGTTTGCCTTCGGAACAGGGACATTGACGGAGATGCAGTCACCAGAAGGTGAGGACTTGGTGGAATCGACCCCGTGTGCCAAAAGCCACGCAGAGACCGGCGGATGGTGCGGAGAACCTGTCTACCTAACAAGAGTCAGTCAATACATCGGGGGAGCACGGGGAACCACGCTCACTTCCTCTGCGGAGAGACACTGTCCATAGTTAGCGCTTCCTGGGGTGGCAGCTGCCAGCAAGTGAGACTCCAATCCCGCGATGTCGTTCTGGGCCAAGTTGAGTCTCAGCTCGAGATTCGTCTCCCCAGGTGCGACGCTGGACACGACAGACCCTTGCGGGGCCATGTGGACTGTCTTGAACTCCTCGACTTCGAGCCTGTGCTCTGTCTGATCCGGATTCCGGGCACACTGCTCGAAGAAGGCGGTCACAACACCCACGCAGGCCCAGTCGTAGAGCTGCTTCGCCGACGCCCACTCCCTTTGCTTCTCGTTTTCGTGGCTGATCACTGCGCGGAACCAGGCCTCATTGTTGAACATGCGCAGCAGCTTCATCGATTCCAAAAGATCCCCCGAGTCCGACAAATCCAGCCGGAAACACCGGAGTACGGCGCACTGGACGGTGGCCACCAAACGGTGCGTGTGGGTGTCTGCTGCCTGAACGTCGGCCCTACGCAGCCTCCGGAGGACCCACAGATGGCAGTCGATGTCTCTCGCGGCCGCCGGGGTGTTGACCAGGTGATGGTAGATCAGCTGGAGGGTGTCGACGGATGCCTGGAGGTCGAGTTGGTGCTCCGAGTTCCCACGTTGGTACTTCAGGTTCTTGCAGAGACTGTGGCACAGGTATCACGTGTAATGGTACTTCGGACAGGGCTGTAAATCGAGCTCTGGCTTCTGGGCGGCGAAGGATGGATACCGGACGAGGAGCGGTGCGAGACCACGGAACCCCATCCCAAACAAATCCGGATAAGTCGATGTCTGGGCAAACGTGCTGATCATCTGGCGCGCAGCGAAGACGAGATTGTCCACGGCTATCTCATCCGACCCCGACCGGGTCAGCTTGCTGGGAGCGTCTTGCGGAGTGCGGGAGCCGTCCGCTTCTGTGAAGAGGATTTGTGACCGATGGAAGAGCAAAACGGTCGCTTCTCACCGGAAGCTGGCAGGGCTTTTGGAAAGCGCCGTCAGATACTGCACCTACGTGCGTTGCTTCTCTGCTCGCCGTTGCTTCTCCATCCGAGCGCGAATGTCCTGGTCGGAGTTGCTCGTCTGCGAGAAAGAACCGCCGGGGGCCCGTTGCTGGCTCTGGGACTCAATGACGTTCAGGCGAATCAGAGCGGACACATTGGGGACCATGTTCTGCACATCCTCAGAGTCAATGAAATTCGAGCCCAACAGTGCCTTGCCAGGTTCATGGTCTCCAATCAGACACTCCAAAGGCTGCCCGTGTGGAGGGAGAAAGCGCAGACGACCCAGAGCGCCTGGAGCAGGGAAAGTTGTCGGCGGACGCGGACCTATTACTCGAGCAGATAGCTGTTGGAGCCGGCCATGAAGTCCCGGAGACGCTGGCCGAGACGGACCAACGGATCACGCAGCAGCTTGAGGAAATGCATGCGATACCCGCCACGCAACTTGGTTTTCTCGAAGTCCCATAGCACATGGGGGAGCGCCTCAACAAGCAGCTGAAGCTCGTTGTCGTCAGAGAGAGACGATATGGTCCACGCAAGAGTCCGGTTCTCCATCTCGAAGGAAGGATGCAGGCCTGCTGTCGTCATGGCATCCACCATGCTCTGGCTCTGCGGACCATGGTCTGCAGGTACGGAAGGTTTCGGCGTGGACCTCGGGGGTCTGTCACGACGGCTCGCTCTGGCATATATGCCTTGGAGATAGCCGCAGCCCTTCGAATGTGAGCCCTCAGCACGCCTCCCAAGCTCTGGTCCAGCGACCAAAGGGTCTGCGTTAGTGTCTTCTGGAACAAAATGAAATCTGTTGGCACGTCAATTTATCTGGAAACATCGGGGACGATGATCACCAAGCCATGTCTGCACATACAGTATAGTGCGAATTGACAACACAATGAAGGAGATGCGGTAGTCAGAAAAGAATGGGGTTTGTAGTGTGCGGCGAGAGAGTGGAATACGTTGCTTGAATGATAGAACGGTGACAGAGGAATAAGGATCACATGACTAGGGTTAGGGTTAGGGTTAGGGTTAGGGTTAGGGTTAGGGTTAGGGTTAGGGTTAGG